ATTGATTCTATAGCCCCCTCAACATTTAATGAGCTGGAGAGGGGAGTAGATACCTTTCTATTGCAATACAGAAATGCCAGACATTCGGTGACGAAGGAGACTCCAGCGAAGCTATTGAAAGGAAGAATTCTTCGGTCGAATATGAGATGTTTGGAGTCTGCAGAAGTTACATACTATCGAGGAAATGATCTTCGACCATCTACGGGTATTGTTCTGAAGAATGTCGGAAAATCGATGGTGCGAATTCTAGACATCGATGACTTAAGTACACACAGTCGATATGTAGATCACATACAATTTCAGGAACCAGGTGAGTCAGTTCCAATTTCGATTGTTAATTCTAATGCTAATGAGCATATTCTAGATAATACAGAAACCCTATCCAATACAATGTCAGACAGACTCAGGATGAATTTGATAAGAAGACGTACGATCGATTACAAACACCTAGACTCCAATTTAAGCTGTGGCAGATGTGGTGTTTGAATGAACTAATGATACCTTGGTACTTGTTGAATGCTCGATTTCGAATTCCAAATACAATAGATCCGTTTGTGCTTGTGTCTTACTTCTTAATTCAATTGCGTTAATTCTGGGATTCCTAGTTCATAATACAATTCAAATTACTCGAAACATTATGGTCTTATTCCAAAAAATCTTGTACAGGCCTACTGTGAAGTGTATGGTTATTTACAAAATAGTCTTGATGGCTAGACTCGTAGCCCCTGTTATGGCTATTTACGTTAGCGTGAGAGGGGTCTGCTACGCGTAACTGGGAGGAGTTGCGACTGTTGTTATACATGGGAGCCATTGTAATGTAATGGGTCGGTACTAAAGGGTGTGAAAAGTTTTCTTTCTGAGGGTAATTACAGTTGCGATCCTGGGGAATGTAGGTAGGGTGTGGAGTGAGAAACCTGTTATTACCATTCTTATTTATTTTTAGGCTTCAGGGGGTGACTTGGGTGACCAGTTCTCTGGTAGTTTTCGTTAGTCTGCGTGTAAGAAGGCTTGTTACGCTGAAGCCCACCACCCATTTTGCAACTCAGAGGTGTTGAAGGCAAGTTATACGATAGCAGCGGGGAGAACCTGTTCACTGTTCTTGGAATACCTATAGAGCAGTTGGGTTCAACCTTACGTGTTTCCCTATTCGGTATCATGAGTTTTGTCTTCCCACCCTTTATTTTCAGAGCTGGAGTCTTTTGTTGACCCTGTGAGATGAACTTAGGTTCATTCAAGTCTACTTGTGGGGCATCTTTAGGAGGACGAATTTTCATGTGTGTAGGTTCAGTTGGATGTGTGTTGTTACACGACTCACATTTTAGTACATTACTGAACGAACAGCTGGGATTAGTCATGTCGCTATGGTTTTTGGTGTCAGTTGGGGACCGTATCCTATCCAAAAGTTTCTGATCTGTAGACTCATCTAGATCAACAGAGTGATCAGCCGTATGTGTAGTGGTGTCATGCTTATTGTTCGTGTGTTTTAAACTATTTGCTGTGTTGCAACCTGTCTCTGGCTGATTATTAACTGTAACACTCCCATCCAATTCTATCGCTTCGCGTCTTCTTACACCACGTTGACAGGGCATTAGGTCTGGAGTGACTTTTATATTCTTGTATGGAATTAGTGAGCTAATATTTTTGTTCAAATCAATAAACTGCTTAGCATCGTTACAACAGCCAAACATAAACAAAAGGGGGCAAGTCGATCTGTCTGACTTTTTTCTAAGGCGGATGACTTTGCAGTTAACGTTTGGCATACCGCATGCTCTAAGGCAAATATCCCTTAACTTAGATGGGTGTGTGCGGTCGGCGAGGTTATACACAACTGCATTGAAGGAGGACATCACTCTCGTCGTCACTTCTTCAGCCACAATTCCAAAATACACTCAACTTTACTGAGTTCTTACGTTCCCATCGGATTTCAGCAAGTGACTGGCTAGCAAGACGTCCTCTATGTCGGTAGCATTCTTAAGTGTTACTCGAAGAAGCCTCGGGTGATTTAGATGCTTAGAATCCTTTCCTCAAGTGACTGTCAAAGGCTCTATTCTAGCAAGCTCGAGCTTCTTGTTCAATTCACACTAGAGCATCCTATCATTTTTGTCCTGCAGACTGAGAGGAAGGTCAGGATTGTCAATGAGGTTCATGATTATGAGAGAATACTCACGAAGTGTTGTTAATTTACCAGGTTTCCCGATGGGTTCAGGTTTAATACCTTGTTTTTGGGGGTCAAGGCACGTTTTTGAATCTTGTGCTCCTTGATGACCGGACGAACATTCTTGGGGGTAGACTGAGCGACCAAATCACCAGTTGTTTTCCGTACAACAACACTTGGGATGCTCAGCTTAGGCGGTGACACCTGGTTCTTTTGGGCTCTGTCAACGTGGGTCGAATCACCTACAGGGTTTTTGGGAACCACTGTTTTGTTCAGGGATCCTGAGCTGGGAGACCCGAGTTTACTCAGGGAGTCTAATACCGTCGACGTAATGATGGTGATGAGCTTCAACACGTCATCATTAGAGTTAATGGATGCTCCATCGATGGTATGCCTATCGACATCCCTAATCTTGTGTTCATTGCGCGCTCTTGTTTGTCCACCCATTTTTTTACCGTAGTTATCCAAGTTTGCTGACAACTTGTTCCGCAGACCTGTCAGTAGGACGATGATGTTACTCAGCGAGACTACAGCGTCCGTGCTGCATGTGACGCATACCCACTTTTGGTCCGTTTTGCTGAGTCTATTGTAACCAGTTGCCGTCAGACCTGTGCATGCTTCGTGGAACCAACCTTTGCAGTTGTCGCACTGCATGCCAGTTGTAACAGCAAAACGGCATCCCGGACGTTTGCATGAGTTTTTCATGTCTATGTTGAGGCAAACTATGTTATAGATGCTTGCAAAAGCCTAAGACCGTAAAAATACACTAAAAAGCATACTGAAAACGGACAGAAATGGATGAAAACGAATGAGATAAACTGAGCTAGTCTTTACGTGAAAAACAAGAAAAAACGAATAGTAAGCTGAGGCAAAACCACAGTTAACCATTACATATGGTGAAACTCAAAAAAAGTAATCTACCGAACGTATAGATCAGGATAGATTCTTTGGGTTAGAAATGGTAGTTTTATTGCGCAAGAACACAGCAAACGTTTGATAACTGCAAATCACGTTAGGACTAAACTTTCCGTTCGAAAAGCGCGCTCAAGTGGCATGGCTCGGCCATGCAGACGTGCTTCCTGCTGAATGTTACCTTATATCCTCTGTTCATATTAAATATATTGTTTTTTCTCTAGCCTAATCTTGTTCTCTATCATGTATTGGTAATTGTTTAGTTACGGTGAGTTGGTGTGTCGATGGTGTGACTTCCACGTAAGATCTTATAGGTGAGGCAGTTATATCATGACAAATCTACGATTTTAGGATTAGGTCTATTATTAGCTCAGTACAAATATCATAGTAGACCATAATTCTACATAGTCATTCCTGGTGAAAGTACTTACTTCTCGTTATAATTTGACACTTATGTTGGCACTTGGATCAACCAGGATAATACACACACACTAAACATGGTGGAGTATTTGTTCCATTATTGTCGATTTAGCCTCCCCTTGCTTTTCGGTAGAACACCTCCGACACTTCAATATTTAATAGGACCAGGGAGTTTCAGATACTTTCCGTCTACTTTGCTAAGCTTTTTTGTGACTGCTATGCTTCTACGATTATTTTTCGTAACAACACCACACTGCTCCATTTCAGTGTCCGCAAGTGACATTTATGACCTGTGAATTCGTAAGTGAATGTGCCAATCTGTGCGCATTGTGTCCCCCTCGGAGTTATGGTTTCTTTAATCAAATTTCCGACAATTGTTGATGGGGCTGAGTACGGGAGGCTCCAGGGTACGTGGATTTTTATGTTTGATGAATTTTGTCGTTAGATTTTTTCTCATACTACGAGAATACGCACTTGGATAGTGGGCGTTAAGACACAGTATGAACCAATTGAACCGCTTGGATATTATGGTGTCACTACGTAAGTGAATCCAGTCACAATAGTAGCCGCCTTTCGATTCGGAGACGCTCGTTTCATTTAGTAGATGGTACACTATGCAGCCGTCAATTTTGTGTCTTACTTCTTGGACGAACAGTGTTTCTGAGTATTTAGTCATGGGGCTCTCTCCCTTGCTATTCTTCCACTGCTTACATATGTCATTGGAGATAAAATCTTTGTCTGGGTGGGATCCTTTCTGCCTATTGAGGTATTAACGTTTGGTGTTTGATTGGTGTGATCAATACTGTGTACATAACCATGGGGTATTTTCGCAATAGTTTGGGGGATTTAAACTTGCTCATTGGGGGTTATTTATGGATCGTTGACTTGTTATCAACTCTTGCAGTAAGGTCCCGATCAGTAGTCTTTATTGTCGCACCGCAGGTACCCGGAGGTATACTAAGACCGCGCGTCCCATCAAGCCGATTCACGCAGTTGCAGCAGTTGTTCCATAGATCCACTGTTTGCAAGTGACTGAACAGTTGAATGTTACAGTTGCGTCAGATATAGAGATGGCAGTTGGCTGAAATAATAAGTCTTATCACGTGGAGGTCCAGCCTTATTTTGACAGCATTCAGAGAGCATTCCACTGTGGTTGATCTTTCAGCAAAGCCAACTACAATTAGCATTTTCAGAGTAGTTGGATACTTCAAATGTGTTGTTAAAATCTGATGGCTTTTGCTTGCTATTGATTAGCATAAGAGTTCGCCACAGACCAACCTCAAATTGTTGCAACGATATGACAGTGAGAGCTACCAAAAGAAAGCTGGCCGTGATATACTTGCTCTAATAGACGGTCAATCACGGAAGCCCGTTAAGCAAAAGCTTCTTCTATTCTATCTACAACCATCTGAACCATTTGAATCAATCTACTTTGTCTGCTTCGAAAAAACTGAAGTACACAGTTGGCGGGGTGAATAACCTTGGAACCGGCTTTGAGTTAGAGCGCATTTCAATGTTGACGTTCGAACCAATCAGTCGAATAGCTGTTGTAAGTATACTCTGTATATTTCAATATGATTGCTTGTCAGAAAATAAATAAATTGTCATTTTTTGACTCATGAGGTAGTCATGAGTTTATTGTTCTAATGAGTCCACGTAACTTTACTTCATCTCAGAAAAATTTTCCAAAATACCCATCCATCAACGAATATTCCTTCGGTCGGTTTTATATGATGAAAACACTTATTAGGAGACCATATAAGTCCAAAAGATTCATAAAAGAGCTGATTTCTATACTTCTAGGAATAGGTTATGACCTTCGTTATTGATAAAGTCTGAATTATGTAGCACTTGTCCTCAGTGGGCGAACATGTCTTTTTCAATATGATTACATGGCGAGACTATAACTTTTTGACGAACCAACCAAATGCTGTCTACCTACTTGAATCAGCAGTCATTTTTTGGAAAAGTAAAAACATTATCCAATCAGTCCGAAAACTAACTATGGTTGCGTCTTCTCAGTTGTTAAAATACAACGATGAGTAAGTCCTTTCTCCAGGAATGATCACTTCATTAATTTCCCGAAGGAGACTAGCTTTATGTCTCGAAGGGCAGCGATTAAACGGTCTTCAAACATCCGACTCAGATATGAGAAACCGTAGATGATTAGGAATGTCCTAAGAAAACCATCGATGAACGGTCAATAACTGTCCAGCACAGTGATTTTTAGGGTTAGCAATTTAATATGTAGAAGTTCGGACAACCAAATTTACACAACACAACGGTGACTGTCGTTGTTGCGATTACCAGGCGTACATGCTACTATGGTATATGGTATGTCTTGGTTTCTCCCGTCCGTCAAACCCAAAAAGTAATCAGGCCTCTCCACATAACGTCTATTAACTCCAGGAATCGAGGGGATCTGACCAAAACCGTTCAGATCTGATACTTCATCAGTATTGACGTACACTATCAGGTAATGTGTCATGAAAACTAGTCTAAATCGTTAAGCCATAGTCTAACCAACTAAACAAAATGAACCCTAGTGTCGGTTGACCTCGATCAACAACCCACTATCCAGGACATCGAGAGCACAACAGCACAAGCTGAACTTGCAGATGAAATAATGTACCAACCTGCCCTAGACTAAGATCTGTTGGGAATGCCGCGAGTGCTGTGAATCTACCATCTTGACTCATCTCAACAGTCAATGGCTTAATGGACTGATACCACGTTTTGTATAAACTTGAAATTGAATGACTGGCCTCGGTTCAACCATCACTTTCTTTTTTTCAGCTAATTGTCGTCTGTCGGTTTAGGAAGTGGTCCGACTTATGCAGTGTTCGTACCTCGTTAATCGATTCCTCAGTTTACGTAGTACCCTGTTTCTGACAGCAGGATTATTAACTTAGTCTTTCTTCGAGATGCGAGCAGCACTTCAAAGACAGCCATGATAAAAGCATGCAGCCTACAGATGTCTTATACTTTCATAGACAGTTTCAGTTATAGAGTGATATAAAGCGGACTGGTGCACAGTATACTCGCTTCTTGACTGAAAACCGATATCTCACTAGTATTAAAATCTAACTATCTAATATTGAAGTAGATGGGATGTTATTATAGCCTAAAACCTTTTGATTTAAAACTGAGTACTTCAGTCTCCCGCTTAAGTTGGTTTGTACGAATTCATCGACTGGTTTCGTTTGCACTCATTCTTTTTAGTTTCACTGCAAACAATGTCTTATATCACGTCGGATTACCTTTCAGCATATATAACGCATACTCTTATCGTCTTGTTCAGTGCATATTTTCGTTGAACGTTTGATGTTATTTATCCATTTACCGCCATAGTTATATATGTAGGAGAATGTATCATATTTCTTCGTATTAATTTAGCAAGTTTGTTAAATAGCTGCTTGTTCACTGTGACCTTATGTAAATGTTATGACCTTGTGATGTCTGGTTTTTCTATCGCACGATTTATCTACCAATCCGAATACGACTTATACGGATCTTCACACTAGGCCGACCAATGACGTTCAACCGGTGTGGGCAGTTTTGCGTCCTTATTGGTCCTATGTCCTACGAGCCCTTCCACTTGGGTCCAGAACAAGATACCAGCTTCCGAATCAGAGCAGATCGTTTATTTCAGGCATACTTGGTTTATATATCAATCACACAGACCGCAACGTACCATAAAATAGGGAATAATATTTGTACACAAATAAGCCCAAAAAGTGGCTGTGAATGTGGGACGCAGTAGTTAATAAACTGAACATAACTTGAGAACCGTAAATCGTACAATAGTAAATTTCAATGTAAAATAATTATTCAGTCTTACAGGTATTGTGCTGCTAAACATTGACAAATTATTTAAGATTACTAACCGATTCAAATCATTATAAGCAGAGATGAGTAAAGGTCAGCAGTGTAATCCAGGAATCACGTTTCGTCCCATTTGAGACTCGTCGTCTAGATGTACCTGAATTCCAGCATGAGATTCAACTATGGGATCCAGGTACATCCAGCTGATGAAACCTAAATAGGACGAAACTCAAGTACTGGATTACACTGCCAGCCACCATTCATCTCTGCTTATAATGCTTGCGACTCAGAGCAATTTCGAGGCAATTCACATATATCAATAACAGACTGATCGATTGCAGCCCTCAACTTTATTTAAAAAAATGCAAACTACCAATACAAATGATTCAAGTTATTTTAGATCTTTCTGTAATTTTTTTTATCGATATATCAAAATTTTAGCATTACTTTCACTTGATCCTCCTTCCTGTTTTTCAGGTCAAATGTTTGGGACCACGTTTAGTTTTATTCTTTAAAACATTTGCTTTATTCTATGTTCTTTATCCGAAATATGAGTCGACTGTGGGTTATTGTGTTTTCAAATGTGCACCTATTTTATCACTTGTTGCATTTGTTTATATGTATGGGGTTAAGATACCAAACAATCAAGCCTATTCTTTAAAAATTTTTCTTGGTCTTCTATTCTCTTGTTTAGGCGATGCATTTTTGGTATGGCCTAGTCTTCTTATTCCTGGCATGGCTATGTTTGCCATTACACATATATTATACATTTACGCATTTGGTTTTCAGCGTTTAAAACTATCTATATTGTTCACTTTACTACCAATACTTCTCTGTGTATGTGTTTCTATAAAAGAAGGACTAGACGGTATCAATACACTTGTTATTCCAGCTTATGGATTAATATTAGTAATTATGGTATGGCGTGCATTAGCCCAATTAACTAAACATGAATATTCTATACCATGGACATGTATAGCTTCTGCCGTTGGTGGATTACTATTTGGTGTATCTGATACTATATTGGGAATTTGTTTATTCTCTAGTGATATATCGTCATTTAAATGTAATTTAATTTTACCAACGTATTATGCTGGTCAGTTGTTGATTTCTGTATCTGTTGTTGATAGCCATTTAACATCAATAAAAACGAGTCCATATCATGAAGATAAAAAGCAGTAGTAGTTGCGTTCCTTTATTAAATAAAAAGCCTTTTCTTCCATCACCTGTTTATTTTCTCTGCTTTTTGACATATATTTGTCTTCATTACTTCTTTGTACTTTTTAGCTTGCTTATTATTTCACGATGTGTTCATATTGTTGTTCATAGTTGATGATAAATAAATAAACGCTTATTTTTGCATCTGTTATCTTGTTTTATTACATACCTGTCTATGTATGGCATTGTTTCTTGTTAACTAAATCATACTTCAATCAGATGTGGTAGATAGTATAAAGGGAGTAAATTTTCAAAATAATCATACAATAAAATACTACACGGTATCAAATTTAATTTGAAGTTTTCTTTAATTGGGGAGATTTTGTCATAGTATATTTTCAGGTTTCGGTCAGCAATAGAGTCAAGGATGCATGTTTGGTCCTATTTAGGACTTGACAACTAGACGTTCATGCATCATACTAGAGCTATAACCTAGTATTTATCGCTGCGATGCAGATTCATACATTTGATAACTCCTTAGTAATATGAAATACGCCTCTTGAATTTTGGTGCCCATCATAATTCAAGAATGTACCAAAAATATCCATTTCTAAGCAATATCGATGCATCTATTGAGGATGTTTATGTGTCCACAGAGGCTGTGTTGAATATCAACAACCGGAAAATACAAACTCTTTCAGATAGCCGATTATGGTTTGATACAGCTCTTAGTGCTTCACTTTCTAATAAGACTATTCAGAGGGCTAGTATCCGTAAAATATACCCCTCAATAATTTGTTTTTCATTGATAACGGATTATCAGCACTACTTTCTTCGAAATAAAGTAGTTGTTAGATTACTTGCCATATCAAAAGGTGTGGCTACAATTGATGTTCACTTCTGCATTCTGTAAATATTAATCATAGGTTTATCTTTGACGTGTGGTTAAGTTACGACTGACTTTATGCTTTTACTTTTGTATCAGACTTCTTAGTTCTCTGTAAAACAAAACTCAATGTACAGAAGAAATCGGCGCCTGTCTCAATTCTTCTGAGGCACGAAAAGTTCTAGAGAGAATACCATCTCGTTTATCCTTCCCATCCTATCCGACCGATACTTATGGGCTAATAAAAGTATTAGGATTTCATGTCTTCCTTTTATCAAGTTTTATGACTTTAGTGTTATAATTCCGGTTACCTTTGGGGTTAGTGGTTCGGTTCCTATAGTTTGTGGGTTTCTATCATTATTTCCTTATACAAATAGCGAATCTATTGAAGGAATAAATGTTTGCAATCGTATGACTCGTTTTATTAGCGCTTTCCTTAGAGAAGCAAAATTGTTTGACAAAGTTTGCAGTTTATCTCTGCCTTTTTCCTCAATTTAGGACAAATAATATTTTATGAAGAAAGAGACACTTTAAAACTTGTTTGCATTTGAAGAATATTCTTTTAAGATGAAATCAATTCAATCGGGGTCCATGCACAGACGCAGTGATCGTTTGTTTCCTATTCATCCGCATAATTTGAATAAAGTTATACAAGATGAATGGAATAGTATTATACAATGGTTATGTGATGTTTTATCATCTGGTGATATCATGTGTGAAATTAATCCAGTATTTACTACTATTCAAAGGTTAGTTATGTCGATACTATTACATTTAATAATCATTTTATTAATCTGGTTCTTAATCCACAGTGTATATTTGGAAACGTTTCGAGGAAGAGTATGTATTTTGATCGTTAATAACCAAATTTCATTCGCTTGTACATGAAATATTTAATTGTGAAATAGATCACTTTTTAGTGAGATAATTCAAAAGGACTTAATTTGCTGAGAAGCGATACAAATTTATGTTATGTGATAGCCGCCTCAAATTAAATTTACACAACAACAATCTAGACATTGAGGTGGTAGTTTAGTAGTTGGGCCACTCGGCTTCCAACCAGTAAGTTTCGGGTCCTAACTTCTTTCCATCTACTTCAGTTTGGGCATCCGAGTAGTGTCTCTACCACCCATGCATCCAAAGTATCGCTTAAAACTGAGCAAACAAACATGTACTTGGTAATTAAGCTACAATAAGGTAGATCATAGATCTAAACTTAACTCTTCTATGTCAGTCTGAAGGACACACATTAGTACAGAAATGCTTTGCAGAATCGAATTTACAGATTAGTCGATATGACCACACTGATAAGTTTCCCGATAACCCATTCAAATCGAATAGATTTTCTAAAACAGAGTCACTAAATGACTGAATTTATCACTAGAGAATCTATTATGTTATCTTTATACGAGATATTCAGCTAACGGAGTATGCTTTAACAATGATTAATGGGAGGAAGCCGAAAAAAACCGATCAACCTTTAGTACCGCATCCATTGTATTACCTATGAATATACATTATTGTTTAGATTGTGCAATCATTCTAATGTTTATTCATAATCAATGAAATGTCCTTTTTTATTGCTATCCCTCTAGATTTATCAATATATTTGGAATGCGTTTATCCAAAACACAGCGCATTGCTTTAATTCGTCTAACTGTAGCTTATATATGTTGTCCAAATATTGATACGCAGGTTATATTCAATGCGTTAGAGCTTTTAAACAAGTTGATGAGGTATGAGTATATATGTGTATGTGCATTTACTCAAATACTTAATGTTTCAATCACTTTGCATTTTTATTCAGTCGTAGGTATAAATGATTAACCTATAATTAGTGAGTTTTTAATTCTGTGCATTACAGATATTGCTTATAATATAGAGTTAGTCACTCTGTCGTAGGCAACTTCGAACGTGGCATGAATCCGTAACTATTCAGGCTATAACATATCACATCGTTATAGCGATGTAAAAAAATCGATAAAACGAGAAAAAGGTGGATATTAAAAGAACATAATTCTAAAGAAACAGACACGATCGAAGAATAACTTCAAGATTTAGGTGTAAACAGATGATAAATTACACTAAGTCTCTGTAACTGGTTTTTAGCCCTTATCTCCTAAGTTCTTTAATCATAGATTGTGATTATCGTGCCATCTCTAACCTGAAAGTTTGCACTTCCTGAAACCATAGATCAGCAAAAATAACTTCAAGGATTGATACGATATCTTGGTTTGATCTCTGTTGGTTTCCAATCTAGCCACAATTGCACGTCAAGGTAGGCCATTGTTAGTCATGCTTAACGTATGTCTCAATTATCCGTTTTGATGAGGGTTTAACCGACTTACTTTTTCTTCTTAAACCATAAGAATACCTCGGCATTACTCACCTGGTGCTTCCACCATATGCAAGTAATGTTTCTTATACACTTATGATTGGATGCTTAGAACGAACTAATGTATCATAGTTTCACAGTTGTGAAATAACGCATAACGCATACACTTCAGTATCATTGCTTTTAAATATGCAGACAGACATCTCATACTACATTTGTAGTGTTTATAAATTAATATTTAATTGTTTATTATGTATATTTTTTTCATTTGACTCTTTTGTGCAGTAAATCATATTCTCTACTATCATCAACCTTGTCTATTAACTGGAAAAACTTCTTTGATATGCGAGAATGGATTGATGATGCGTGGCAAGCGAATTCTCACTTAATTCAACTGTCTAAGTAAGTTATAGTAATTATTATTTGTTCACTCAACCATGATGCTATCAGAATGACTAATTTATTACTACTTAATTGGAAGAACACATAGACCAACTAAATGATTACTACAGACGAGAGAACACTGGGAATCCATTAGTTACTATTGGTTCAGAGCTTTATTACCAATACATAATCTTGACTTTTTTAGTATTAAACGCAAAACGTTTATTTCCAATGGTAAGCTTAATGTATTTTTGAATTAATTTCCAACGGTTTTATGAAGTACCTAAATAATGCACCTGCTGTTGAGAACTTTCTGTTTTCTTGTTCACCTTCACTGACGATAGTTCGTTGTTTATGCATAATTATATCCTATTGCATCAATTACGGTTACTTTTTCTAGAATACTCTCCAATATCTTTATTTTGGGATTTTAATTCTTGACAGCTTACTGTTGGCATGATGATATGTGTGCTTTTTATCTTTAATTTTGACTATCTACTAATACTTGGGGCGTTGCGTTAGATTTTTGCTTCTAGGTTTGAATAGTCCCAATGAAATATTTTGCACGATGAAAGGGAGTTAGTTTTATTTTCTAAGATATTGTTATAAAAAAGTGGTAAAAATTCATAGAACGGATCAATGATCCATTGTTTGCTTGGTTTTGACTATTCTTATGCTATGGAACAGGTAAATCACTCAGCTTTCTACCGGGTTATTGCAGGTTCAATCCTCTCTCCGCCCATTTTAGTTTGCGCAACCAGGTAGTATCACTTGTCCTCCCATACAAGTAAAATATATCTGAAAGCTGAGTACATAAATCTTTACTTAGTACATAAGCAAATTATTCGTTAATCATGCAAATTACTTAAATGGAAGATAACGTTGGATTTTAATGAATGATGAGCTCTCTTACATAGTGTCAACATAATGCAACGACACAATGTTTCCTGATTTTCAACTGTTTACAAGACAGATTTATTGATACAAACATTCAAATAAATCAGTATCAAACGAGATCTGATCAATAGAATAGGTCTTTTAGTCTAGTTTTGATCACAAAAGTAAACATAATTAGTTACGTCATTTAACAAATAAACGATTAAGTAGTAATAGTTTTGTAGACTATTCACATCTCAATTAAAAATCTCCTGTTGAGCTGATTATTTTTTGTAAATTAAAAAGAAGTCAACTGTACTTATCGAAATCTAGCAATTTCAAATTTACACAGTTTTATTATTGAATGTTGTTTATCCTTTCTTCATTGTTATAGGATATGATAAACATGTATTTATAATAATGGATAAATAAACACATGATTTATAATAAATATAATAACAAAACAATAAATATACATTTTATTTTGTTTATCACAAATATTCAATCAAATTTATACACATATAACTTAATAAATATCGTGTTTCTCATCACTAGGTATTAGTGTATCATGAATTTTATTGGTGGATATTTAAATGGTTTATGCTTTTCAGCTGATTCCAATTAACTCCTCATTTGTAGTTTTTCTTTTCGGTAAACAATTATATATATATGTATATATATATATATTTGTGACCAATCGATTCTCAAAGTTTCCACCTTACAGCTGCGAAATAATATCTTTAAAAGTAGAGGATATATGTTGGAACTACCAACTGACCAGTACAAATATCGGGTCAAATGTATTAACTAAGAGAGTTGTTTGTTTAATGAAGTGAAAATTCTTCATTTATTGAGTTTGTTGGAACTCGTGTTATTCATGCGACTTACCACCGCGAGTTATTATGGCTAAGGTTGAAGTAAATATAACAGAGGCTAAAGGTGATGATTCAATTAAAATATGATATCAGTCATCAGAATCATTGACTAGCGTATTGATTTGTAGTTTTAGGTACAGGCTTTCTGATTGTGATTTTCAGAACAGACATAATTCGTAATTGAAGACTTAAGGTGATACAGTTCGTATTCGATTTGAGTGAGGTATATGAAACATTTCAATTGCTTATGAGTTTTTGTACATAACTTAGGAAATAAACATCTTAGTGTTAGAGCCATTGATGAAATTCGATAATTTAGAGAAATTAGATAATGAATCACCCGATATTAGATTTACTTAGGATTCAAACAATGGTAAGTTACCTTTTCTGGATTGCCTAGTTATAGAAGGGATGAAAATGGATATTTTGATGTGATTGTTTTCGGAAAGGCAACGCACTCAAACGAATATTAAGGTTTAGAAATCCTCACACTCCATCAGTGAAAAAGTATCAGTTGTCTTCAGCTTTTTAAGAAGGGTACACACGTTGATGACAAGTGAAAAAGAGAAGAACGTGGGACTAATGAACATAACCGAAATTTTTAAAATTAATAACAGATGAAATCAACAGAGTACTTTAATGCAACATAGAGGTGTTCTTTAAAACATTCGATATACTACTAAGCAACTTTGTTCATCTTAAAAAACAAAATATCTAAGGATTCACAATCTAATTCTGCCTAAATTAGAATGTTCAAACTATGACTCAGTGCACATTGGATAAACATTTCGAGAAACTAGGATCAAAACAAGTATGAACATCGTAGAGCTGCTACGTGAACATCGAGGAATTTAGTAAAATTTGAAAAAAACTGGTCATAGATTCACGTGCTATAGTATCACGCCACAAGATTAACTTTGGTAGTATTGAAATTGTTCAAAACATTTTTAAGATCACAATGGCTCATGGCAGAAACACTCCATAATAGATGGAATTCAAATTGTCTGAATAGATACAAGGGGCTAAGATTAAATTTTACTTTACCCTAACACCTACTCTCTTACTTCAGTCAATAAACTATATTAAATTTATCTATCACTGTTAACTAAATAGCATATTCATTTCTCATCAAAGCGAAGACGCTGATAAAATGCAGAGCCTTTTCATAGACCCCAAATGCCCTGGTATGGCCGAGAGCCGGATGGGTTCGCCCTCCCTCTCGAAATGCTCTCACACGTCCACGCGTATACAGCCTCTGCCAGGGAAGTCCTACTCACTGCCTTCTCGTGGCGGGGGACGAAAAGCGAATGTCCGGCGCTTTAACCGGATCCCAAACCAAATCAATGGTGCACATGGGCTCCAGTATCCTGCGGGAACAAATGGCGTATGAACCAATCGTTGGTCACCGGCTACCACGGGACTGCATTTCCTCACGATGCTCCACTGCCTTGTGGGTTACACCTTCAGGTCGAAGGCTCAGGGTGTAACCCCCTAAGAAAACCACCTGCTTCGGTTTGGGCACCCGAGCAGTATCTCAGCCCGCACACAAAAACACTAAAACATGATAAACTGTCTACTTATGAAAAATATTCCTCTCGCTCCAAATAACAAGTGTGGCGCATATATATTTGGCGCACCCTTGTACCAATATGTATGTGTTCAAATAACACATGATAAACTTTTGATAGCACTGAGAGACCACGCCAGAATGTTTGGGATGCGTTTCTCCTCCTCTAAATAAAAAATGTTCCTTCAAGACAGGTCTGCGTCAACACCCGAAGTAGTCGAACGCGTCGAAAATTTCACTCATCTTGGAAGTCCGATAAACCCTAATGGGTTATTGTTTGATGAAATCTCAGCACGGATTCAGAAAGCTCGTTTGGCTTTTGCCAACTTACGTCACCTAAGGCGAAGGCAAGATATCTGTCTATCAATTAAGGGACGAGTATACTACGTAGCAGTTTGTTCTGTTCCACTTTAAGGCTACGAAACGTGGCCATTAAGAATTTAAGACATTCGTAAGCTACTAGTATTTGACCACAGATGTCTTAGAAATACTGCTCGCATCTACTGGGATCACCGGGTACGTAATAGTGAGGTTGGACTCAGAGTATTAGGGAATGATGGTAAGTCAGTTGATGAGGTTGGTTTACGTGTTACGTATGCCTGAACACTGATTCAGTCAGTCAGTCAGCTAAAACGTAGGACCAGGCACATATACGCATCGGTCCAAGTTGCCATACCTCATTAACACAACAAGATGGACACCGGATTCATAAAAGTAGTTAATTCAGAGGTGGTAATATATAAAAGGAAGACTGCGATAAGGATATAGTACAGGAAGAAAGAATTAGTTCGTAGAAAGAAAGATATGAAGCGACTTTAATCTCATAGTTTATGGGAAGATAGACAGTGTATACACCTATGTCATTGCGATCGATTCTGAGCCATGTCACCCAGAGTCTTCAACCATTGGTTACGATAGTCGTGTAGACCCCAACCGAGTAGTCTGCATCTACCAACATGGCTCAGACTAGAAGTTAGTGACTTCAAGTACTGATGCCACGTTTTGGTTGGGCCGCACCTAACTTTCTTCCAACCATGCCCAACACTAGTCAGCATTGTGCGTCGTGGTAATCAGTGTTCTGGAGGTACCTGAAAAGGAAATTGGATTAGAGATGGTCTTAGTGACCTGAGAGCGTGACCGCAGTGCCCAAGGGACAACTGCTTGAGGTCGGTCACACACGACCTTTTTATGGGTAATTCTTGTGTCAGCTCCGTACTTTTTGGGATATCCGTGGGATAAGACGAGGTGTGCATTTTTAGGGTCGACCTTTTCTAACCCCACCCCTCCTTGTGGGAAGGCAGCATCGCTGTCATGCTGGTTGTCTGAAGGAAACACCTTACTGATGTCACACCTCTGTACAGTCAGCAGTACGACTTCACCTTCGGACCTTGGGTTTGTTGCTTTTAGTCTTACCGTTCTTCAGCCGATCTGTCTGACATGATAGGACCTTGAGGAACAGCTGTTCCAGCCAGTATAGCTCGGTTGCTTTATCACGATAGGCAAGCCCGACCACAACGTCAAGGTAGCAACAACGGTCAGAGTACTTTGTTGGGGTCCGCGTGACTGTCGTAACCAATGGTTGGAGACACTTGGTGACATGGCTCAGAATCGATCACAATGACATAGGTGTATACACTGTCTATCTTCCCATAAACTATGAGATTAAAGTCGCTTCATATCTTTCTTTCTACGAACTAATTCTTTCTTCCTGTACTATATCCTTATCGCAGTCTTCCTTTTATATATTACCACCTCTGAATTAACTACTTTTATGAATCCGGTGTCCATCTTGTTGTGTTAATGAGGTATGGCAACTTGGACCGATGCGTATATGTGCCTGGTCCTACGTTTTAGCTGACTGACTGTTGACAATCAAAATACCATGAGTTTCATACGATATTTGTCTTTAATTGCTTTTGTATAACTCATTTATTGTTTTAAAGGATAATAAAGAAGGGTTGTTTATTGGTATAGAGAAATAAAGTCTATTCTCTCTTTTATTTTAGTTCAATTATCTTTTATTATTTCTTAAAGAAAGATCATTTATTTATTTATTCGACTTTAACATTTTCCTTTTTCTCTTAATTAAAAAAAATTGAAAATCAAACAGAACAGAATTTGTAAAATTACAACAGATCACTGTATTATGCTCAAAGTAAGTACTGTATGTAACTGTGGTTATTTTTTTATTTAATTATAATTCTTGTTATCAGTAGTATAATAAACATCCTATAATAAATTATGCTTTATACATTGTTTAGCTATTATAAAGGAGATTAATATTTTCATGTTTGCATAATAATTGTTTTTATTCTTAGTTATTTTATTTTAATCTATGGTTATATAGTTGTGTATCTGTGTATCTGTTGTTCATTCCGACAACTACTAGCAGCTTGTTCGAAAGCAGCCTAAATAGTATTGTGGAGTGTGGTTAGCTACTATTTTGATATGTATATGTAGTCCTTATTGTAAGCTGCATCCTTCGACTACTATAGCTTTACTGTTGATAAATTATGATCAGCCATAAATTTGTTACTCAGCTTTGCATATGAAATTTCATAGTTATGTATCTATTACGACCTACTAATTGCAGTGTATTGTTGTCCAGTACTATACTTGTTTAATCATTGAAATCATTTGACTAAATATTTAAAGGATCTATGATCACTAGACTGTACTTATGTTCTTATAAGAGGTTAGGAAACTTGTGAGTTTGCATGACCTATAGATCATGTTGAGAATACAACAAAGTTAGTGGGCTTATCGTTAATGATTGGTTGAAGACACAACACTGATATCTTGATGTAGCGGTCACTCTTGCCTCTCATAACAAGCTAATTAAGTTATCTTGGTTGGGGCTCCGATTCCCTGAGGTCCCACTATATCAAACAGGTTGTTAAGGTATAACAATTTAAATGGTTTCATATTCATGTCAGGTCTTACACATTGACTGTGACTGACTGACTGTCTATTGTTCATGTTATAATTATTTCAATAACCATGTTTTTTTCTGTTCAACAGGTTCTTTCCGAAAAGTTCGATTGAAGAAATTTGGTTAGAATTTCGTCATCATATTTGTAGTGATATATTGACTGGAGCGCCGATCAGATATTTGAGTCATTTTTTAATTTATACACCATTTTATCCAAAATATTTTGATGAGATTAGGTAGGCATTTAGTACATAGAGTTTATTACTACACTTTTGCTCATATCTTGCATAAAATATTGGTATTGAGATAATGGTTTTCAAGGTTCTATGTAATTTGTTCATTCATCTATCAACTGTTCAGTTTTGGTGTACATTAATGCCTTTATATAAATTATAAACACCAATTAGAAAGGAGCGCCATTCCATTGAATATACGCTAGGTGGAGTTACTAACCACATCTACCTTTTTTAGTAGTACATGTGTATGTGTGCTAGTAAGTATTTCCTACTGATCTTAATGGTGTTTTGCTTCCGTTAGTCAATAATTCTATGTTAGTTATAGATAATGACTGTTCATATAGAAAGAGACCAACTTTAGGGAAAACAAGTCACTTTAATTTTACTCATCCAGTCAGTTTTACTGCTGCTCATTTCTTCATATCTCGGGATTTGATTTAGTTCGTTACTGACGTATATTACTCCAAACAGCGAATTCGTAGTTCTTTAACTTTGATTAGATTGTTATTTTCTCGTAACGGTGATAACTGTTTAGTCAATAGAAATAATGTTTTATGTAAGGTATGGGTAGTTAAAGAACAAGGTTAAATCATTACTGGGTTTTATTTGTTTCTTCTGATATCATATTTACCACTTGACATCCTTATTGGTTCTTCAATATAAAGCTAGCTTTTGAGACCGTTTAAAAGTCGATGTGTCGACTATAGTTTGTTATGCTGAAAAATCATGTATATTGATGAAGGTGTTATACGTTGGTAATATTAATCTTCAATGTTTCAAATTTGTGCGACTACTGAAGCTAGAGATCCTGAAGTTTATTATGACTTCTATGAAGAAGAATAGTTGAAATATTTAGGAATTCATTTTAAATAATCGATCCACTGGTTTTTAAGAATATTTAACTTTTGTAAAATTGTGTCAAATAATGACTAAAACATGCTTCGTATTCCATTTGCACTTGGATGTTTTTTCATAAGGTTTTGAACATAGTAAGCTGTTGATCATGATGATATTTTTCTAGGCATCTTCTGGCTTATTTAGTAGTTAGCTCCGATAGTCATTCTATTTCTATCTTCAATATGGTGGATATTTGTAGCTTAGGTGGGTATTTTCGGTGTTCTTACCTTCTTTAAGCTGGATGGTTTAATTAAAATGACTTTATGGTTGTTATAGATAATACCATCGGTATCTATTTAAAGTGGGAGTGAGCCCGTTTATACTTTTGTTGAAGAGTTGCAAACTCTGTAGCTTTAACTCATATACACGTCTATTTAGTCGGTTTTGAGCCAACTTGTTTATGTGAGGATTTGTGATATTACCTGGCTACCCAAACTAAAGTAAGCGGGGGGCATTTTGAACTTGCGACCTACTGATTGAAAATCAAGTGTTTTAACCACTGAATCATCCCTTCGCTCAAACAAGTTGAATCAGACAAAATCATCTTATGATATTTATGTGGCTCAATCCTTATTCAACCAATATGTCATAAGATGAGTTTGCAAGTTTCTCACTATTTTCATATTTCGTACTTTAGAGTTTTCGTTTTTGATTAGTTTGAAAAAGAGGTTCTCTGATTAGTGGTGAGTCAAAAATCTGATCGGTAAAACTACCATAAATACTGAAGTTCATCAATAGCTTTCAATTTCGTTGTTTACTAAATAGCCATAAAACACTTATTTATTGAAGCAGTGTTACATGTTTCGGATTGTCTCAAATTGTAATGTATCTTGCGGAAGTTGTTTATCATTCTTTTATATGTGCATACATAAGGTGCAAGAGTGTGGGTGGTAAGTGGGATAAACATAATATCAGTTCGTCCTCCATGCTATACAACTTGAAATTATAAAGAAGACTACTTGGGACTTTATCCAGCTGTGAATTTTTCTCGTAGAAAATACTGTCTATATTCACTCTAAGTTTAACCATTATTTTTAGTGTGAAGTACCCAACTATGGTGATGATATAACTCTCATTGTTATTTTTCAATTTGCCTCCTATTAATTATTTTTGTTTTCTCATAACTTCCATTATTTGTAGTCGTGTTTGGTTAACAGATATATTTGATTTGTGGTATATGCACCCTGAATTAGGAAATTTTCGTGTAAGTTAAATAAACAGTTGAATACAAATATTCTTTAAGATTCTATATTACCAATGTATATATATTAGTACAGTTTAAATACTAATCCATATAAAGCTTTTATATGCGGTGCAAAATTTAGGATCTACTTGACGAACATTACATTTGTCATTGTAGTTCAGTCATCTAAATAATCGAACTTTTGGTGTTCGGTTGAGGATTTGTTTTTTATTTAACCTATTAGACTTTAAATAGCCACATGGTATCATTGTTCACCATTCGTTAGGCGGGTCACAAAATTGTGAGATCTCCAGGTATTTTCATTTTGGATCGTCAGAGCGTGCCAACATATTTTATGCTATGATAACCATGCTTTCGTTCCGTTATGCCTTGTCAGAAATTGACTACATCCTCTATTTTTTTCCAATCTTTATATCGACAGATGATAGTGGATATGGAAGTTGCGGAAAAGTATGATAAAAGTATTTACATGTCACTGAAATTACTGTTGTACCATGGCACATTGGATTGAATCATAATGTAAAGTAGAAATTTCAATACCTCACGTTGTATCTCCGTCCTTTATGAACAAAGTAGTATCATATCGGTGCGAAAGTGGCGTAGATTGATTGAGTTGGTGCACAACTAGTGAATGTATTAAAGGTCTTGCTTAATAAACTTATATACAGATAGTTGATTGGTTCATTTAAAATATTCAGAAAAATTATTACTATCATTAACATCATTTGTTTTAACTGTAATATTTTAAGTATATCTTCACCATTTTATAAAATAAAGGAAATTATCCGAATATTATGTTATGTTTCTCGTATTGGTCGTGGACGAATCGATTGGGAACCACATATGGAACGTATATTTACTGGTCTTTCAAGAGCTATCACTTTAAATAAAAAACCAGTACATGGTGAATTACTAAAAATAGAAGATATAGAATTTTACGCTGAACTAATCATGAATACCATTGGTCCTGATCGTTCAGATTGTCAATCATCAGTATTATATCGACTGGAGCAATTATTAAAAGTTTGTATGCATATCAATTATTTTCTCATTTAAAAAAATCAGTTTATTGCATAATCTTTTGTTTTGCGTTTCTAATCAAAAAATATTCATGTGTATAGGATTTATTGGTATTATCCCATATAAATGTATATATTCAATATACATTCAATATAATATGAAGATAATTTAACAAAAAAGAATTAAGATTTATTCATTGCTATTGATTTTGAATGGAACACCAATATTTTCACTATTCTATGTAACGTGTTATTGTTTGTCTAAAAACTATACGGAAATGGTTGAATTTTAAAAGTTGATATGTATAACAGCAAAATAAACTGTCAAATAGTATTATGTAGATCACATTGCAGTATGATTCGAAGCTTCTAGCTCATTGGTCAGCAGTCTGAAATATCCGTTTTTATTGTAAGATACGAACGTCTTGAGTTCGGTTGTTTATGAGATTGTAGATGCAGTGGTCTCAAATTTTGACGAATTAACTCTATTGAACGGTTTCATGTTTTTCAGTGTTAATCCAAGTAGTGTAAGTCTGTGATCAAAACCCATTTAAGATCTAATCAGAAGGTCAAAAGTTCACTATACTATGTGATTATTTTCATTTTATGTTTCGATGAATGGTTTTTCGTCACTTGTTTAACCACATATATTGACCTTACCTTTGATTAACTAGTGTATAGTTGTATTTAGTCCTTTTCGTCTCTAAAAAATAGTTTTCATCCAAGTTGATACTCGGTGATTTCTTGAAAATTCTTAATGTTTACTAACAACGATGCTTGACTTACTCAAAACCGATTACACCAGCCCGTAATAGATGAATCGCATTAAATGATGATTATCAGTACGGTGATTTCGTGAATTCGAAAATGATATTCATTTTGAATAATAATAATAATAATAATAATAATAATAATAATAATAATAATAATGTTTATGCTATTTTGTTACAACTTACTTCCTCATATCGTTTAAATACTTTTATTTCATATATATATATATATATATATATATATATATATGTATAGTCTGTTGAATCATTCTATCATCCATCATCGAGTCAAATTGAGGCAGGGAAATTGTTAAGCTGTTTTATATTGAAATTTCTACGTTGTTTAATTAGTCGTTTACGTGATGAATTATTTCCGCCAGTTGAAGCATTGGATTTGGGCTACACACCGCCTGAGGTAAGTTATGTTCTAATTTTTAATCAAAGAGGATTCATTGTTGTTTTCACTCCCGGAAGTATGTATTGGAAAACTTTATTGGCAATATCTTTCTTTTTTTTAATCTCGGATCGTTGAATTTATTCTAGTGGCTTTCTATTATTATAGCTATAGTTTTCATTACCGCATTATTATTTTTAACAAAGTTTTAGCCACTTTTACACCTGGTAATTTACGAATTGAATAACTTTGTAAACAGTAAACGAGAAAATGATGTTGGTGTTTTAGTTACATCTACATTTTGTAGACCTATAACATCAGAAGTACTAAGATCGTACTGTTATTCATATTCTTAAGCAGTTAGTTTTGATTTATTTACAAATCTAAGTTATGCTTCAATTGCGCTCTCAATTTCTACCATTTAAGATGTTGCTTACGAAGTGGTCGAAATGATGTTATGTTATGATAAATTCCACACTTAATGGGGTGAAGATCTATCTTCTGCTTTAAAAAGTTACACAAACATACCACAACAACTCTGAACTTAATGAGATGTGAAGCGAGAACGATTTAAACATTGTGTATGACCACGTGCAGTGAGTGAAGGCTGACTTTTTCGAGAAACATCTCACCGTCAACAATAAAACCAACAACATTACACAAAACAACTATCTGTGTAGCTGATAAAAGTCATTAAGCAAGAAACAGCGAAAAAAATCTATTAATCTGTCAAGAGAAGAGGAGCAGAGGGTAATTTTAGGGGATGGGGTTTCTAGAGCTATGGTGAAGTTTTTTCACGAGAGAGCAAACATTCAACTTTTATCATTAGAGAAGGTGTTTTTGGGTGTTTTCGACACTGGAACAATAAGCTCCATCAGTTTCCGACTTGATGCATTTCTTTTCCTATTGGAACATTTTATTTTAGTTTAAATTTTCCATTTAGCGTTGAAATATTTTTAAGACCATTCACCGACTTATCAGTCAAAGTTAAGGGCGTTTTTAAGATCAGTTTAATTTGATGACAGTTTCTTCATTTGTCACATCTGCATTCAAGGTGGGTACCTAAAGTTTCAGTGAAAGGTTGTAATTAATTGATTTTAGCCTTATTGTGTTTACCCCAGTCACTCATCCATACCATCCGAGATCTGAGGGTTGTGCATTTAACCCCTAGAGAAGTCGTGGGTGTACACTTCCGTGAGTTCCAAATTAGGAAAAAATAGCTGTTTAATTTACACTGTGTTAATCAATCACTCAATCAGATATCGGTCAAATAATATGCTCACACTATTAACCATGGTTTGACTTTACTAAGTAATGTGACCACGTCGCTGGTTGAACGTATGGCTTAAAATTCTAGGGGTAGAAATATATGTGAACAAGTGTACAGTTATCTCTCGATTCGGTTTAGCCAGTAAAATTTTCTTCTCACCCAAGTAATCGGTTGAACTTGGGTATAATTAGCTGGCGTATCAGCATCAGAATCGGACATCGCACACGTAACATTAATTCTGAGATATCAGTCCGTGAGGAAGAAAATTTCAATCATTACTTTCATCTCATATTTTTATTACTATATTTGAAAAGAGTCAAAGCAGTGTCATTTATGTTTTCTTATTGATGCTTATTTCGTCATTATCTTTTTTATGTTAAGCGGATATATCAGCTATTACCGTTTTAGAAGCATATATTAACACTGACACAACATATAATATGGCTTTTTAGTTGAAACTTACTCCAAACAAAGTCTCAAATCTGGTTATGTTTAGCACGTGATTGGGAGTCAAACACCCCAACACTTAATGTTTGCTTTGCAGATTCGAACTCACAGCATCAGATTATTTAGTTCAACCAGCTGAATAGTAATCGTTGGCTACATATGGAATAAAAAACAATGGGTCTTAACTTGGTCACACGTATTTGGGTTTCGTCACTGTATTTCATCTTGCTAGTTCACAGTTTCTTGTCATTATGACGTATGTGTATATTTTTATCTTGTTTTCTCTTTTCAGTTTTATCTGTCTGTGGAACAAGTTGATCAAATTGTTGATTTATTTACACCGATTTGTTTAGATTACTTTTTATATTCAAAATCTGATGCTGTAGTGAATACCACAGTGAAAATTATTCCACTGTTATGTAAACTACGTCCTTGTCGTGTTATGCCATGTTTACTTAATAATCTTGAATCTGGTTTAACTAAACTGGAAATGCCGTTACGTTTCACTCGACCATTGCACGCTTTAACCTATTCAATACAATCATTAATTTACGTTAGATTTCCGTTGTATCCACGTGGACCATCATCGTCGTCCAGTGTGTATTCTGTCAACGAAGATCCTGATAAATTAGAGGACGGTATTGATGATGAATATTATGATAATGATGACATTGATGCAGAAGTTGGTGATAAGGAAATGAAAGAAGGAAATGAAGATGAAATAGTTGATGATGATGACGAAGGTGAAGAAGACGACTCATCAACATCATCTTCATCCTCGTCATCATCAGATGTAGATAATGATAAATGTAACGATACACTTAAATACCATAGACCAAACAATCATAGTTCTAATAGACTTGTGAATGATACTACTGAAAGGCTTACAATGAAAAAGCGAATTTTTCAAAAGGTAGTTAATTGATTTAGATGTTTACCTTATTCGATAATTGTTTCACTAAAATGTTCACTTCCCCTCAAAAACCACAATTGTTATGACGTTTGTAGAAGTCTGGAGGTGTTATCAGTGGCATATTCGTGTGTATTTATTTACCTTTTTTATTGTTATCAGAGAACATAATGTTGTATTTCTCCGTCATCATAGTTTATTAATAACGCATGTGCAATCTCTCCTCATCTTTGTTTCTATTTGTCTGGTCTTACCGGTCTCCCACATTGTCCAAAGATTCCATGTACGTATAAAAATTGTTGCTCTGGTTGTTAGAAAGAGCATCGGCCTCATGAATTCCGAAGAATCTCGGCTTTCATCATGATACGTCATAATTTTTCCTTCGATTAGGAGGGCAGAGTTTAAATATTTAATTTGTTTAATATCGTTGGTGTTTTTTAGCAAAACTTTTTCTACGGGATAGGGTTGCTAACCCCATGCCTAACCCTCCTCCTTTACCCGTGCTTGGGACCGGCAATAACTCTAAAAGAGTTACAGGCAGAATTATAGGACTCATAGCTTTTTTTAAATAAAAAATATTTTGTGTATGCGAACTAAGTTAAATGCAAATGTGACCAGCCTTTAGACCACTGATACCTTTTCTTGTTAAATATCCATTATTTTTAATTTCGCAGACAATTTACGAAGGTTAGTTTTATAATTATGGCATTTAGTGTAGCTGAAAGTATTCTAACAAGAAAATAATTTATTGACTTTCGATCATTAAGTTCGTGGTTCGAACCCAATCTACCTACTTTAGTTTAGGGTGACTGGGTGGTGGCATTAACCCTTACACTAAAAGCGTATTTCATACCCAAGTACTTGGTGGATGTGTTTATTTAAATAAATTGATGTTTTACTCTAGATTTAGTTTTTTTCAGGTTTTAAACCCTAATAACACCGGTTATTGATTACTATTTAACTAATTTCTTTTTGTCTCATGTTTACGGACAAATGAGTTCTGTCGGTCAGGTCTGGAACTTGAAGTGTTCTAGACCGATATGAAACTCCTACTTCAATAGTTTGACAGCGCGATCATAGATGCTACCTAATTGATTACAGGTACATGCTTTGCTAGAAAGCTCTCAAGTTTCCTACTCATCACTGTTGACTGCCAGCTCTCTTAGACAAAAATACTAGGCGTATATGAGAGTACTATTTTCCAAACACAATTGCAATTTCATATTGTTATCACTTTATTTAACTGTGTATGTTCTTTTTACTACTTTAGTCCTCATACAAACCGGCTTACACTCATGTTTCACCGTCTGTTCGTCAAAGTCATTTAAAAGCCTTCACTTATTTATCTGGTCGGGCCGAACTGAATCGTGTTCTACAACTTCTTTCACACGGTTTGGATATGAATTACACAGATCGATTTAATTATTCTGTATCATGTTTAAGTCGGATATGTAAGTACTTTTGTAAAAAGTGTGTAACCATTGTGCACTAATTTTTTGAAGACAAACATTCATTTATCTATGATGGTCGGTGAGACATTTTGTCCATTGTTTAAAGTAAAACTCGTTTATCTGCTTCTGTATACTTAACCTGTTCCTTGGCCTTTTTTACTTTCGTCTGGTTGTTGTCGATTGTTGTCTTCTTGTTTATTTTTTCTTCAATCTTAACCAAATTATATACAGAGATCCACTCATTACTGTAGTGCTTGTTGGGTCCATAACCTCGTGACATTTTGAAGTTATTGCTCCCTTCATCTCTCTGATTGCTCTCCACAGAGTTTTCCATTTCTTCTAGTAGATGTTGTAGGTGTCGGAACCTGTTTTTGTGAACTGTTTTAGCTGTACTTATCTTGTTTTCATCTTGAAGGAAGGCTGTATCAAACGTCTGTATTGTTTTCTGTTCAGTTATCTTGTTCCTCTGCTTCAGTTTCTGTTTTACTGCGATTGGGTTGTGGTGTGAATCCATATAAGCTCTTCTCTATTTGCCAACGTCTTCCATTAACTTTCTGTATATGTTGTTTATGCAGATGTGATCAATCTGGTTTTCCGTAGTGTAATCAGATAAAATCCATGTAGCTTTGTGTAGCGTTTTTGGGAAAATACTGTGTCGCCTATCACTATGTTGTTGGAAGTACGTAGATTTGCCTATCTTTCACCATTCTCTTGTTTCTCCCAGTTGTCGCTTGATGCGTTGTGATACCTAGCGATGTTCGTACTTACCTTGTTGTTCAGATTTTATCCATTTATTCGGAAACTAAATAATCCATGAGTCAAGTAGAGAAGAACACATTATACTTCAGAACACTACAGGTTCTTAAAGCAATATAACCTAGTTAATAGTTTTTCTTCTCTGACTAAAGTAATATAATACATTCAATTAGATTGCTTAAAAATCCGTAAAATCAGTTTAGTTAAAAAAGTCTTAAGGTTTAGTTTTTCAATTAATTAAAAAGCTTTAATAATTTAGCAAATATTGTTAGTCAGTCAGTCATGAAAATATTTATGATCAGAACGGGTTTTGTGGAAATTGTAGTAATTTCAATAGTTGAGATCATGAATCGATTGAAGCTAGACCACCATGGAAAACCTGAAAGCACTGGACGGCCGTTCCGTTCTATTGTGAAACTCCTCAGCAATGCGCATTCACGACTCATGATCTCGACTACTGAAATATTTATGAGGTCATCTAAAGACGAGAGAATTAACTAGACGAAATCTTAATAGGTTAATTTAATAATATCAATGGTAGTAAGTACGTAAATGAGACCTTTAGAAATAGAGAATATTCTCAGGTTACTAGTTTTTAATAATAAATAGTTTCCAATAGTCACAGGCGTTTGTTGAAACCATCATGCGGGTATTACTAATGTTGGATGTATAACACTAGGTAAAGACGGCGAGTCCATTATTGATTTGATAAATTTTCATCGAATGAGGTTGTTGAGACATGTGTTGCGTATGTCCAATCGCCGCCTACGTCTGTACCTTGTGATGACTGATGTAGATGTAAGTTTAAAAAAGCTAGGACTGGCTAATATTTTCTTCTACTTGATCATGTTACTTTACTGATGTGTAGTGTGATAGGTTGGACTAGTGGGCATGTGTGCCTGGTTCTATGTTGCGTACGACTGACTAATTGACAGGAACAGACCATATGGCTCGAAAATAAAAATTCCAATTTTCGGAGGATGAAAATTATAAAATAATGACAAAACTCAAAATGCAAAGGATTATGAAAAGTTAGTTCAAGGATGCTGCTTAGGCCGTTTTTAAGCTATACCAGTTATAGAAGCTAACCAAGGGTTACTATTGTTTTGGGAAATCTAACTTCTGATACTACCTAGGTTGATGAAGTTTCACAACATTTTGAACTAGCTTAACATTTGCACCTACTTTAAATATCTCATAATCCAGGGAACCCTGTAAATTGTTCCGTAATAATGAAGTAACTGATGTAATTTAACAATAAAGTACGGTGTTCAGTTTCTCATTTTTGAGTAAATCATTTGTGGGTTTTGTACTTCGTGTGACGACTGCATCATAATAAAAGCCAGTTCTGTATAAATTAAAAAAAACAGTAATTTTCAAAAGAAATCGATTTTAATAGTTGAATTCATGAGTCAATTGAAGCTAGATCACCATGGAAAACGTGGAAGCACTGGACAGCAGTGAAGTTCAACCAGGTCCATTGTAAGATAGTAACTCACAAACGACAGTGGTGTATGTGTCGCTCGATTTCGTGGATTGGTTGAAGTTAGACATTAACACCGTTGGATGCCGGTCATCTCAGTGGTCTAGTGGTTAAGCGTTCGTGCACGAGACTGACAGGTCCTGGGTTCGAGTGTCGCGAGTCGGGATCGTTGGTACACACTGCTGAGGAGTCTCACAATAGGACGAAACGGCCATCCAGGTTTACCATGGTGACTCATGATTTCAACTACTAAATTACTATAATATCCACAATAACCCCGTTCTTTGATTAAAATCAATTTTAACTAATCAACACATATCTTTACATATTTTTGTCATTATTGTTTTTTTTTAATTATGTAAAGAATATCAATAAAAGTTTGCTTGTAATCTTTTAATTATAAATAAAATCTTTACCAATCTATTGGAATTTAACACGATTAAAACAACATTTTAATTGTAACTCTATCTTTATTAACTGATTTGTGGGTTTAATGATTATAACATTTTAAGAATGATGGATTCTGACTTCCATACTCTACTTATTTCAATTTATCTGTTCAACGTAATATAATCATCAGTAAAGTTCATGGTCAAGTACAATAATCTCAACTTGTTCTTATTAAGCGATTCATCTAAGAAGAATTTCTTTTCAACAATATCATTTGTGAAAACTGTATAATGATTTTACATATGTCGATTGCTTTTAAATTAATGTAGACATAAATCATGTATGCTTAGTGATGTGTGAGCGAGAATGATAATAATTGGTTGTCTGCTTAGTCGGACATGTAGATAGTCTGACAGGTGTCAGATGAGTTATATATTCCCCTATGCTTATAATTATTATCGATTGTTCATTGTTGTTGGATTGTGTCGGGTTTTGGTGTAGAGATTTAGTTACGTTCTAGTCAGGTCAATCACGTGTTCTTGACCTGAGTTGTGTTGAAGTCCTGTAGCATAGACACTGGGAAGGAATCTAGTGTAGATATTCGTCTAAGGCAAATTAACGTCCCATACGTGTAAACGTGTAAACTCACCCATTATAACACTAGACGAAGTCAAACCCGAGCGTTATAACACTTAAATTATAGTTAAATGTCATTAGTAAGTGTGTAGTTTGTTTTTCTATTTAACTATATTAGTTTTTTTGTTTACCCGTAGTATTAATTAAGTAATGTAACATACATTCATATATTGAATAGTGTGTCATGTTTTCTTTCTTATGTAAATTATTGATACTAAAAAAAATGATGTTTTTGATGACGTTACATTTTCTTAGATGAAGTAGCTCAATGGATAAGCTTTAATTATTGTTTTTTTTATTATTGATCACTCAGTGGTTAAGCCAATCAAATTTTACCCACCAAGTCACCCAATTTCAGGAACTTCGGTTTAAATTACCGGGCAGTATTACCTATTATGTGAATTGAAACTAAGTACATAAGTGAGCTATTCAAACTCTGAAGTAGATGGAGTGGGATTTGAACGTGCGATTTCATTCACCTTAATGTGTAACCTCACTGTCACCATGTATAACAGGTTTATTATCGGTATTTTTATCATCCTGTAAAAATAAGTATATATATTTGCGATTGTACAGCTTTGAAAATGAATTCGCCGAAAAGAGAACTCTTTGCTGATTTAACCTTTTTTATTTAATGTCTTAATGGGTGCATTCCGTTTAGTAATATGTTTTCATCATGGGTTAAACCCTTAACAAAAAAGTCTCTGACTTATAACTATTTAATAAGAAACAACATCAAATCAGTTCACATTTCACAGACAGTACAAAAATGTTTTAAATCGATAAGTGTGAAAAAGTAAACAAAATTATGAGTATGCACAAATCTATATCAATAGAATTGTTAAACAAACGCAGTTTACATTGGCTTTTGATATTTTTCTTATTGTCTTTTTTTGTTTATTAGTCCTTTCAACGCCTATATGGGATTTCTCAACTATGCAATTTACTAATAACAACAATATCAATCCAAATCATATAACCACTGAAAGGATAATCTCGGAATCAAATGACGTAGAAGATACTGTCTTCATGATATATGAACGTATTTTGAGTTATTTATCCATATTAAATGATGATAGTACAAATTCTGTAAATTTACAAAGTATTTCACATTTATCGAATAAAATGTATCGACCACAAACTGGACCTCCTAATGGTCATCCACGTTCATATATAGATACATGTCAAATGAGTAGATTAACTGGTCTGTGTGTTGCATTGGGTTTATCTACATCATCTAATTCACAATTACGTTGTCGATTAATTAGATTGCTAGTAGATAGAATATTTTCTTGTCAATGGTCACCAGATACATCACGATTAATTGGTTATCAAGCATATTGGCTAACGATTGATTCATCTTATAATGACAATAATAACAACATAAATCCATCAATTTATGCTTTGAAGTTAATATGGTCTAAATTTATGGCCATTGTAAATGAAATTGAAAATGGTATGTTTAACACTTTACTATATTCAATTATATACATTTAGGTATTTTTAAGTAGATTACCTATTCAAATTTAACACTAAAAAGCTTTTTTTCACTAACCCATGACAAGTTCAGTGACCAGTAGTAATTGATCGAATCTTCTGGAAATTTTTTGTTTACCCAACCAGTCGATTGACATGGCGTTGGTTTGCACTTTGGTGGTTGAAGGTTATGATTTCGATAGGATTATTTTTCATATAACTTAATGACGAAATACAAGTTTGTATACCTGGCTTGAAGTCATATGTGGCTAATAGCAGTCATTAGCTGTGTTAACGGAAGTATTATAGAATCAAGAGGTTATCAATCATGAGGAAGTGATCTTCAGTAATTATTAACAAGCTATATTTCAAACTGATAGAAACACATCTGTTATGTCAATTCTGTAAGTCTTATTCTCCAGTATGGAAGTCTTGGTACTCATGCCCATATTCATATCCATCTGGATGAATTCACACTTACCTACTATGTTACACTGATATTAGACAATTAATTTATTTCTATTTTTTAAAACTTGCTTAATATTGGTAAATTATTATTACATAAAAACAGCTTACTGTATCTCATAACTGCATAATATTTGTAACATAAAAGTTGATATATTTATGTACATGTTTACATACGGCTCATACACAGCGTCATATATGGTCCAGTTTATGACTTTTAAGTCTCACAATGAGTGTGTCTTGTACTGTTTCGCTAATGAGTCGGAATACAATACTTCATTGCCAACTCACAATTCAGCACAACCATTGTTTAACATCGTCCCTATTTGAATTATCTACTCGTAACCTGGTTGTTGACTTCAAACATCTCGGAGCTTCCCACTAAAAATTTCAACAGAAGTCGATCTGTTTCATTCCGGACATCAATGAGTACTGGATTCCAAGTTAATTGCTTTATGTTAATAGTTAAATTTTAACCGCTTACAATTTATTTGTTTTTCATTAAACTAAATTTCTCAAATTTGAGATCACCATTATTGAATTTCTTACTATCATCACCTTTTGTTAATCATAACAAAACAAACTATACATAATGTATTTCATTTTCCTTTATTGTTTATATTATGCTAACACTACTTCCGTGTTTTACTGTGTATACACTTAAAGCATTTCATGTTGTTTAATCTCCGGTTGTTTTTTGTTGAATGCAAACTAATAAATTAAGTGTAATGCAGAATAGTTCCTTGAATTACGATAATAACGACAACAAAACATCAAATTCTAGGACACATGTGTATCATCAGCTGATTAAGAGTTAAAAACTACAACATTCAAATTATATTTTTAATATTTATTAAGTGCTGTTAATTCGTGTAAATTTATAACTGTGAAAAGTAAGTTAAGTAATTGGCATACATCGGTTAAATGTGTTTCCAATTATTCTGATATAATAAATGGCTATTTCTTTGGTACACTATCATAATGCGTTAATACGATAATGAGATTAGTCACGTTATATCAGATTCAGGGTTAATGACCCAGAATAGGGAACCAGATTAACACTAGATATTACTTTATTCGACACAATTACACGAAGTCGCATTCACTGAGTTTGGAGTAGAAATATGTGAGAGGAGAACTAACTCTCTGCCGTACCGGGGTATTTGGCGTCTGCATAAACTATTGACTTTTATCTCCATCTTCAAGTGATAATCTGCCTATCTTTTTAAACAATATTCAAATATATAGTTACATACTCTGGGTTACTAACGTAACACGCTACAAACTGATTCAAGTATAAGTTTTGATGAATTGTCTAGATTTAAGCTGTTGCATTATATTTAACCACTAGTTACGTTAGTTTGTAGTACTACTTGAAGTACACGTAGGTTATAAAAATCTTCAATACAATGCCCAAAATGTGTGCATTCGGTTTTCTTGCTGCCTTAAGTACACTCTTCCTAGGAATCTTAAACTGTAGAGCTCAACGTTTTTTACCAGTTCCCCTAGCTGAGATATTCGTGATTCAAGCGATCTTTAAACATCGAATTTAATCTTAAAAAAGAAATATAAGTTTAATCTCGATTACCAAAGAAATGTTTCTAACCAGTTGATTTTCACTAACGTTTATTTACGTAAGCCATTCCGTTTTTGTATACTAACGTTTCTGATTTCGGGTTCTTTTTTAAAAATTCCTTCACTTCTTATATTGGGATCGAACCAATTTACATTTCTCTTTATACATAATTCTATACACTTCATAACCTCGTAAATTTAATTGATGTTTTTCACTTGGTTTTTCCCTTTAGATGGATCTTACATTTATCACTATCGCGCAGAGCCTAGGCTTCTTTCTTTATTATATATTCTACCAGGGTTTATTTGTGCATTACCACCGGAAAGTTTAATTGATCCAACTATCTATAAAGAGTTTATTGAACCATTAATTATCGTACTTGGTAAATTATGTTATTTATCAACAGGATGTCTTGTCAAACCAGATTGGAGTCATTTTACATCTCTGAATAATATGAATCTAGAATATAACAAACTTGTAAATGCATGTCCTGCCTTGTCTGAAGCATCAGCAAGTTTTCTTGCTATGCTACTGCATCGTTTAACAAGTTACAGTATTGATTTTCGTCGTTTCAATTTACTAGACAATATTGTCGGTGTAGATGAACAACAACAACTAAATAAAGTTGATGCGTATATTTCATCTCCTTGGTGGAGCCCGTTTGTCAATTTGAAATCCATTGTTAATTATTGTTACAATCATAAGAATCAGAAACAGCACAGTTTTTGGTTTAAACCGACAAAAATGACAACTTCTTTAGCTCGACAATTAGTTAAATCATTTTTACATCCCGTCATGAAAGAATTAGAGAAAATTCATGAGAATTTAACCTCTTTATTACATACTACCACTACTAATGATCATAATACTGTTAACGGAATAAACTACATTGAACAACGGAACCGGTTCACATCATTAACAATCTGGATGAATCACTTAATGAATGGTTTATCTGATGCTTTAGCACCTCGTATAAAAAACCTTAGTGTGAACGAAATACGTATTGGACAACATTTTATGCCATGGCATGGTCTATCTAACCTAATTGATCCTCATGAAGTTTACAACGTAATTTCAATCGACGATTTGCAATCATCTTCTGTATCAGATTGGGATATCTCTTATTTTTATATGAGTAGTAAAAATGATATAGGTGAAGAGTTACGTGATGCAGCACTTAAAATCGGTTTAAAACTATTGGATGTGATTTCACAATTGATGAAAGAAACTGATGATAATTTGATATCGTGCCATGACAGAACTCGTGGTGATGAGATTGTCGATAATGTTTGCGATAATTTGACTGGTAGTTTTGGTGATATAGGTGTTTCAGAGAAATTAAATGACTGTAAGTATTTCGATTGTCTTCACTTTTTATGTTATACTGAATTCTCCCGATTTGTATAAACATAATTCATGCTAGTTCATTTTAGTGACGACTACGTGAAGACAAAAAAAATAATGTCTTACCGAATATTAGAACTATCATTCCAATTCGTCACCTGTGGCCGAAAACGAGGATAGAATGAGAATAATTATTGAATCATCAGCTAGATAGTGAACGTAGGTTCAAGGAATCAGATTCATTAACATAGTTTATGACATTCTAGGCTTTGTAATTTAAGCTATGAATTGCGTACCACTGGCAAACTAAGTAATTTTCAGGTTTAGTCTAACGCCTATGGACCAGGCCTTCCGTCAGTTAATGGGACATGAGCTCGTGTGCATGTGTATTTTTCGGAGAAATATTTGATTTTTGATCCTATCGAATAAAATATTTTCTGATAGTGCTTCGCGATAAAAGTGCCAACGAGCATTCATTTTGCATTAATAACAAATGTTTACTTGAATACCCGCGGTCATATCTAAGTTTGTGACGAGTTATCTTTTGAAGTGAATGCATCAAGTCTCGTTTATAAATAAGGTTTACCACACCCATTTTCCAACTCATCGTTATTATAAACTTTACAAACTTTTCCTTGCAAAGGTCTTTTCATCAAAATGAAGTGCATTGACGTTATCCTACTACCTTAAAAAAAGTAAGAAAAGATAAGGTCCTATAAATATCTTAAGTGACTACTTTGAAATGTTTGTGATGTATTTATCATCTCCCAAATGCCGAACTGTTGCTTAATAACTGGGTTGTGTCACAGTCTAGTTTAGGGCATAAATACACTGACCATATTGGTTGATCACATATATCGGTAGAAGATATGATCGCGATACTAATTTCAGAGATTCATTCATCCGTAGTGACCTAAAATCGAATTGATATAAAATTAACTCATTCTAAAATGTCGAAATTATTCGTTTCACTTTAGCTCTATTAGAACATACTTCTAGAAACTTAGAGTGACATTTTAATGTACGTTAAATTTTACTATCTAAAATCACTTTGTAGATGTTATTAAGACGTTTTACTGTGTATTTATACTCATTGTTGTTTTCTAAGGTAATTCTACTATTAAATCAATCTGGTTATTATTCAATAATGTTCAAGTCTACAATCTAATGGAATTCACTCACCAAGCTCTATTTAATTTACCTATGGAAGAGCATAGACCATATCTTTTACAAATTATACGTGGTCCACGAGGTCTATTATCTATTGATTTAGGCGCTCGTAATTGTTTGCATTTACCAGATCAAGAACTTTCACGTCCAAATGATTCTGAGAAATTATGTATACCTAGTATAAATTCTTTAACAGGAACGTTTTGTTCCACAGCATCATCATCTTCATTGTTAAATCAAAGTGAATTTAATGAAAATTTACAAATGTATTCTGGTTGTACCATTATCACTTATATCGCACGTATCCATCATCGTTTTTCCATATTAATGTTAAATCATTTACGAAAACACTTGATGCTTACAGTGAGAAATTCCACTGGTAAATTAATATCACGTTCTATCGCCTGTTCTACCATAATACAACCATCACTAGAAATTATGAAATTTACAGATATTTTAAGTGTTTTGGCAACATCTCCACGTCGATCAGATATTCGACAACTGGCTAATTTTTTCCTCAATGCACAATTAATTAAATTTGTTCCTTCGGTAATTAATTAAATGTTTTTCTTAATAAATTTCAGTGCTCTTATATTTAAATATTAAGTTGTGTGTAACGTTATATTATTCTTTTGTAGAATTATTTGTGTTTTGGATATTGTTGAGTTCTCCATATTAGATGGTTTGATTGGGGATCTATCTGAGCTGCAAATCCTCTCCATCTTTTTCGTCATTAATATGATTTTAAGATACTAGTGAGTTCATTCATTCATTCATTCCACGAAGAGGTTTGTTTTACCAATATAGCCATTTAAACTTAACATACATCATAACAAAAATGTTCGTCAGTCCACGTCCCTATACCATTTTGGGGCTCACGGTTTAGATGCTGGTACATACTTGACACATTTACATCACCACTACTTACCACGAGTAATATCAGATATGGTCTCCAGCTATTGATCGTAACTATCACATCCACACCAATTACGTAGTCCAAATCTACCAATACAGCCTAGACTATGTTTTGGTTTAAATGTTTCTAACTCCCTTACAGTTTAGTTCTCCATCAGCCAGTATTGTGCGCCTAGATAGGAGGTATTCGGTCACGTATATATTCAAGCCATCTTGGCCAATGAACATTTATCATCTTCACATCATACCCTTCGCTAACCTTAAAAACGCTCGCTCGGTTGTTTCACCATACACGGACAATGCTTCGAAGATATCTATGGTTAAATACAAGTCACTGATAGATGTTATATACTTCCAGAGAGCACAAAGTAGAACCTGGCTGTTTAGCACACTCTACCTTTAATAAAACGATGAATATGTTTTGTAAACCATGGGGGATGTTTGTACGTGTGTCAAATCATCATGCTTCAAACACATTATTTAAGGTATATCTCCCATTAAAACTGAAATGCTGGAGTTTTGTCACCTGAAATTTCGAACTAGGTACCACTATCGGTCGAACTCTAAATCTCTTACGATTATATAGTGACTTACATTTTGCAAATTTAGTCATTTCACAGTATTAGAGTACAATCATCATCCAAGATTATTTTATTAACATTAAGATTTCAACATTTCTGCTTGTTTTACTATTTTTTTTCTAATACTCGACTCTTTTTTTAATTTTGTAGATTGGTACAAGAGTAGTAGAATTATTAGTTAATCGCTTAAATAATATAGCCACAGATATAAAATTTCTAATGTCCTCGCCTGATTCACCATCGTCTTCTTTATCATTATGTTCCTCAACATCTCCACTTGCATCGTCTTCTGTCTTATCTTTATCTTCCATTGGTTCATTAGAAGGAAAACAAAAACTTATACACCATCGACGTATGTCTACAATTATCGCATTGAAACAGATATATGCACGTCACCATTGGAATCGAGAATATGATGAATTATTTCGATTAAATCCACTTTTATTTGTACAATTTTGTACTAGCCTTGTAAAACAACTAATTAATTATCAAGAAGAAAAATCTATTTGGTTTAAAAATTTTGAAAAAAGCAATAATCATAATGATGATTTAGTGAACAAACCTTATCACCGTCATCAGCAGCGGCATCAGCAACATCAACAACATCAATTAAAACAATTACAGACAAATTGTGATCATTTAGAACATTTAATAAAACAAATTCTTCATTCATTTAAAGAATTGCCTATAGATTGTAATATATATCTTTCATTTCATTGTGAAAATGGTCAGATTCCATCTACTAGTTGGTTGAACAAAGTTTATTCTGAAATTAGTAGTTGTTTAAATGCATTTCAATATCCATTCGATGTGAAAACATTGAATAATTCAAATAACATTATGAATATATTATTTCATAACCGTGGTACAGCTGCAGCATTGTTCAATCGTAATATTTCTGATTATATTATTCGTATACACTCAAATGATTATCAACAGTTAAATTCACTAGTGAATGGTTCAACAAATTCAGAAAGTACAACAATTGATAAAAATGCTAATAACCATAACGATGGTTCCAGTACAAGTTGGTCATTAACTGTAGCATTGTTAGAGATATTACATTATCCTGTCAGTCCACCATTTGTACCTGTATGGAGATTAGATAACTGTTCTATACACCCACCTATTTTGAGTCCTCCATCTTTGAAATTTATTCAAATTGCTTTAAAATTAATGATTGGTGAACAGACTGAAGTTGCATTTACTGCATGTAGGTGTATTTCGGAGTTGATTTTCAGTCTAATAGGTTTGTATCGTATCCCATCACGTAAATGTATTTATCCCATACAAATCTGTCAAGAAAAAATGATCACCAACACCACTGATTTGTCAATTTTGCCAAATCATCATCCTAATGTTAATTCACCGATGATAGCTGGGCCTCGTCCAGATAACTTATGGTTATTCTTTAATGAAAATGCTAGAATTTTACAATCAGATAAAGCATATGCATTCCATCATCACGTTGTGTCGATAAATTGTGGTTTCGTGTAAGTAGATATCGATCAAATCATGCTTATGTTTAATTGATCTTATCAAGTTCTTTTTTCTAAAATTATTTTATTCCAAGTTCTATAAAACTGGGGACATATGTAACATAAAGTGCTTCGTATCTATGGTTTTCATTTTTAGTTTACCACTATCGTTCCTTCGTATGCAGTTTGTAACTAGCGCTTCTGATATGTTAAAATACTCATATCTTCGATTTTTCTATATACTAGATACAACCTCCACATATAGTTTTCCTCTTTCCCGCTAATTCGAAAGGCCAAATAAGATTAATTAAATTGAGATGTGTTGAAAAGTCCAGATTTACAGTAGGAAAATGTCAGAATTAGATGTGCTAGAAACTTTTTTCATCATTTCAAATATTCCCAACTGTTGTATGTTATGATTATCGATCAAATCAACACGCTTTAGGTTGCTTAACCTTTTATTGTACTATTCCGTTCCATACAACAAAGTTTAAATTCGATTTCACCAAGATCACAGGTTGGCATTCTTCTCTATGCCCAACGTATCTCGCCGTAATTAAAGTAAGTCCAAAAATAAATCTGTATTACAATAATTTAATTTGAAAAGGATGGAAGAAACTTACATTGAATTAATAATATTTCTCCCAGTGGTTTTGTTATTCGGGTTTTCGAAAGAAATGCCACTAAGGTTTCATCCTGTAGAAACTGAACATCACGTGATTCATTATTTATTTTTGCCTTTTATATGCTTACCCATATATATGTATATAGTCATATGTTTATGCTGCATCATATAATCATCTGATTTTCATGAAGAACGAGTAACAGATACTTTTTAAAATGATTTACTTTGGTGTTTTTTTAATTGTAGCATACAATTTTTATCCGATTTTTCATGCAACATTTTCACTAGACGATTGCATTTTAACCTTTTTTAAATTATCAGTATAGGGTTGTGGAGATTATTAGGTTATTGATTGAGATCATGAATGGACCAGTGTTAGACCACCATTAAAAACCTGAGAGCACTGGACGGCCGTTTCGTCTCATTGTGGGACTCCTCAGCAGTGTGCATCCACGACCCTCGAGCAGGAATCGAACCCAGGGCCTTCAGTCTCGCGCGCGATCGCTTAACCTACTAGACCACTGAGCCGGCATCTAGTGGTGTTAGTGTCTAATTTCAACCATCTTCCATTGTACTGAGGTAGTACCTGTCTCTACCCGACACAGATTAACCCCACTGGTCACGGCTTCTCACTAGAACTCCGAGGATTCCCTCACGACGGTAGTCAGTAGTGATCACACGGTAATTGTCAGTATAGGGTTGGGAAGATTACTAAGTTATTGATTGAGATCTTGAACCGATTTATGCTGAAGAGTCCCACAATGGGACGAAACGGCCGTCCAGGTTTTCAATGCTGGTCTTATATCAATCGGTTCAAGATCCCAATCAATAATTTCTCAAATTAATCATAATAATTACTTGTCGGTATTTTTCAGTGAATACTTTAGGGAAAATAAGCATTCAACTTGTGCTTTAAATATCGACGCGCTGAACATTATTGCTATTTTCTTTTATCGAACATTGCAATGTTTCTATAGTATAAACCCGCGTTATGTATTATATTTCAGACTAGGATAAATTATCAGTCATATTTCGATCAGAACTATGTATTAGGTAACATGCGTTGATAGATAATTTTAAAAAATTATGTCGCGCTACTCGGTTAACTCGATTGTAACGCCTCTGTATCCAACAAGAGAAATCAATTATTGGAAGAATGTAAATGTATCTTACAGTATGACTCGTTGAGCTGAAGCTCTTTTCAGATTGTATTCAATCATTTACATAAAATCATAATAGGTCTGTTCATGTTTTCTAGTATGTGATATGCAAAATCCTTTATGGTGAACATTTATCGTCGTATCATCTTTCCACACCTTTCCATTTGATATATTGTCTATGTAATTTCATAAAGATATTTAACCATCGATGGGACTATTATTAATAATCTTAATATACCTATTGAACCATTATACAATTAATTTAGCATAAGAACTATCGTCATCTAGTTCATTTTTGAATCTGTATAGTATATAATTGTTAAAGTAATAAACAGAGGGAGTATAAATGTTACTAACCGGATAGTTGAAATTATTAGCATGTTATTTAAATGATAATCAAAATTATAAAGATCTTTTTGTAGTAATAATAATAAGATAAATAACAAACATTTACATGAACATAAATGCAAAATGTAGTAGACCTTAGGCCATCGTAAAGACATATCGTTATTGTACTGTGTTCTTTAGACTTTGAATGACTTAACCTTCTTCATTATAAAGTAGGTTTAGACATTGATCTTATATACAGTGTTGAAGTATGAATTTGAGGTTAAACGTTATAATTCTTTTATCAGAGATCACTTAAGATTTTCCGGAAAACTGTGTGGCTAAATAATTCTCCGAATATTTGTCCACTTCTGTTAGACTTTCATGAAACATCATTTACACTCGCTAAAGTTAACTAATCTACAGATACGGATTTTCCTCCTATTCTAACATGTCTATATATTTTGTACAAAAAATACCACTTCACATTTCTCTTTATCGTGTGCTCTTTTAGTCGTTCAGTCTCCTAAATGGTAAGTGTCTGCAGAATGATTTCTGCTGACTCTGTTGTTGTTGCCGTACCCAGCATTTTTTTCTAATAAACTAGTATGTTTGTTATGAATTTCGCATATATATATATATATATATGCATTTTAACCTGTAATTAGTCTTATTGGTCGAAATTATAGTATATCTAACTATTAACAAACATTTTAGTTCAACTATGCTTAGTATGTGAGTTGATAAATATTCGGTATTCATATCTATCATTGAACTTTGTACATTTGATAGGTTGTATGATAATAAAAATACATATATGAACATATGTCAGGTTTTAGTGACACACATTTTCTAACATCAGGGAGTTCTTGAGCTCATGTGATCATTCCCTATTATCATCATCTATAGTAGATATTCTTAACGTGTCAGTCAATAGATCTCAGTGTTCAAAGCTTACGTACTTCATGTAAGTCCTGGAAATTTTAGGTTTAATATCAGAATGAACCGTTATACCATATTTTGAAACATCCTCAAGTTAGAATGTAACATCTTTTGCTTGGTTCTTGCACAACATTTAACTCCAACTTTGTATGAATAATTTACGATATTAACATCAATATAAACAGGAGTTTTAGTGAACATTAAACATTATCCACTAGACCAATGATCACTATCTAACCTGAAGTTATTTGACCAGCTTTAAATACATAAAATGTATTGCTAGTATTATTAAACAAATATCACTTCTTGTACATTCTTTCTTCATCATACATGTATGTAATTTAACAATTGAATTGATGAGTCACTTGAAGCTAGACCACCATGGAAAACCTGGAAGCACTGGACGATCTTTTCGTCCTGTTGTGGGACTTCTCAACAGTGTTCATCTACGATCCCGCCCCGCGAGATTCGGATCCAGGACCTATCAATCTCGCGTGCGAACGCTTAACCTTTAGACCACTGAGGCGACATCCAATGGTGTTAATGTCTAACTTCAACTAATCCACGAAATTGGGCGCCACACACACATCATTGTCATCTGTGAGTTACTATCTTACAACAGACTCGGTTGAACTCCACTGGTCAAGGCTTCTCACTAGAACTAAGAAAAAATTCTTGGAGACTGTCAGTAGTGTATATGTATGCATAGCTAAATTTAACTAGGTTTTACCAGCTTCCTTAATTCACTAGCTGTTTACTCATATGCACACATTGTTGAGAATTTATGTCTATTATTTCAATGTTTTCACTATATCCTCTAATCCATTATAATAGTTTATTGTTATCCTAAACTTTACTTTTATCACGTAAAAACATGTTTTTGGCGAGACTATAATTTATGGATGGAAGCAGTCAGGTGTAGGATAACAAGTCTCGGATTTTGGCACGAAATTCATTCATTCGTTTGGCTAAATAAAATTTCGGCATCATAACTGATGTCAGTTCGTGATGAAAACCATAAATCCAATTCCTAACGTTAACCATTAGTTGTAGATCATAATTCGAATTTCTCACACTAATTTATAACCCTCATTAAGTCTTAGTTATTAGGTGGACACTCTCAAGGTCACCTTAGTGTCGCTCAACCGTCGTCCATAAATTATAGTCTCATCTTTTTTTTTAAAAAAAAACAGGAAAAAAAATTTATAGCATATTTAATTTCTATATTAATTATAACAAACAATTAAAGCACAGTATTTATTTGTTTTATTCACTTATTTTCCCTGAGGTGTACTTTTCTAATTATCCCAATGAATAATGTAAAAAAGAATTTCATGTTTTATTATTATTATTTATCGAATTCTCTATGCACATGCCTAAATTTCACTTATGAGCAACCATACTACTAACTTACACTAGTTAGGACAAATACAGTTAACTATCTGGTAAATTTAAGGTATCATGATTTTCAACTGACTGATTTCATCCATATAGTTCCAAAAAGAAATGAATACTGTCAAAGTATGTAAATATTGAAATGATTCATTGATAGTTTTGTTTTATTTCATATTATTTGATATTATTGCATCAACTCAATTCAAGGTGTGATAAATATGCATCATTGATATTGTGTATAATTTATCATGTTATATCACAAACTGAAGTAATGTTACATGAAATTTTAGTTTTTGACGTACTGGTCTAAAGTCACCTTCCCAGCTGCGAGACATTCAAAGTCTTCGGTCCGACCTTATTTCGAATTATGAGTATATGTTTTCTTGATAAAATTGCATTCTTTGATGTTGGTGTTTCACACACGAGGCTTTCATTATATTTACGATTATTTCAACTGATAAACCATTACATTACACTGTAGCGCTAACCTCGAACCACTAACATGACCCATTCGTATTTTACCTGTATCTAGTCACTTGTTTTTTACGTTCATTTATTCTCTTCTCTTTTATACTGAATATTCTCGTCGTTCCTTTCTGCCGTCGCTCAGTTACTATCCTACTCATTTATATATCTACGATCCACATGTTATTCTACCTTATCCAACATTTGATAAAAATGGACAATTAATTGCAGAAAAACCATTAAATCAAACTAATTTAACTACTACTATGACTGTTTCAAATGATAATTCAAACAACATTGCCTCATCTAAACAACCATCATGGTTATCTCATTTCATTATTGATGATGATGAAAATGACAATAGACAACAGACTGCTTGTTTATTGGCGAAGAAATTATGCAGTCCTTTGAGTGAAACACGTGAATTTTGGACATCATTAGCCAAACAATTACTATATATGCATAGATCTCATTTTGATAAACAAGGTTACTATACATTCATAACACATTATTTAATTAGATCATGTTTATTGGCTTTTGGTCCGAAAAATATGTTGGAACATTTAGAATATTTTATGAAAACCTTACTTATCACATTACCTAATTCTAAATTACCATTGGATGGGAAAGCCGAGTTTATTGGTTTCTATTGGATACAAGTTGTGTTGAGTGATATCGTTAATATTAGTTCATTATGGTCACGTCAGTGGAAATACTATTTCTGGGGTTGTTTCATACCAAGAATATTGTGTTGGTCAGAAATTTGTGCATTAAATGTATCAGTTAATGATTTGGCTCAATCGGTTGATGAAAAATTACATCCAGCTGTAAGACATGTTCAGTGGACGATGCCAATTTATGCCGGAAGATTTGCTGGAGGAAGAGATGATGAAGATGATATTACAGGTTAGAATACTATTTAAATGTATTACGTCTCACAATTTTCACAACTGATGTAGATCCAGATATAAAGTAAAAAGAATAATACTGTATTGTATTGAAATTATAACTGAGTGCACAACAGTGTTCAAAGCAACCATCATTATGTACAAACATCACAGTTCTTTCTTAGGGTATTGTTTCCCGAGTCATTAAACTTAATGTGTTTAACTTTAAAGATATTTGGATGTGGAGTGGATCCGAAAGATGCATTCTTACTGTAATGCTTTATCCAATTATTTCCACATACTGTCAATTTCTCCAGTATCTTACTAAGAGGAGAATCATGTTACGAGTTAGATCAAAAACAGGATTTTAACACTTCGAAAATTATTTTGAGATAGATTAGTGTATATACCATCGATGCACACTTATTCAACAGTTGGTTTGTGGTATTTTTATATTTATTCTACTTGTAAACTTTCATTCCACTGATTAATTATTACTATATCTTTTCCCATTCACAATCCACGGTTAAGAAAAGGAACTCATGGTGTCATTAAAGAAGAATTAAGACAGTAATTGTCTTAATTCTTTTTAAATTACAGTTAATCAATTCTGTTACCCAACTTTCTATCACTTATGTCTTATGTAGCTTTTGGGATTTGTTAATTATGATACATTGTAGTTCAGTATTTTATGTAAATAATCACGTGCTTTCGAGTTTGAAAATGATACAAGCTATCTGACCCATTTCTACGGTATTCTAACTTGTAAATTAAAAAAAGTTTATTTTGTATGGAGCGATAGCTTTTTAGAGTGTGTATGTGCCTAACCTTGCTGATTGTTGATACTCCCACTTGATACAACTACATACTATTATTTTATAATTTTAAAGTAGGTATATTTTGCAGTTGTGTTCTTAATGTCTTATTCGAAAGACATACCTCATTTGTTGTGCTTTTGATAGCATATTTGTCAGTTAAATTTTTCAAGATTAGATGTTTTTTAATTCCTGATGTTTAAATAATTTCCTGTGGCAGTATCATACTTTTAAATAATTCTCCTTCTTATATTTCTAAGTTCTTATGTATCATTCGATTTTATTATATTCAGATCTTGGTTAGTAATGGAATCCGGGAAGTCCCTGTCATCCTGTTTAAGACCTGTTACTTAGTGCGCCTTCATTCCATTGTCAGTATTCTCACTGAGACACAAATTTAGTACGTATTGCTGCCAAAATCAATAAATGAATTTCAAAATGAACTACTAACTTCAAATAATCATTAAGTTGTTTAACGGATGTGATGTTTATTAGTAAGAGTTTGTATTATTCCCGTCTTAATATTCAGTCTTGAATATAACTCGGTTGTTGAGTTATAGTCTTTAAATGGTTTCTGTAAGTAGTTTAAGGAGGGCATACAACTTATAGTTTTTATTGGATGTTGCCTAATATGTAGGCGACGTTTCCTGACTTAGACTTTTAAATAAGGCAGTAACTCAGTAGTTTTTCTAAAGAGTTATGTAAATATACTCCTAATCAAAATTACTTTCAGTCCTTATGATAGTATGTATACAAGGAAAATATGTAGTGTGTATTAATGACATATTGAACTTTCGGTGTGTGTTTTTTTCAATTTTTTAACATTTGTTTTTGTTTCACTTTCTCTATGCTTTCCTTCTTAGCCGACTGTAAAACTCATTCGGAAGATGTAAACTCAAATCGTAATCGTTGTGATAAAACATTGTTATCTAACACTGTTAAACAATCATTAGCTGGTGGGCCATTTCATCGTATTCATTTTATGTATGATTATATTATTAATTGTGCTACAATCAATTATAATTCAGATGTCCACTGTTTACACCCATTATGGGATTGGGCTATACAAGGATTAATTGACTGTAATAATAATAATAATAATAATAATAATAATAATAATAATAATAATAATAATAATAATAATAACGATTCACAAATGAATCCATCATCATTTTGTCAACACACTATTAATAAAGATCACGGAATTACTTCCATTGAAGATACTTGTCCATCATGTATATTAATACAGCATTTACCATTAGTACACCGTCGAGTATTCTATGAAAGATTATGTTATAAATTTGTATTTTCATTAGGTTGGCTTGGTATACCATTATATAGACGATTATTATCTTATCAACAATGTTATTCTACTATAAACAATTCTACTCTATGGTATTCACAAGCATGTAATAACTCTGTATGGTTAAGAGATTTATCAGCCAGTAATGCTGTTTATCGTGTATTACCTATTAATAATTTAATTTATCATAATAATAAAAATAATTTAAATCTAATTAAATATAAATTAAAACAAACTGAATTAATATGTTTATCAAATCAATTATCAATAAAAGATGCTTTAAATTATCAATTATTTATAAGAAATTTATTTAAAATTGATGATCCATTAGAATTACTCGGTGGTGAGTTTTTATTCAAATCGGTAAGTGTTTACAATGTTCTATATTCTTTTCATTTTTTTTAATAAATAAAAAAATCTATATGATGACAGAAGTTTTAAATAGATAGATATAACGAAATAGAAACTTACACGAAGCACTAATATAGTTGTGATTGTTACATTACAATAGAATAGAATTAGGCAAATAGTTTACATTTCTTCATACTACTTAGATTTTGATTCAAAGCCAATTCTGATGAATTATGTAACAAGTAAAGTTAACTAAGTATATATATATATATATAACACCAATTTATTGACTTTATCAACTTATTTCCTGCTTCAAACTAGTGTTATTTTTTTTAGCACAATAACAGTTTTCCTATCTTAGTGAACTGTCATATCAAAATACTAGTTTGAAAACGTCTATAATTACTTATCATCTATATTTATCTTCACTTAATGGGAAAATGGCGTCAGTATGATTTAATTTAATAAGTGGCTGTTTCTATGGAGGTTAATCTTCATAAAGTCAGATGAACTGAGTTTTACCTCCGGTAACTTATCTATGAAAAATTGAATAAATATGCTACTAATAGATAACCTTGACGTACGTATTTTAAATGATTGCTTATCTTGAATCCTGTTTTGATCATGAGTATGGCCCTCAAATGCCCTTGTACGGTCAAGACTGGAGAGAGTCAGCTCCCCCTCTCAAATGCTGTCACATGACCACGCATATGCAGCCATTGCCAGGGAAGTCCTATTTACTGCCTTCTCGCGGCATTACTGCTGTTTACGAAATTTAGAGGACGAAAAGGGAATGTCTTGCGCTTTAAGCGGATTGGTTGATATGGATGGTTTACCTAGGGGAGTTGGAAAACCCTAATTCTAAACCAATGATGCTCATGGGCTCCAGTATCCTAAGGAAACAAATGACGCATGAACCTGCTGTCGGTTATGGGTTACCATGGGACCGCATCTCCTTACGTTGCTTCACCACCTTGTGGATCAGATCTTTGGGTCGAGGGCTGCTGGTGTGGCCCCCTACGAAGATCACCTGCTTCGGTTCGGACAGTCGGACAATATCACAGCCTACACATAAATCAAGTGACTTGTGTGGTGCATATGTATTCGGTCCCCTTTTCGTACCAATATTTGTGTGTTCAAATAAATAAATCATGAATATGAGAGTAAATGACCTTCATTAGTATGATCAAGTTGTTATTACTAACAAACTCATCAAGTCGTAATGTGTATTATATTACGTAATAAACAGTAAAGATTACCACGTATACTAAACAGAAATAACGTCATCTTCTATTCAGCTAACCGCAACTAACCTAGATATCTAACATTGTGTACGAGTACATTTGCAATGTTCTTAGAAATCAAGTGAAAATCTAACATACTAAAACTTTTAAAATTCAGTTGTTGAAAATGCTGTTTTCAAACAATGCACATAAGAGTTTTATCATAGTGAAATTTCGTCGATGTGAAGATATTAATTCAATATTGTACTATATAAATCATAAAATAGTAACATTTAGAAGTTATTTTTGAAATTATCAACATTCGTGACATAGTTTTATGATGATAAATCCCTCTTTATGATAGAAACCAGCTGGTTTATTCTCATTTGAAACTAGCTCAGAGATGCTGTTGCTGTTATAGAGGATACGTAATAATGATTTATATTGAAGACAGTTTTGGAATTTTTAAAACATTTGAATAAGACTGATTTATTGTTGGAATGGAGTGGTACAAACTCATTAAGTGATAACTTCTCACATGACCTGGTTATGGACTAAAATCTTAATTGGAAAATAGCCGATCGATGAGCATTCATAAGATGCTGATTTCGTTGATTACTTATGTACCAATGGAGCTATGATCTAACTATCAGATTTCATTCTTATGTAGTAATATGAAATACGGAACGCTTGATTTGTATAAAATATAAAGATTAAACATATTTTCTAAACTGAACAAGTTTCCATGGTCAGATAAGTCCCATCATTCTTATACTATTTTCTTGCCTTGTCTACAGTTCTTACCATTACTTGTTCGTGATACATTGAATGTTTTACGATTAAAAAGAAAAAAATTGTCAGAATCAAGCTTAATGTTATCGGTAGCTCCACCTGAACAAATTAATTCTACTATTATTCAAGAAATTTACAAAAATATGGTAAGTCCACGTATTATTATTATTATTATTATTATTAACTTTGGCATATCCTAGCTGTTTTGCTTGTTTTACTTCAATTTTGATTGGGTTAACTATTGATCATTGGATGCTGAACTTGAAGAGAGTATACTCGTGTACGAAATAAATGTATGTGTATTTAGCTTTAAGTAACATTTTCTGTATATTATAATGATTACTCCTCTAATTGCTCTAATCTGAAATAGATTGGAATGAGTTAAAAACCTGAAACTCAATGATTAATAGTCAATTCCCTTAAACATTCAACTAGGTCACCTCTCTCTGACCACTCAATTTCATATAATATTTAGTACATAATCATAAGATTCAAAATGTTCTTAAAGATTTATTATTATTATTATTAAAAGATTTGTTTCTTTTTTTATAGAATACCATTGAAGTTACAACAGACAACAACAATCATGATGATAATAATAATAGCAATGTAATTCTCAATAATTATCGTCTAGCTGAAATTATAGTATTATCCAATCGCTTATATTGTTTATTTTCATGTTTAAGACTTCTCTTAAATTACAGTTGTCCTACATTTATCCCATCATCATCATCATCATCATCATCATCATCATCATCATCATCATCATCATCATCATCATCATCATCATCATCATCATCATCATCATCATCATCATCATCATCATCATCATCATCATCAATAGTAATAATAAATGATGAGAATTTCATTCAAATGAATCAATATCAATATGCATTTTTAAGTCGTACAAATATCTGTTGTTTATTAGCCCCAATTGTAGCCGATATGTGTTCAATGGGTAATTCATATGATTATTTTACAACTGCATTAAATATGAAGATATTTTATCATAATTCTTATTTATCAAAAAAGCAAAATTATACCAAAATAGATGATGATATGAATGATGGTTTAATTTGTGCAATCTCTTCTTATTTAATCTATTTATCTGCATTACCTCTATCAGGGCAAGGTCAATCTGATATTAGTAATATTTTATCATTTATTGAGAATTTTTTAAAATATTTCCTACAACATGTATCATGGCGTACACGTGCTATAGGATTATTATTGTTAAGAAATCTTGTAGTATTCAATTTAGCAGCATTTCATGCTCCTGAATGCAATTTATCAACAATGAATGTTACTACTACTACTACTACTTCTACAGCCTTGGATAATTCTGTGAATAAACGGTTGAGAAGTATTTTATGGAAGTGTCTTAATGATTCTTTGATTGAAGTTAGTCAAGTTGCTATGTTTGTCCTGGCTATATTTATTGAAGTTGGTGTGATTAAGGTAAGAAAATACAGGGTTTATTTTGTTTACTTTTCAGTTTATTCAAAACATACTATCGTAAAATTTGGATCGAACCAAAATCACTTGTAACACCAAATGATGATTGTGACAAAGTATGACGTAACGGGTCTATACGGCTCTCTGTCTTTTGTTGGTTCTCTGGATGATGTCAGTATACAATAAAGATTATCTTCAATTTGTAGGAAATCTCTATAAATTCAACTATTTAGTGGCTGAATTATATGCTCATTGATGATTGACTAAGTTCAAGAGATTGGTTTTCCCTAAGTTCTAGCAGTACCTTGTTACGTGTAACATCAATTAAGACAACAGTGGGACAGTCATATATTTTGACCATATATATTATTCCTTGAGACGCTAATCAATATCATTCTCAAGGTTTGCCAATCAGGACTCTACCCTGCATACTCTCTTTCGCCTATAGCCTTGCGTCCTTAGCCTTAGCCAATGATACTTTCTGATTAACCCAATTAACTTTAAGCTGATGTAAGCTTTGCTCTTACGGATCTCACTATATATACGCCCTTTTTTATCTCTAGCCAAGCTTCTATTATTATTATATTTCATTCGCCCAGCATCTATCTCAAACACTAATGGTTTATATACAGACATATTGCACTACATCATTCCATAAAATGGAAAATCATAGTTATACACAGAAAGGCCAACAGTGGCAGTGAAACCAGGGAAGCTGTAAATAACTGATCAGCTCTAAATTACGAGTGATAAGAAGTATAGTAATTGTAAATTGACAAATTGTAAGCTTACAATAAATGGAATAAAGAAACATAATAATATAGACAATAATTGTCTTAAAAGTTCTTACTTCTCCAATACTCATTTCGTTATAACATAACTCATTTGTAAAATTTGGTGTTGAGGTCCACATACTTTTCATGTGTCAACGCATGAAAAAAATCTGATATATAGAAGTTATATATTACCATTATTGAACTGGCTCAATCGAAGTTAATGTCGAGCAGCCTAGTTTCCATAGTTCACAAGTTTAGTTTCTGACAAGAAAAAGAAATCAACTGTTTTCATGATGTGTTTTATAGAAGTGGTCAGCTAAAAAATCGTTTTATTTACAACTGTACTGTATAATCAAATGGTAGGATGTTGATGATGATTTTTCAAAGTGAAAACATCATGTGTATGTGTTTTTTGTCAAGAACCACATTGTGGTACATGCTGTATTGTTCAATATTGTTACTAATTACTTTTTAATTATGTAATTTTGCATTTCATTATTTTGTTACACAACTACACATATGGTAATCCGTCCTTTTTGTTAATATTGAATGGTGTTTCTAAACAAGAAACAGTCATGGAAAGCATGAAAGAGAATCAAGAAATATTTTTGTGAAAGTCTATTCTTTAATTGTCACGTTTTATATGCCAAATATAACGCTCAGTAATTGGAGCCTGATAATAAAAATTGTCTACTTCTACTTGGGCTAGTTTTTCGGTGTATAGTGTTGATTATTATTCATTTTTCTTCTGTTTCAAACTCAACCCCATCTATTGTGTCAGTTTCGAATTCTTTGGTTTGTTAGCTGAGTAGGGACACCAATCGTTACACACAAAAAAATATAGCTTAAAACCAAATACATAAATTAGTACTTGGTAAGCGAGCTACTGTAGGGAATAGCATCATCATAATTTTGAACTACAATTCTGTTTTCACATCATGCTTCTGAAACTTAATAACTTAACTTGTACTTATCTATCGTTCTGTCTATGTCTTTTTATCGACTTATTTTTGAACTCATTAGTATTCGCTAGTCACTCTAATTGTGTATTAAAGAATTAGTTTTGCACCACTAAATGTTCCTTATGATGAATTACAATAGCAGGCACAAGATCCATTCAGTTCCGCCTCCATCAAATGATTCAGAAAACATTTTATGTTTGATTATATTCATAATTAAGAAATATGGTTATTATATAAAAGTTTATACATTGTGTTAATTTTTATGTTGTATTTTCTAAAGTATGATAAGAAATGGATTAGTCAACTGATGAGACAAATCAATCGACCCCTTCCAAATCAGTCAGTTATGCATATCAACCATAGCAATGATAGTACCAATACTCAACCAACTAATTTTTCAAACAATAATAATCATAATGAATATTCCATTGCTTTACGTGATCGTTATGCATCCATTTTAGCTTTATGCTCATTTGTTCATGGAAATCCACACAATACTCCTGATTACTTACCGCCAATTATTTCAAAACTTGCTGATCATTTACATGATTCACAATCAATCAAAAAAGTTATTTCATCAACTCTGTCGTCTTATTCACGTACTCATCAAGAGGTATGGCATGAACAGTCGTTGAAATTTACACCAGAACAATTAGATAATTATAGATATGTTATTTCAGATGCTTCTTATTATGTTTAATTGTGAAATGATCGCAAAAATGTTGCAGTACATGTTGAACAGTAGTGAAGCAGGTACATTTGTATTGTGCAGTAAACTTTTCTCATTTATTTTCATTATTATTTCTCTAGTTTAAATGTAAAACACTGATATTATGTCAAGAGTTTGTACGAAATATTTACAACACTGATTCTTCTGTAACTCTACTCTCTTTCACTGACTGTAATTTTTTCTGTATGATTTGATTGTATCAATGACGTCTGTGATTGTTTAATTTTGTTTTTAACTTGCTGATAGAATAAGTTATTTCATGAAGTATGTGTAAACAAGTAGTTTATACATGGTAGACATTTGTTTGTTTGTTTTACAATAGATGTAAATGATTCAATGAATAAATAATGTAGACTATTTGTTGATTATTTTTTATCTTAACTCTCATACTAAATTAATTACTAACTTCCATTAAATATAACAGTTAATTGTATTTAGTTAGTTATTGCTCAGTAACAAAGTTTTGATTTATCGACTTAACTTTAAGTCATTTATTTTATAATAATACCTGGTTTACTTAAATTAACGCAATTATTTACATTGTTGATAAAGCTATTGTCTCTGTTTGATATATAAAACCTTATACAAGGACTAAGTTTTATATTGTTAAAGAATGATACATTATTGTACGTTATGTTTATTTTATGCGCAAATTAACTTGTTCGTTGTTTTTTAATCCAGAGGAAAACAGCACAATGTTGATAGAAAACTAAATACAAATTATATGTATTTGCGAATAAAACATACAATTAAGGATAGGCATTTCTTCTTATTGAAGGTTCATATGAATATGAATCTCGACAGCGAGATATTTTTCTTCTATTTTTTTGGCTGAATCGTCAGCGTTACTTAACTTGGATGATGATCTCTTTTCATTGCAGATGCGTAAGGATTAAATGATTATTGTTATTAAGTGTGAACTAGAATAAAACATTTTGAAGCATAATCTTATAGCTCGCACAAGACGTTTTGACGAGGAAAAGAAAGGATAGAAAGCAGAGATCTAATGGCCCATGTATTTCAATGCTGTCATGACTATGCTACGTTGACAGATCATTTCTAGACCAATAAGTTAATAGTCTCATCAAATGTTCTTTCTAATTGCGCATGTGAAGTATGTAGGCTGCAACATTCTGCGTTGGTAGGCTAATCTTATATTGGTTCCACGAACCTTTAAATTTTCAATAAGTACGTTAACACACATTTCATTATATACTTAATTAACTTGTTTGTTTTTACGGACATTTATATGACAATTATCTTATGATTGTAAGTCTCCAACTAATGGTGTACGACAAAAGATAGTACTACGTTCGTGTCTTTTATTCTCGATAAAAGATAGGAGGCGATGCCGTCTTTTAAATTGTCCATTACAGCTTCACTCAGTTTCACTATCACTAGGTGGTGATGTAAATCCATGAAATGTTTGCTGAGTTCTCTGAAGCCTTTCAGGTAGTACCACACAAACTTCATAGTAATGGTTTCAAAGGTACGTTTCGCTGACTCAATTCTATTTTACTCTGAAGGACTGGACACATCATAATATGGTAGACGTTGTGCACGAGAGCTCGTAGAATTACGCACTTAATCGGTATGGAATGGCTCGTTCATGCAGATGTGTTGAACGTAGTTCCGAACACAAAAGCCAATTTATGTTTAACTTTATTGCTTTATTGTAACAGTAAACCTGGTAGATTAGTAACGTTGTCGTTGAAAGGAAACTCATACATATATATGCTTGTATTTCTTTATCGCATAGTATTCGTGTCGGAGTCATTTTGCCTCATTTATATTATATTGATACGTTTGTCATTTACAACACACCAGATTCTATACAGAGTGAAAGCCTGAAAGATAAGTCGAATTTGTTACCATAAGAGTTAAACACTACTAAGACTAACAAAGCCCGACCCCAGAATTCTATCTTAGTGAATCCGAGCTGTGGTTTGTTCAATTAGGGCATCATCCCGCAAGGCATAATATTAAATCGGAGGGAGTTCGATATCAAGATTTATGTTCTCTCCATTCTCCTTTAGTTGCTAAACCAGTCGGCGACTTGGGCCCTACAACTTCACAACTACACTTCTTTTAAGGCGTGAGATAATGAACTGTCTATCATTGTTAAACTGACAAAGAATCCAAAGGCTTTTCCATGTAGAAACATAAAATTGATACGTAATCATCACAGTTTCTACATCACCCTCAAGCCGTAGTGGATGACAATAGCGAGAATGAAGCCGAGCTAAGAGCTTTCCTACTCTACCTCCAAAACTGCTTGGATGACGAACACCCTGACACCTTATAGTGCTTGTAAGATTCATTTTAAATGTTTTGTGTGTGAAAATCCCTCCATGTATACACTTGCAGTTTGTCCTCTACTTTGTTTGTACATTTTATTAGCCTTTTTGATTCCATTTGAGTTGGTAATATTTGTATTTTATTATAGTTTCTATATTTTTTACGCCTTCATTAGGTTTCCATGTTTCTTCCTGAACTGCATTTATGTTGTTTTACTTGATACTTAGTCTTGGCGGCAGCCATGTTCGTTTGTTCCTTGTTTGTTGCCTGTATTGACTGGAACTGTGCATTTTTATTGTGAATTAAAGCACTCTTCCAGAGTTGGAAACACTGTGTTATAAAGCAACCAAATATTATCTTTTGAACGAATCTGTACGTAGTCTATTGTGATAATTAAAAGTATTTGAATTATAGCACGAACTAAGAATCCAGAAATAACGTAACAAGATCAAGAAGTACTAGATAAGCACAAACGAATGTATTGTATTTAGAATTCGAAATCAAGCACTCAAAAAGTACAAAGGAATCATTAGTTCATTCAAACACCACATCTATCCAGGCAGGATAGAATAACATTTATTTGTTGTGATTGGTACTTTCCTCGCATATTTAATCAATTTCCTTTTTTATTGTAATTTAGAATTGATTAATTGAACAATTATTGGTTGAATAGCTGGGTGGTCATATTTGTTTAGGTAACAATGTACATTTAAACTTATAATGAATTTGAGAACCATCATTTTACCCAATCACTTTATTTTAGTTTCAACCGAGCAAGGGCGTGTATCTAACCCACTTAGACAGCTATTCTTATCCCCAAACCTTAGTTTGGATTTAACAGTGGTATTTGTTCCTAGCCACATGATTCTTAAAAATTCTTAGAAAATTATGTCTAGTCATAATTCAAACCTCAAGGATAACGAATATTGCGATATTTATGGAGAAAACTTTGAGGTCAGACTTAGGCACATGATAGATCCATTCTATCGACCATTACTCGATAAATATTCTGAGATATACCAACTGCGACCGAAATTGTCGTGTGTAACCAGTAACGTTACACATCACATCACGATTACAGAACCTCCTGTACTCTCGAAAGCGCGCCGACTGGTTCCCGAAAAACTGAGGTTGGCCAAAAACGAATTCGATCACATGATAGAGTTAGGTGTCATCTGGCCATCAAGCAACCCATGTGCCTATCTGTTGCACACGGTCCCCAAAAAGGACAGCACTGATTGGCGTCCAACTGGTGACTATCGGCGATTGAATGCAAAAACCATTCTCGATCGTTACTAGTTCTCCTACATTCACGACTTGAAATGTACAACTGCCTTTTCGAAAATCGACTTGGTTAAAGCTTATAACCGAATTCCCATGGCCACTGAAGATATTCCAAAAACAGCTATCATAACTCTCTTCGGACTTTACGAATTGCTGCGCATGCCTTTCGGCCTAAGCAATGCTGCCCAAACATTCCAATGGTCCATAGACGACGTTTTTCGGAGTCTCAGCTTCGTACATGCGTATGTTGATGAATGTCTGATAGCAAGTCCGGAAAAAGAATCGCATCTCTAGCACCTGGATATTGTTTTCGAACATGGCATTATTGTAGGCATTCAGAAGTGCCAAATCCGAGCCGACTCCTTAGATTTCTCAGGACACAGTATTGATTTGCAAGGCATCCAACCTCTTAAAAGCAAAGTGACGGCCATTCTGGATTACCCGAAACCGACCACCATTAAACAATTACGTATATTTAACGGCCTTGTAAGTTTTTATAGACGGTTCATACTGAAAAGTGCGTCACTTATGAAACCGCTAACCGACCAACTTCGTGGAAATGCAAAATCCATCTATTTGGACGATACCGCTCGAGATTTCACCATTTTTACCGATCATAAACTGCTTACCTTTTATTAGGCTCATTGTCAGACAAGTACTAACCCTTTAGTCTTGACAACGGTTCCTTATGGTCTAGTGGAATGTCACGAACTAATGGTATTGATGCTGATTTATTATGCAAGATACCTCAATATATCGTGTTTAGAACGTTGAATTTATTTCACTTTCTACCCAGTAATCCTATTGCGTGCAAACTAGACAATTCGCTAAAAACGAAATCTGCTCGAGACCCTATACAATCTACAAAAAGTGGGCTTAAATAGCTTCGACGAAAAAGGGAGACGGTTATTTGTCTATAAGAATAGTGTTTTCAGTATTATATTTCATAACTAAAAATAATCCCATACGTTCAACTCCTTTCTGAACCACCTTCATTTACACGATTCTTTATCCACTCATAACTCGTTTGTACTTATTTTCTTCAGCTTATTAAAATGCTGTTGCCTAATAAGTACATTAATAAAAGAGAATTAGACTGTGTAACCATACTTTAACTATTCTTTCATGAACATTGTCCGCTCTGATTCACGTCCTTAATTTTTTTACACCTTTTACAGCCTTCAAGAGATATGCCACCGAGAAAAGATATGGAACAGGTGACTTCGTCGTGCACCATCATTAAAGCCTCATATATTCCCGAGGGATCAAAGTTTGAGGTGTCTAGGAGCCCCAACTTCACATGGATCTATTCTCGACCATCAGTTGCACGTCGCAACGCAACCTGCATAAAGCGTGCCGACTGTAATATTGACAATACGAGTCTTACTAAAACCATCTACATTCATACCTTATAAAATATCAACACAGCTGCGTAACTTACTACAGTGAAAATTGTATCTTTCGTAACAATTTGATCTTGCTTGTTGTTGCTACCTTGACGTGATGGTCGGACATGCCTATCGTGATGAAGCAACCGAGCTATACTGGCTGGAACAGCTGTTCCTCAAGGTCCTATCATGTCAGACAGATCGGCTGAAGAACGGTAAGACTAAAAGCAACAAACCCAAGGTCCGAAGGCGAAGTCGTACTGCTGACTGTACAGAGGTGTGACATCAGTAAGGTGTTTCCTTCAGACAACCAGCATGACAGCGATGCTGCCTTCCCACAAGGAGGGGTGGGGTTAGAAAAGGTCGACCCTAAAATAATGCACACCTCGTCTTATCCCACGGATATCCCAAAAAGTACGGAGCTGACACAAGAATTACCCGTAAAAAGGTCGTGTGTGACCGACCTCAAGCAGTTGTCCCTTGGGCACTGCGGTCACGCTCTCAGGTCACTAAGACCATCTCTAATCCAATTTCCTTTTCAGGTACCTCCAGAAGAACCCTTCCTTCATTGACTTTTACCTCTAAACTTACTTTTTCGGCTTCTCCCTTAAGTGTCACCATAACCAACGATTCTAGTGCTCGAAACACTGTCCCAGGTCTACTGAAACCTCGCTCCAAATTACACGTTGGAACCTTCAACGTACGAACATTATGTCAAATCGGTCAGCAGGCTTCCTTGGCTAGAACCCTAGAATCTCGTACCATTGATGTATGCTGTGTCTCTGAAACACGCATACAGGATCCCAATGTGGTCATTCACTTGACCTCACCTCGGCAAAACGGAGAGCTAGCGAGATACACCCTCCGCGTATCTGGTGACCCGACGGCCATCCCTTTTGGACTGGTAGGAGTAGGGATAGCATTAAGCATGAGGGCGGAACAAGCACTGTTAGAGTGGATCCCTGTTAACAGTCGTCTATGTGCTGTTCGGCTAAACGGCTCCGTAAGAACTCGGAAGGGTAGGGACACACGTTGTTGCCTTTTTGTCGTTTCTACCTACATTCCCACCGACTGCAGCTCAGATGAAGTGAAAGATGAATTTAACAGAAAGCTATCTGAACCACTTCAGAAAGCTAAACGTTCAGACATAGTACTCGTAGCAGGGTTACAAAGAACCAATAGATTTCTTCAAGGTCTATTGCACTGATGGATTCTCGTAAACTCATCCCATCAGGCTCTGAACACGATGAAGAGCAAAAACAAATCAGATCTAGGTTAACCAAAAGTTTAAGGAACAACCGTGAGCAGTGGTGGGCAACGAAAGCGAAAGAGATGGAAAAGGCGGCGACTGTAGGGAACACAAGACTGCTCTACAGACTAATAAAAGAAACTGGAATTAATAAGTCGAGTGTAAGTCAGACTATTTCAGAAAAAGACGACACTCATCTGCTTCCAGTCCAGACGTTTAGAACGATGGACGGAACATTTCAGAGAACAGTTCAGCTGGCCTTCAGCTACTCTACAACTACCCTCCATTCCCAGACAGTGTGAATGGAACATTGAAGTAGGTCCCCCAACTCTAGCAGAAGTTCAAAAGGCTATAGTTAATCTGAAACGAGGAAGGGTAGCTGGTCCAGATGGATTGGCTCCAGAAGTCTTTAAGGATGGTGGTCCAATTTTAGCGATTAGGTTGACTAATATTTTAGCTAAGATCTGGGAGTTAGACGTTATTCCATCTGACTGGTCACAATCACTTATCGTCCAAATATATAAGAGAGGGTTAAAATCATCCTGTGACAACCATAGAGGGATTAGTTTAACTAATATAGTATCTAAAATACTAGCCTCGATAATTATCAGACGCCTAACTAAGACTCGTGATCTGCAAACACGAGAGAATCAAACTGGCTTCAGACCTGGTCGTGGCTGCATCGACCACATATTCACCATTCGTCAGGTTCTAGAACATAGGCATACTTATCGGCGTCCGACAATGGTGGTCTTTCTTGACTTAAAAGCAGCATTTGACTCCGTAGATCGCGAGATTCTGTGGCAGTGTCTGCCATTGAAAGGCGTACCTCAGAAGTACATAAACCTTGTGAAGGCTCTTTACTCAAACACTGCCAGTCTAGTCAGAGCTTATGGCAAACTGTCATTTGATTTTGCAACCTCAAGTGGTGTCCGTCAAGGCTGTCCACTTTCTCCATTTTTGTTTAACTTCATCATAGACCTACTGATGGAAATAACATTCTCGTCTACTGAATTCCCGGGCATTGATCTCCTTCCAGGAGGTCCACTTATCGACTTAGAATATGCAGATGACATAGTCCTGTTTGGTTAAGACGCTGATAAAATGCAGAGTCTTTTGGTAGCACTAAGCAACAATGCCAGAATGTTTGGAATGCGCTTCTCTCCCTCGAAATGCAAGCTGCTGCTTCAGGACTGGTCTGCGTCAACACCTGAACTAGGGATAGGGAGTGAAGTAGTCGAACGCGTCGACAACTTCACTTATCTTGGAAGTCTGATCAGCCCTAATGGGCTGGTATCGGACGGAATCTCAGCACGGATTCGAAAAGCTCGTTTGGCGTTTGCCAACTTACGTCACCCATGGCAAAGTCAAGATATCCGTTTATCAATAAAAGAACGAGTATACTGCGCGACAGTCCGTTCTGTTTTAATTTACGGCAGCGAAACATGGCCATTAAGAGTAGAAGACACTCATAAGCTACTAGTATTTGACCACAGGTGCCTCAGAAATATTGCTGGCGTCTGCTGGGATCACCGGGTAAGTAATAGTGAGGTTAGACGCAGGGTATTAGGGAATGATGGTAAATCAATTGATGAGGCTGTGAATCTTCATCGACTGAGATGGTTGGGCCACGTGTTACGTATGCCCGAACAACGATTACCACGACGTGCAATGCTAATCGGTGTTCGGGATGGTTGGTAGGAAGTTAGGGGTTGCCAAACCAAAACGTGGCATTAGTGCTTGAAGTCACTAACTTCTAGTCTGAGCCATGTTGGTAGATGCAGACTACTTGGTTGGAGTCGGCGTGACTATCGTAACCAATGGTTGGAGACTCTTGGTGACATGGCTCAGAATCGATCACAATGGCGTCGGTGTACACACTCTTTATCTTCCCTTAAACTAAGAGATTAAAATCACTTCATATCTTTCTTTCTACGAACTAATTCTTTCTTCCTGTACTATATCCTTATATGTAATCTTTCTTTTATATATTACCACCTCTGAATTAACTACTTTTATGAATCCGGTGTCCATCTTGTTGTGTTAATGAGGTATGGCAACTTGAACCGATGCGTATACGTGCCTGGTCATACGATGTAGCTGACTTACTGACTGCTTGTAAACTGGCATGCCTCGTGTAACAAACCGTTATTTGAGAATAAATTATTATTGTTATTGTTACCATAGGACTTTGACGAAGACTTCTGTGATTCATAAAGGTAACCTTTTAATGAATAATTTGAAGTCAAGTAACAAACTTATTTGTGAATAAATTATTTTTCAGTTTACTTCATATGTACAGCACATTTCTGGAGCAAACGATGTTTCTGCAGACTCTTTATTTCGTATAACGTCCTTGGGCAGTTCCCAAAGAATCGACCTTTCTAAACTTGCCCAGCTTCAAAAAGAAGACATCGATCTTCAGCACGAGTTATCGTCAACAACCCCTAAGCTGAGCATTAAACAGTTGGGAATAGGTAGGGAAACCCTTTACTGTGCGACACATCTACATATTGGGATCACTCAATCTTGCCGAAACATTATCGACGCAACGTCCTCAACATGTTGCACAGACGTTCTCATCCAGGTGTTCGTGCAACCATCAAGCTCATAGTAGAACGGTTTTGCTGGCCTGGTATTGATAGAGACGTGAGGGAGTGGGCTCACTCCTGCGTAATCTGTCAGAAATCTAAGGTTATTAGACATGACCAATGTTCCTTAGGCTCAGTTGCAACTCTTGATGCTCGTTGCGACTACGTCCATCTGGATTTGGTAGAATATTTACCTGATTCAAATGGATACTCTTACCTCTTAACCTCAATGACCACTCAATGACCAGAAGCAATACCTATCAAACGAATCACCCATACTGAACGCGGTCAAAAATATGACGTACTTTTTTATTTAAAGAAGTTACCTCAAAACAATTCATTAGTATAGTTTTTAATAGACATATTGGATATTGAAGTGTTTTATCAGTCAACGGAACACGATAACGTTGACATTTCAACCTCATTGGGGATATTTAAATTGCTTGCTAGTTATCATGTTCTTTACTGTTTTACTTTTGGCTTATATGTTTAAATTTTCACAACCTCTCTCATGCCTTGATGATGATGGTCATGCAGTCGACTGGTAAAATTATCATGTTTATAACATTTTCCAAGGTTTGTCGGTTACAAATTACCAAAAGGTTACGACGTTGTGTTTATGAACGCTGATCGGAGGAACTGGCAGCTATCCAAATTCCCGATAAATGAAAAAGGAATGATGAAAAATACGTTCGAATCCATGTTCGATTTGATTGATAAGCCTGATTCTGTGATCGGGATGTATAACGATGAGATTCCTAAATTGACCAAGCCATTAGGTTATGATCGAGAGAACTTATGGTGGGGTCATATGAAAGGTATGTGTGGCAAATAATAGCATTTCGTGCAGGTGCATTTGCTTTCGATTACACGGATACGGGATTTTGGGTTATTCACAGTATACCAAAGTTGTCATATACGAATCTATCATATGTTTACCCAAAGACCGGATATACATATGGTCAACATTTCCTGTGCGTAACTTTGGAAAAGAAATACCTCGAATCTCTGAGTAATTAATTTTGAATTTTGGTGATTTCATTTAATACTCAAACATATATTTTGGCGAGACTATAAAATTTAGACGCACCAATGGAATCAGTGGTAGTTTGCCCTAGATTTTGTTGTGAAATTCATCCATCCATGTAGTTTACTAGCATCTTGGCATTATAATTGATGTCATTTGGTGATAATGACCCTTAGTTTTACTCCCGACCATAAATTCTAACTTTCAACTTTGTAGCCCTCTTTTGACCTTAGTAAGTAGGGAGTTGTCTGAGCTGAATTGCTTAAGGACGTCCACAAATTATAATCCCACTGTATTTTTTAGTTCAATAACTTCATTTCTTATAGATAACTAGTTAATTATGAGATACAAAAAATCAAGTATATTTTCTGTAATTCTGCATTTACAGCCTGTTAAGGTACCAAGTGAACTTTTAGGTGATTGTTTTGTACACCTTAAATAGGTACACAGATAAATGCAGTTAAGCACAGATAAAATCGGAAGTGGTTTCGGAGAAAACCCAACGATTATTAGGATTGGTAAGGACAAATTTATTAAGATGAACAGATTAACTAATAGGATTAGTAACGTCCATCTGTCCCATGATTTGTTTGGTTTTTCATTTACTTAAAATAGCAAAAATTTACATAGGGATATAATAAAAGGGGCTCACCACACATTAAATCCTCTACGTTGGAACATATACCATCATTCATATAAACCTCTGAATAACTATTGGACTCACTATAGGTTTTTCTGTGTAGTGAGTGAACTGGATGCTACCAAAGACTTGGAACAACTTATTATCAAGATACTACAGCAAATAAATTGCTTAGTCTGTACAGGTTTGCTACAAATATCTTGTACGTTGGAGAGAATCTAGGTAAATTGCTTACCTTCCGTAGATTGTACTTGAATTCAGACGTGTGATTTTATAGTGTAAGGACGGGTGTCTGTGTTTCGTCTTCTTTTGAGTGAGTCACTTGATGGCAATAAAAACACCTTTTTCGGCATTTGGTCTCGAGAGATGAATATTCTTCCGGAAGTCCTTTGAAACACATTGTATTTTCGTCATTTGTTTTAAAACTCATCTGATGTGTCTGTGTTATTCTGACTTATTTGTAAGAACAAAATAATCTACCAGGTTTAACATAACTTATCACCATTCTGTATTTCATTATAAAGTTATCTGTTGATCTACAATACGAAAGTGTAAAACAATCGTAACTTTTCAGGTCTTTTGTTGTAAGAAATGTCATGTATGGTTAGATTTACGTGAGCAACAATCATTTATATTTCTTTCAAGAAACTTCATTTACCTATTTAGCATAATCTTGAAGTTTGTACACAGGTTTTTAGTGTGAATCTTAACAGAAATGTAACAACATTGATGGAAATATTATTGTGCGTCTTCGTAAAAGTTAATCTTAGTGACCATAATTTTCTAAACCTGGATATTGGACCAAACGTCAGTGAATCCTGACATCCAAGGGATAACTTACTATAACTCCCAGATTATTACGATTCAAGACTGAAAGCAAGGATGTTTTTCCAGTTTTATAGTTAGTGCTGCCTATACTCCGATTGGGCATGAAAACGCAGTTGCCTTGATAGGTACTTACCATATCTAAAGTCAGCTTATCTGGAACTTGAAACCAACATGTAGTGTACGCACATCGTGATTCATTCTACTGAGAAGTTATTTTATTATCTAAAATTCAGTTCAATTGAGGCCTTATATCAATTATTCGGTCTTGTAAGCAGTTATTACTCGACCACAGTGTATCATTCTACATTAATAGTCAGTTGGTGCGTTTCATTCAGTGTCAAATATGTAGTGGATAATTTTTTAGTTCTGTTCTTTGGATAAGTGACTTTTTAGTTCAGCACTAAAATACACTAGCTGAGTAACATTCCGAATATTGTTGTAACAGAATAGTTACGAAACTTACACGACTCAGTTACTAGGACTGTAGCTCAGTTGATCCTGTTGACATTACCTCATCTAGACAGCTTAATGCCTTTAGTACATTGTGCTAGTTAACGTCTACAGTAAGTAAACTATTTCGTGACATTGCTTTTTGAAGTAATTCTATGTTGAGAGAGGGCTCACAAGTGACTACATTTCCAAGTTGGCTGTTATTACTATCTGACTTGCATTCGGCCCATTATATCACGCATGCAATAATTAATTGGATGAAATGAAAACGATGGGCATTTTGACTTGTAAAAACACGTTTCCTTTAGAAAACTAAGTGATAGAAACCTTGGGTCTCTCAATGTCAATATATACGGTGTAAAAACAGGGAAATAACTTGAGTGGTGTGTTGTGCAAACGTTGCTGCTGTTTCTGATATGAGTGATAAAAAACCTGGTGGCTGGTGTTGCCTTTACATACAGTCATGGGCTTCGAAAAGAGTGATCACTCTTTACTAGTCTGGAAGTCTCTGGAGACGATTGGAAGAATAAATTGGATGTTGCTTTTCTTGATTGGTCATAATTTATTGATCTGTTTCCACTTTACGCAGTTTGTGGGAACTCAAGGACTGTTACCATCCTTGATAAATGTTTTTGTTATATGAGGATGACTTTACACCAAATACTTTCTGACGGAAGGTTTTGTCGGGTCACATAGTGTTACCACGTTTATTTTTTCATGTTTGTGAGTGGTCAAATCTTTTGTTCACTAACTCGTATGTTAATGTAGTTAACATGGTACTTGAGAGTAGCATTAAGGCGACCTTTGTTAACTTCGAATTGAAATGAAACCCGCTAGAATCAATACACGAAATAATACCGTTCTGATAATTTATATTGGTTTATCAGCGTGGTGTACAACAACAAAAACTAGTACACCTTAACATTTATGTGCAGTATGGATATCCCTACTTTTCATTATTTTTCGTGTAAAAGAAAGTCTATTTGGTTGAGATTATTAGTGTTAAAAATTTCCACAAAGTATCACTTCTCTCCAATAGTTGTAGAGGTACGTTTTTTGGTATCTGGTAATAATGTGTAGTTCATTTCATTTTTAATTTTTTGGATAATTCTTATGCATTTAAAAGGGTTTTTAGCATTATGCAACATCATTCTATCATTACCGGTTAATACATTACATTCACCCTTATTTGATTTACTTTTTAAAATGAAATAAATGAGACAATATAATTTATAGGTCTAGTAGAAGCTACTTTTCTGGACTTTCATTCACATTTATCTCCTCAAGCTTTGTGGTATTGTAGGCAGTTTCTCAAAATCGGATTAGATTAACTAAGTCTAAACTTGTTACTCACTTGCTAAAAATTAATTTTCTGTAACGCTCAGTTTTTGTTTACCATTTTTTCATCTCAAATATCCGTTATGCTGAAATGTTCTTTGTGTTTCATCTGATAGTCACACAGTTTGCTGTAGCTCGTCCATTATTTCAAGGTGCATATATTTCATCCAGTGTAAAGTCAGAGTTCCCAGATTTGGCGAAATTACTTCAGAATCAAAAAGTGCTTACTGTAACACTAAGTAGAGTCATTGAAATGCAAACAGCTAAAAGTTCTTTTCAACTAAATCATTTCTCAAAATCATCGGATTTCGGTAAAGGTTAGTTATACACACTTATGTAATGTAATCATTTTTTCAATGAAAATTTTTAAAAAAATTTGGAATCAGTGCGTGATAAGTATGCTTAAATTTATTTGACGAAAATTGAAGTTCGTTATATGACTAGTTGATATTATTCTAGAACTTCTACCAAACATCTCAACAGAGTATTTTGTTTAACTTGTAATAAAATAAAATACGTTCATATGTGATTTGATTATACAAATTATATTATTCAACATGAGTGATATAGTAAGTACTATTACAATTCATTTAGTCCCATTAAAACACTATTTTTGAAATTTCTGTTGCTTGATGAAATATTTATTGTTGTTTTCCTAGATAAGATTTCAGTTAATTGCTAGGACACAACGTCAATCAGTGTTTTCATTCACTCGTTTTTATCCGGTTTTGTTAAATTTGTTCTTTTGAACGTAAATTTGTTTTTACTACCTTGATATATCTTCTAATTCAGTTAGGATATCCACATGGTAGTAATCTTTCACTCAAAATTCTGAAAACTTAGTCATTGGAATGATTTAAAGAAAATTGAGGACATTAGGCATCCATTCAGTACGCATCAGATACAGTACAGTATTATACACCTCGTCTTTAATAATATCTGATTTAGTAGTTGATGATGAGATCAGTCAGTCAGTAACAACGTAGAACTTCGTACGTACGTACATCAGCTCGACTTTCCATACCACATCAGCACAGAGATGCAGTTGTTGATTCAAATACTGTAGTGGTAGAGATAGTAAGAGTATAAGCAGTAGTCGGAAACATTAGGGTTTGAAGATGTTATTCAAGGAGTATATTCCAATGAAATAAATTTGGAAAAAGGGACATGAAAAATTCAGGAAATTAGAATTTGGGAGAACACAAAGAGTGGATGCATCTGCGCCATTGTAAAAGATTTTGAGCCATGTCATTCAGGGTCTCTAACCATCGGTTGCTATCATCTCGCGGTCCCCAAACATGTAGTCTACACCTACCATTCTTCAGTGACTTCATGGATTTGTGCCATGCTTTGGTCTGGCGGCCCCTAGCTTTCTTCCAACCTACTCCTACACCGTAAAACATCGCACGTCGAGGCAGTCGGTGGTTAGGCATACGTAACACATGTCCCAGCTGTCTCAACTGATGAGGTTTCACTACTTCATGAATTGATTTGCCATCCTTACATAGTACCCGTGTCCTAACAACTACATTACTTACACGATGGTCCCATGATATGCGAGCAATATTTCGAAGACACCTATGGTCAGATACTAGTAATCTAGTTTTATCTTCTACTCTTACCGACCATGTTTCACTGCTATAAAGTAGGAAGGAACGAACTGCTGCGCAGTAAACATGTCCTTTGGTTGATATGCGGATATCTCGCCTACGCCATGAATGACGCAAGTTGGTAAAAGCTAGTCGAGCCTTCTGTATCCGTGCTGAGATTTCGTCACACATCAGACCACAAGGGCTGATGAGACTTCCCAGATAAGTGAAGCGATCGACACGTTCAACTACTTCACTCCCTATCATTATTTCGGGTGTCGATGCAACCCAATGCTGAAGCAACATTTCGCATTTCGAGGAAGAGAATCGCATGCCGAACATGCTTACATTGTTGCGAGGAAAGTGTTATCTCTAGAAGCACGTCAACAACAAAGTTAAACAAGAATGGAGAAAGTGGACAGCCCTGACAAACACCACTTGAGGTAATCAATTCTGATAACAGTTCTCCATAAGCTCTCACTCGACCACTTGTGTTCGAGTAGAGAGCCTATATAAGGTTAATGTACTTCTTAGGTACTCCGTTCAGTGACAAATACTCCCACAGAACCTCACGATCATCAAAGTCGAACGCTGCCTTAAGGTCGAGAAATACTATGATTGTGGGGCGTCTGAATGTATGTCGATGTTCTAGGACCTGACGTAGTGTAAATATCTGGTCTATACAACCACGTCCAGGTCGAAAACCAGCCTGATTTTCTCTAGTCTGCTCTTCACGAGCTTTAGTTAGGTGTCGAAGTATTATTGAGGCTAATATTTTAGATACTATATTTGTCAGACTGATTCCTCTGTGATTGTCACAAGAGAACTTTTGTCCTTTCTTATAGACTGGCACAATCAGTGATTGAGAGCAGTCAGATGGGATTACATACAGTTCCCAAATTCTACCTAAGACCTCAGTTAATCTCACTGCTAATACTGAACTAACATCTTTAAAAATCTCAGGAGTAAACCTGTCAGGGCCTGCTGCTCTCCCTCGCTTCAGATTTCCTATAGCTTTTTCAACTTCGTCAAGAGTCGGAGGACCTACATTAACTTGCCATTCAGGTTGACTAGAGATCGTGGGAAACCGAAGTGCGGCTGAAGGCCAGTTGAACTGATCCTTAAAGTGTTCTGCCCATCGATCCAATCTCCTGGATTGAGAATGTATAATACGTCCATCTTTCTCTGAGATTGTTTCGCTAACAGTCAGATTCTTAATACCGGTTTCCTTAACAGGTCTGAACAGTTGTCTGCTGTTACCTATTGCCGCCGCCTTTTCCATCTCTCTCTTGCTTTCGCTACCCACCACTGTCCACGATCATTGCATAGGCTTCTTATCAGTTTGCGCTTCAGCTGACTCCACCCTTCGTTATGTTCAGAGCCAGGTGGAATGAGTTTTCGAGCATCTATCAGTGAGGTGGGTGCTGCTGAGATCCAGTGTTTCTCCCTAACCATGTGGTTTGCCGTACTAGCAGATATCACTGCTGTTTCCACGGCTTTTCGGATATCATTCCATGCTGCCTCGGGGTGGGCATCACATACATGGCTGCCTAACTGTTTTCCTAGTTGTTCCTGAAATATACTCTTAGCTTGACTATCATTAAGTAGGACCCTAAGAGGTTTCCTTGCAGCATCTTTCCTACGTCCAGTAAGACGCAAGCAAATACGCGCCCGCACTGGAGCATGATCTGAGTCTAAGCATGTGCTCCAGAATGAGCGACAGTCTTCTATTGAGCCCCTCCATCGGTGGCTGATAGCGATGTGATCTAGCTGGGTCCAACGTTGGGACGAATTAGGGGGTCGCCATGTTAAAAGATATTTTTCCTTATGCTTAAAGTTAGTATTTTCAAGGAACAGGCGGTTATCTGAGCATAGCTGCAACAGACGGTCGCCATTATCTGTTCTTTGAGCCACGATACTATAAGATTCACCTAGGTGTCTTTCCCTATCGCTTAGTTTACGTACTTGAGCATTAAAGTCACCGGCCACTATTACTACATCAGAGCGCCTAGCTTTTCGGAGAAGGTCGGAGAGCTTTCTGTAGAACTCATCTTTTACATCATCTGAGCTGCAGTCAGTGGGAGAATAGGCAGAGACGACGAAGAGGCAACGACGAGTGTCCCTATCTTTTCGGATCCTTACTATTCCGTTCAGTCGAACAGCGCACAAACGACTGTCTACTGGGATCCGGTCTAAGAGAGCTAGTTCTGCCCTAGGACTCAATGCTATACCTACACCGGCGAGGCCACGGGAAGCAGAACCAGGGCTTCCAGATACACGAAGCGTTAGTCGAGTTGGTTTGTTACTTTGACATGGGGAGGTCAAATGAATGACGCTACTCGGACCTTGTATGTGCGTTTCGGAGACGCAGCACACATCGATGGTGAGTGATTCTTAAGTCCTAGCTAAGGAAGCCTGTTGTCCTATTTGGCACAGTGTTCGGACGTTAAAAGCTCCTACGTGTAGTTTAGAGCGTGGTTTCAGGAGACCAGGAATAGCGTTCCGCATACTCGAATCGTTTGCCCTAGCGGTGCGAGGTGATAAAGAGACGTGAGGAGGGTTAGTCATGGAGATAAGAGAGGTATTAGGGGGTGTAGGAAGGATTTGAATGTGACCAACTTGGTATCGGATGCTGTTACGGGTATGAGGGCTGATATCACTTCCCGGCCGACCACACTGTGGAAGGGTATTTCTTGAGGAACCTGAAAAGGAAATCGGATTAGTGTTGGTCTTGACGACCTGAGAGCGTGACCGCAGAGCCCAAGGGACAATTGCTTGAGGCCAGTCGCGCATGATCTTTTCGTGGAAGGTTTTTAACGTGTTAGCTCCGTTCTTCAAAGGGCCTTACCGCCGGAGACGGAACTCCGTGAGGTAAGGTGAGGTGTGACATTTTTAGGGTCAACCTTTTCTAACTCCTTCCTTCCTTGTGAGAAGGGAGCATCGCTGCAGATGCTGTTTGTCTAAGAGAAACACCTTACTGCTGTCACACCCCTCTACAGTCAGCAGCACGACTTCGCCCTCAGACCTTGAGTTGCTGCTTTTAGTCTTACTGTTGTGGATGCGGAGGAATAGACCAATAATTATCATGTTAAGTCCAATGGTGTCCTTGGACTTTAAATGGACATTTCCTATTGGTCGATATCTGTTCACTTGTTGAATATTGTACAAAATGTTGTTTTCTATTCTATGGTACGATGTGGTATGCTTGGTTAGTATATAAATAGAGTATGTTTGAAATATAATGATTCATATCTCAGAGGTTGTGACTTGTGTTCTGGACTCAACTGACTGGGCTAGACAGGGAAGTGAGACCAATCGAGGCTCTAGGCCGTCCGTTCGTGTTTACGTGTCACTGTAATCGATCGATAAGTACGCTGCTCTCTAATCTCTTCAGTCAAGGACACAACAGTTAGCACATGGTAGAAATTGACAGCAACCTAAAGCCTTAACACTTACCGTTCTCCAATCGACCTGCCTGGCATGGTAGAACCTACAGGAACATACGTCCCAGCCAATATAGCTCGGTTGGGTCATCATGATATGCAAGCCCGACCACCGCGTCAAGTTAGCAGCTACGGTCGAGACCAGGTTGTACTCTGGAATCGTAATAAAATATGTGGATAGTCAGCAAGTGTCAAGTTCTTTAAAATATATATACTAGTACTAGGCTATATGACATAATGACTAGCATCCGGTGACTGGTATTAATGCTGCCAGTTATTTGTGTAATTTTGAACCATAAAATTCAATCACTGTTAACAGCGACTAACAGGGAAAACCACTTCCATCAATTAATCTCGTTTATTCTCATAGATTAAAATCTGCAAAAAAATCATGCTCTTAGTTGTAGACCTTATTACACAACTAGGATATTTAAATACAATGGTGAGCTGTACCATGAACATCTGTCACTGTCATTGCCGACACATTACTGCGTTTACCTAGATTGTTGTGACCCCAGTGTTTTTATTAATAAAGGAAGTTGCATGAGCTTCTGATTATAAACTACTGTTACTTAATACCGTCTGTGGGCCCTATTGTTCAACCCCCAAAAATTAGCTGCAAATCAATTCTTCTACTTGGTAAAATATGTTTATTGAAGACAAACCAACTCGAGAGAGAAAAGATGAAGATTTACTTCACATCCAAATATTATATTTCAAAATAGTATATCGGTACTAATAATATGTGCAGATTTAACTTGTATTGATCATTCATCAGATATGAATAACTATAACATAAAAGAACATCTTACTAAATTACTCCATGACTAAAGTTATCAGAATACATTTGAATGTCATGCTAAATTCATTCAATAATTTCATCATTCATCCGTTCTTAACAAAAATGTGAACTTTATCCAAATAGCTCACTTTATTAATCGAACACCTTACTTTCGAATATAAGATTCCTCACTTACAGTTTCACTATACGTAAACGAAATTTGGAATGAAGTAATGGCTTTAAGTATCCATCAGTTTAGTAATATATCCTCTCAAGAGTCATGTATTTTAAGAAGTATAAAAATATTTTACTATCGCTATATGTAAATTAATGTCACCAACAAGGTTATTTTTTGCTAACTGTCTCTATATATTTTTCCTGGATAACAACAAGTCTGTGTGTAACACTATAGTGACGTAATACTGTTTAGACAACCTCATTTCCGTAGATTTTTTTCATGAAAATGACTTTAGACCTTTTTCATGATGCAAATATGTAGCTCATCTAAATTTAAGTCCGTTGCATTCTGTCTAATATTTCAGATCTTTATGCTGATTTCGTCGCGCCAAAATTAAAAAAGTCTTTAGATACTGAGACTTGGCAACATGACGGAAGTATACCATCGGCATGTCATCGGCAATATTCGGTGAGTAGAATTCATTATTTGCTTGCATGTTCCTTTTTATTCACTGTATCATACGATTGTTAAATTTGTGCAACTCCGATATTCCAGTTACACGAAATCTAGAAGAATGTGTCAAAAGTTACACTCAATTACCTGTCATAGACAATGCAGGATATGATCTAAAATGTATTAATATCGGTCCAAGTTGTCACGCTCAAGGACATTAAAATAAATTTTAAAAATTACAGTCGTAATCTTAACATATGGAACCTAAAAAACTCAAAATGATACAAATGAATTTCAAGAATCTAAAGTGTAGGATGAGTTAAATGAAAGAAAAGCAGTTGCGGCTGGTTTTGAGCGACATCATCTATGTCCGTTCACGGATATAAATCGCGAATATCTGACGTCGAAAGTAACTTGAGATTTTAGACCAAAGTTTAGAATCTGGAATTGAGTTTAAAACTCCACATTTTTGAGATGTCAGCATCCAAAAACTAAGTAGAAGTTGACGCTCAGTATTTTAATTAATTCCTACTAATAGTCCTCAAACTATTTCTGTTATTCAGCAAATATTTATTAAACATCATTAAGTTAGAAAATACGGTACCAAACGTTGTCGTTTGAAATCATTGCATAGTTATATTGTTGAAAATCTAGTCATATACTGTAAGGGGGATAAGGTCACACGTAATTATGTATAAATGACAATTAGAATAAACTTAATGATGTTGCAATCACTTATCGAAATTACAGGTAATTTCAATCTCTTTTGTCCAAGTCCTGCAACTGCTTGTAAATTTAAACAGTTTACTCATAATGACAAGGTATAAAATTTGTTGAATTCATTTTATCTTCTAAAAGTCGTGTTTTCTTTCCTAGTTCAACATATACCTAGCTATCAATATGGGAGTTTGTGTAGATTGTTGAGTGGTGTCGAGATAACGAACCGACCAAAGTTAAATAATTATGTAAAACCATGAAATTCTAGTATAGGATCCCTCGGCAGTGAGTAACCACAGCCCCACCAGATGTCATACACAGGAGCTTCGCATCCCACAATGAACGCTTAGTCTTTGGATGTCAGCTCAGTGTTTTAAGGGTTGATCACACCGTGAAAACTGTAGGTCTCCAATTCAATCCCTAAGGGATACTGTTGAGGAGTCTTATGCTAAAACAAAACACCTTTCTAGTGCTTCTTTGTTTTCAATGCTTTTCTAACTATGATCGGTTCGCGATCTGAATAATGTACTTAGTTATTGTTTGATTGACAAAAAACATTTAGTTTGACGTTCTAATGGGCAAAATTCTAATTCACTTAAAAAAATATACTTAACAAATAGCATTTTGTAGTCATCAGAACGTTTAATTTTTGTTGATGTTTTTATTTTTATATTGTAAATAATATTTGGCTTCCCATAAACTTGAGACCAATTATCATACCACTTGAACGTTGAACCTTCTTTAAAAATTATAACTGATAATATTTGGTTTTACATTTAAGTTAGTGCCATTCGAGTTTACATTGGTTTCATAATACATGTATCCAAAGTCCATCAAATTGAAACTATTGAGTCATTTAGACCTTGTTTTAGTTCAATCTTTCAAAAGCTATAAAATATTCATATGACTTGATTATTCTTTTTTATTATTTACATACTCAGATGTTGTCCCTTAAGTTTATTTTTATTTACGGAGCTCATTTATATCGAAATAGGTTCAATTTAATAATATCTAAATAAAACTATTGATTGCCTGCATTTCCTTTCTGAAGATAAGCTCTTAAGTAGGTGTTTGTTGTAACTGCTCTTACTATTGCGTAACACATATTGTATCTGTTATATCCTAGTGAAGATTAAATTACGAGTAACTTCTGAAATCTATTAATGGAATAATATTATCTGTATATTCTTACAGTATTACTATTCAGTAATTAGATTATATATATCTATATTCCCCTCATTATAAGCTTCATTTTAACCTATAGATTGTTATGACTATTATGACTACTATTTTTAAGTTACGTTCAGTTTATTGATTACAGTCTCCCACATTTGGGTTTGATTTCGTATAAATGTTATTTCCTATTTTATGATACTATATGGTATGTTTGGCTGGTATATAAACCAAGTAGGTTCGAAATAAATGATTTGCATAGTGGAAGCGGTAATTGGCCTTCCGCACCCAACTGGAAGGGCTAGGAAAACAAAGGATCAATACGAATGCTAGTCTGCACATACCGGTCGAACGTCATTGGTTTGGCACAATACTATGATTGAATAAGTCGTATTTCGATTGGCGAATAAACCATGTGATAACTAGACGGACTTAAGGTCACAACAGTGTCATTGTGTAAAGAATATTCACTATGTGTGTCAAATAATATTTACTTTACAATAACCTAATTCGTAACATTTGACCTTTTAAATACCAGTCGAGTTCGAGACTTAATTCAATTGAATTATTGACTAGTTATTTCGTCGTCGTATCCCATCTATTCAGTTTTTATTTATTTTGTATGATGTTTATTTGACGTATACGTGTGTGTTAGGTTGACTCCGTTGATGTTCAGATCATTATCGGTTGACTGAACTTGATTACTTTTTCAAAAAAAATGTGCAATTTCATAGGTTGAAATCATGAGTCAATTGAAGCTAGACCACCATGGAAAACCTGGAAGCACTGGACGGCCGTTTCGTCCTAGTATGGGACTCCTCAGCAGTGCGCATCCACGATCCCGCACCACGCGGGGTCCGAACCTAGGACCTACTGGCTTCGAGCGCGAGCACATAACCACTAGACCACTGAGCCGGCATCCAACGGTGTTAATGTCTAACTTCAACCAATCCACGAAGTTGCGCCACCGTACACCATTGTCTTCAGTGAGCTGATATCTCACAACAGACCTGGTTGAACTCCACTGGTAACGGCTTCTCACTAGAACTCCAGGAGTTTTTCTTGAAGCCAGTCACTAGTGAGCAGTTGATTATTATCAGAATGGGTTTTGTGGAGATTTTTAGAAATTTCATAGGTTGAAATCGCGAGTTTATTAAAGTTAGACCACCATGGTTGAGTGCTCGCGCTCAAAGCCAGTAGGTCCTGGTTTCGAACCCCGCGTGGTGCCGGATCGTGGATGCGCACTGCTGAGGAGTCCCATACTAGGACGAAACGGCCGTCCAGTGCTTCCAGGTTTTCCATGGTGGTCTAGCTTCAATCGACTCATGATTTCAACCTATGAAATTTCTAAAAACTCTCCACAAAACCCATTCTGGTAATGTGCAATTATTTTAAATTTCCATGTTACGAAGATATGTTTTCAATCAGGGATGCATTTGTAAAAGAAATTATGATTAGGAGATGAAAAATTCTTCTAGTTCAGTAGGGATGACTTTGGGAACCATGTGTTCATTAAGCTTGGTAGTTTAATTGTAAAGCTTTCACTATCCTCTTGGATATCGTTAACACTAACTGAAGGTAAAAGTGAGCTATTCGGATTTCTCGACATGTGGCTAATAGCTAGTTAGATCGGCTGTAAGTTTGAATTTCGTTATTGATACTTGACCTGTCAAAGTGTGAGTAATATATGTAGATGTTCTTAATGCTCTATCTGAAGATTGTGCTGATAATATCTCCAAAAAAGACCATAGTGGGGCATAGGCCGCTGACCAGGTATCATCAACTGTCCTAGACTCTCGTTTCATCTCCTTGATTTCTGCGTCCAGATCCCAACGTCATGTATAAACTGGCCTGCCCTTTATCCTTTCACCTTGAGGATTTCAAGTAAGGACTTGCCTTATGATGCAGTTTGATTATTTTAGCGACATGTATCCTGTCCACCTCGGGCATCCTTTTCTGATTTCCTCCTCAGGACTCGCATGGGAGTTTGTCTCCCGATCAGAAAAAAATTATTTTTTTTAAAAACAACAGTTTATACCTTGTTCAACGTGTATATATTCGTTTGATTTTTCCTCCTATTCTGTTTTATTTTTTCTATATATACATAGGTGAAAAATATTAAATCTATTTACATTGGGGCTACTGGAACCACAATACAGAATGCACAAGATCATGCAAAGTGGGCTGTTACTGTGTCCTCAAAAAAGCCTACTGAAGATATTGGTAATTGGATTTGTCTTGGTGATATTAACCGTCAGGTGATAAATAGACTATTTATGGTTATATTTTATGATTATGTGGTCAATACATTTAATACTTCTTGGTCAAAAACGGTAACAATTTGAATGCCTTAAACAATTTAACAGCATGCTCTATGTAACAACTTATATTTGTGGACAAGAATAATTATACTGCCTTCTTAAGCAAAAAGATGGTTTGCTTAATAAAAGTGAATATTCATACGATTTAAATGAAATCTGGTAAAATATCTTATGAAACAGAGGAATCTAATTGGTTAATATAATTTTTAAAAAATTACGATGTTCTTACAATTAAAATGAATGACCCCAATGGGCTTGTAGAAAATAACAGTTTTATTTCACTTTGTAACCTCACTTAATATCAAGTGAGGTTGTAATGTTTGCATTAATTGTTCATTGAGTGGTGGTTAATGTCATATTTGTCTAGTTTTTAGTTATGGGGTATGACGACCTGAACCGTTATACACATGTATTAAGTGATGCATACCTGACTTATTGACTGATGATCGAATTCTATCGAACAATTAAATGTTTTCTCACCAACCATGTCGAAGTGTTGTGATATATATCACAGTGGTAAATTTTATTCCTTTAGAAGCTAAATGTTTCGAAATTATTTCCATTTGAATAATAACGATAGCGAAACCGTGATGCGAAATTCATTCGAAATGCTAACAAACTTTGTTAGATCAAAACAACTCACAGCAATAGCTTCAAAATGTCACGAGGTTATGGGCCCAACAAGCATTACAGTAATGCGTGGATTTCTGTATATAGCCTTGTTAAGATTCAAGAAAGTATAAACAAGAAGACAGCAATCGACAACAACCATACGAAAGTAGAGAAGGCTAAAGAATAGGCTGAGTATTCAGAAGCAGACAAACGAGTGAAGGAGAATGCAACAGTCGGTGAGCGGAAGCAATAGTAACATACCAAGCAACAACAACAGGAAAAGCTGGAAGAGAAGGAAATATATGGGAACGTTATGATAAAACTAAGAAGCCTAGAGCAAAACGTCATAGAAATGAGCGACCAGTTACGAACAAAAGAGGAAGACCGATTAGTGTGGTTTCAGAGCAGCGAAATAGGTAGGTAGAATAATGTGAAGTTGAAGCGCTACAAATCACCGGGCCCAGATGAATTACCTCCGGCTCTTTTTAAAGATGGTGGTGACTTTTTGACTAAGGAATTGACGACGTTGTTTACAAAAGTCTGGGAACTAGAGAGTGTACCAACGTCCTGGAATGAATCGATAGTTGTCCCTATCTTTAAAAAGGGTTCACGTCGTTCCTGTAACAACTATCGGGGGATAAGTCTACTTCCCATTGCGTCCAAGCTATTGACTTCCGTCATACTTCGTAGATTGTTCAAAACTCGAGAAAGATTGACTCGCGAGGAGCAGGCTGGGTTTCGTTCTGGTCGAGGATGTATTGATCATATCTTCACCCTCCGCCAAATGTTAGAACACCGTCATACTTATTACAGGCCAACAATCGTAGTGTCTCTTGACATTAGGGCTGCCTTCGATTCGTTGGACAGGACTGTTCTCTGGGATTGTCTATTGAAGAAGGTTGTGCCTCAGAAGTTTGTTAACATCTTAAAAGCCCTATATACAAACACTTCATGTATAGTGAGGGCATACAACCACCTTAACCCCATTGTTCCATTCAAGCAGTGGGGTTAGTGTTAGGTCCCGATAAACATAATGAATAGTAACTTTGGGATCCTTTTATGGACCAATACTAAACGTATATTTTTATCGTATAATTGTTACATAACTAAACTATTCATATTCATATTCCTCTTATTATAAACTTTATTTTGACCTATTAACCCATCATTATACATTTTACCATTCTTGAATTATGCCCTGTCTATTAGAGAATGCTTCCCACATTCACAGCCACATTCAGCCAAATTTTGTACAAATGTTATTTTCCATTTTATGCTACGTTGTGGTCTCTTTGATTGGTATATAAACTCAATATGTTTGAAATATAACGATTCATATTGCAGAGGCTGAGACTGGTGTTCTGGACTTAACTGGCTTGGCTAGGCGGAAACCAGGACTCTAGGCTGCTCGCACGTGTTTTACGCGTCCTTGGTCCGATCGATAATTCACTGCTTCTGATTGGCGGCTTCGGGCTTTAACAATTAGACAGGGTCGCCCAATCTCACCATTCCTCTTCAACTTTGCCATCGATGACATTCTGGAGACAGCTCCGATGGATATAAGTAATGGCGGTGTGGATATGTTGCCTGGAGAAAGACTTCTCGACCTTGAGTATGCGGACGATATTGTCTTACTGTGCGATAATGCCCAAGGCATGCAATCCGCACTTAATCAGTTGACAATCAGTGTCCGTAGGTATGGTATGTGCTTTGCACCTTCGAAGTGCAAAGTAATTCTACAAGACTGGCAGGATTCCAATCCTGTACTCACCCTGGATGGTGAGCAGATAGAAGTAGTCGAGAAGTTCGTGTATCCGGGTAGCTGCATAAATGCTGGTGGGTGTGTGAGTGATGAGATCGATTCACGTATAGTGAAAGGCAGAGCGGCTTATGCCAATCTGGGTCATCTTTGGCGCCTTCGTAATGTTAGTCTGGCTGTGAAAGGTCGGATCTACAACGCGTCGGTGAGAGCAGTTTTGCTCTATGTTTGTGAAACCTGGCCTCTCCGAGTTGAGGATGTTAGACGACTCTCTGTGTTCGATCATCGTTGTCTCCGAAGGATTGCTGACATCCAGTGGCAACACCATGTTAGTAATGCAGAGGTTCAGCATCGTGTGTTCGGGCACAGAGACGATAATGCAATTGGTGTCACCATCTTGAAACACCGACTTCGGTGGCTTGAACATGTTCTACGAATGTCATCCCAGAGAATTCCACGTCGTGCATTATTTGCCGGTGCTGTGACTGGTTGGAATGAGTGGAGAGGCGGTCAGTGTACGAAATTGTGTCGTGGTATGAAAGAAAGCTGCAAAGGACTGGCTTCTGTTGGTCCTTCACGACTGCCTGGCTGGGGTCTGAGAGATGGTGCTACACAGTGGCTAGAGACGTTATCAGATATGGCTCAGAATAGAAGCCAGTGGCGATACTGCCGTAACCTTCTTTTACTTTGTTAATAAAAAGTGGTTGTCTCTTCCTTAACTGAAAGATTTCTTCTGATTAAGCCTTTCCGTTTCCCCCACTATTATTATTATCACACTTTCTTACACTAATCTTGTCATTATTGTTCCTCTTCCTTTTTTTGGTTTTACGCTCCTTACCTTCCTTTTTTTCTCCCCATTCTCATTGTTTTGTTTGGCGCATATATATTTGGTGCCCTTTTGTACCACTATTTATGTGTTCAAATAAATAAATAAATCGGAACACTGTGAATCATTGTTGAGCAATTGATTAGATGGAACTCACCGCTATACATCAACTTCCTTGACTACGGGAAACCAATCGAAAATGTGGATAAGAGGGCCCTTTGGGATCTTCTCCTGCACTATGAAGTGCTTGAAAAGATCGTCACCACCATACGGAAGTCATACGTTTGATTGAACTTTAAAGTCATACATAGAGAACAGTTCACAGATGCGTCTCAAGTGAAGACTGGTCCCGGACAAGGCTGCTTGCTCTCGCTTTTCTTCTTCTTATTGACTGAATTATGAAGATCTTCAGATTTCAGGAGATGTACGCAATGTAATGGACATTTTGAACGCAAGTTGACTAATTGGAATTCGCAGATTACTTAGTCCTTCTATTCTGTACACAGCAGCAAATAAAAACAAATATCGGTGTAACAGCAGGTTCTACAGCAGTCGGTCTCAACATTCACAAGGAAGAGAGAAAGGTCTTGAAATACAATACAGCGAGTGGCAACTGAACCACATTTTATAGCGAAGCTCTGAAGGAGGTGGAAGCTTCTACATACCTGGACAGTATCACTTATAAGAAAAGAGGAACTGGTGAGGGTAGGATTCCTACAATTGAAGAACATCTGTAACTCAAAACAACTGTCATACAACACCAAACTTACTAAGTTTCAAAACAAGTTCTATTGTACGGAGCTAAAACTTCGAAAACTAGCACAGTCGTCATCGAAAACGTACAATTGTTTATAAATAGCTATTAAAGATATTCCAAATCCATTGGCTAGACACTCTCAGCAATAATCTTGTCTGACAGTGAACAAACCAGCTTTCAACTGGGTAGGAAATCAGAAAAGGATGCCCGATGTGGACAGGACACGTCGCTAAAATAATCAAACTGCATCATAAGGCAAGTCCTTACTTGAAATCCTCAAGGTGAAAGGAAAAAGGGCAGGCCAGTTTATACATGACGTTGAGATCTGGACGCAGAAATCAAGGAGATAAATAGCATTTGGCAACAAGTGGAAACGAGAGTCTAGGACAGTTGATGATACCTGGTCAGCGGCCTATGCCCCACCAAGGGTAGTTGGTTTATGGGTAATGACCAGTATTTTCCTTCATCATAACACCCACGTGAGTTATTCTGGGACAAAAATTAGTTTTAGCTTCCCAGTTACTTCGTGTTTTGATAATTGTCTTTGTCAAATATTTATATGCTAACCTTGAACACTTTTACTATAATTTTGTGTGTTTATGCTTGTTTGTCTTTATGTATGATGTAGTTAGTTTTCTGTCGACTCATATTTTATACGCCGTCTATTTCTATTTAGACAAAGAATCTCTTCAATTATGATGGGTTTTGACTTGTGCTCCAACTTCGTGTTTCCTATGCTTATTCTCTACCCACTTAATCGTCTGGCTATAATTGAATGGATCAAATAAACATATTCTCATTACATTTTGTACTTAGGCTTTATTGATTCAAATTTGTATTAGTGATATGCTGTTGACTAAGTGTTGTGTATAAATTTAGACTGATGTTAGACACGGATACGAAAACTTTCTTTCAAAATGATTATCGACAATATATTCGGCAGATTCACATAATGTGACAACCGCCCGATTTTGTAAATAACTGTCATACAATCAACTTAATTTAACTTTACTAATTACTCTTTTAACTATAATCTTGAAGATATATCTCAAAGGTATTCGCTAATGAACAAACGATAATTATCAGTATATAGTATTTGTACATACTAGTTCAATTTGAGTTGAGTTCTCTGAGCTGAGTGGTTTAATCATGAAACTCATGGTCTTTTTTTGGAGATATTATCAGCACAATCTTCAGATAGAGCATTAAGAACATCTACATATATTACTCACACTTTGACAGGTCAAGTATCAATAACGAAATTCAAACTTACAGCCGATCTAACTAGCTATTAGCCACATGTGGAGAAATCCGGATAGTTCACTTTTACCTGAACGCATATAACGTCTGTCATTCCATCTCGTTGTAATAACTATTCTGTTGGGCTTGTTAAATTTCAGTATGGGTAAATGTTTTATCAGTTAATGAACGACCTGTTTTTTTGCAAACTTAAATCTTTGCAACATCAGTCACGAATCATAATTTTTCTCTTGTTCTAACTTGTATCAGTCAAATTCCGTTGCCTATCAAGGTGCAGTTTATTCACTTTTAATAACTTGACACCGATATTTTTTGATTTTTGTATTTTCTTTACGACGAGCAAACCCATTCTTAGCCTAAATTATTGAGATTATGAATTAATAGTTGTCACTTTGCCATAGATTAGTGTATTTTACCTGGTACCTTTAAAATATTCCTAAATCAGTCTAAAGTTTACAAATCTCAAAACTAAATTGTATTGCTTTTCTTTCCATCATATGGTTATTTACTTCAGCCTCATCAATTTGAACGTGGTGGTGGTACAATGTGTATAAAAGATCAAAAACTATGGCAATCATTTTATGATTTAGTTCAACGTGTAGAAGAATGCTCAAGAACTGATTACACTTTTGTTACTACCCATTTATTTAAACGACTATGGACTTTGATTGAAATCGTGCAGTTTTTTTATGCATAAACTAATTCACTTATGATGCTTAACATTGTTCAGTGTTTTTCTTTTTCTAACTTGTTTATTTTATTTGTCATTTTCATTCTTTCAAAAAATTTATTTTGTCCTATTTTTTTTATTGCGACTACTTTTATATGATTACTGAACAAAATGTTATCTCTAAATGATTATTTATTTAAAATTGATATCATGAATGAATGTTATACAATCATTGAAAACCTGAAAGCATTGAACAGCTGTTTCGTCCTAGCACGGAACTCCTCGATAGTACGACCATTTATTTACTTATTTCTTTGTTGACAATTTAAATGAATCACAGAAACTTATTTTACCAGTCTAGAAAAAAACGGCCAAGAGTTATCGGTTGATTGAATATTGAAGTTTTGTTTTTAAGTTAAACTAATGCCCTGAAATGATGTGACTGCTTGTAGATGTCAAGTGTTTTAAGGCTGTTTGAAATATGTTTGAAGATATCAAGACAGAAATAAAATGATGTAAAGATGGGTCACAATGTAAACGCAAAATGAATCGATATTAATTCGATAGAAAGGTTATTTAAATATTAGAATTACAACTCCCGATTGTAGTGGTTCATGGTGGATAAGACAAAAATCAGCTGTAGTCCATGAGAATAAACAAAGACTAATTATCGACTAGAATAAACAGTTCGAACAAATTTTCAGGAGTTTATAGATGGAAATGAGAGAGGGCTCTTGAGGTGCTGACATAATTCCTACGGGACCGAGTAATGAGGATCTAGAAAAGTCGGCAGCCTGCTTGAATATCTGGGCTACCTGTTCCTGCCATTTCAACAAGTTACCTGTTTTCTTGTTTGTTTTAACAAATCATTATGTCTCTTGAGCGCACAGCTTATTCAGGGGCGTTTATGAAAAAGTTTGTGACAATTAACTGTACAGGTTACGAAAGGGCACAGTCAGCGACATCATGTGGCTGGTAATATGTATTGAAAAGAACGAACATTATTCAGATGTCGATTCCCGACATAGTAATCGTTTTGTTTATAAAAAAGTAATATACCGGATGAAATTAATCATACGTAGTAACAGTGAATGGTGGGATAGTATACTGTTCAAATAGTTCAATTAAACCCATCTCGTTTCACATACTCTACAAGAAAGCATTTGAATAAGCGTTTCTTGTAGACTATCGATTATCATCGAATACATAGAACAAAACATTTCAATCATGAAAAATGACTCAGTGTAATTTTACTAATTAAAAATATAAAAGTTTCAATGACTTGCAGAACTATTTATTTATTTTGTTATACTATAAATAAAATAATAATCGTTACTGGGCTCAAACAAAGAAGATTGCAAGGCATAATGCTGGGAAATAAACATCTAAAATTAAAATTACCAAGTATGGGGGTAAGATAAGTTTGCTTACTCTCCCCTTTTCTCTTCTGATGGTTGGATGGATTATGAATACCTCCACACCCGAGGGAAAGCACGGAATACTATGGATATCTCGCATGCAACTAGACGATTCGGACTTCGCAGATCATTCAGCTCTTCTATCCCATACAAATGAAGGCGAAGATAGTCAGTGTAGCTGCAGCCTCTGCATCAGTAGACGACAATATACACAAAGGAAAAAGCAAGATCTTGGAATTCAACAGAGAGAACACCAACCCAATCGCACATGATCGAGAAAATCTGGAGGAGGTGGGGACTTCAACGTACCTGAGAAACATCATCGATGAACAAGGAGGATCCGATGCAGATATAAAGGTGAGGATTGAAAAGCAAGAACCGCATTTCTACAGTTAAAGAACATATCGAGCTCAAAACAATTGTCAATAACAATCTTCACTACGAACGTTAACACAGTTCTGCTGTACGGAGCTGAAACTAATACAACTATCATCAAAAAAGTACACGTGTTTACAAACAATTGTCTACGCAAGATACTCAACATCTATTGGTCGGATACCATCAGCAACAACCTAGTCTACTGTGGGAGAGAACAAACCACCTTCCAGTTGGAGAAGAAATTAGGAAAAGACGTTGGAGGTGAATAGGATATACACTGAAGAAATCATCAAACTGGAACACGAGGCAAGCGCTTAGTTGGAATCCTGAAGGGGAACAACAAAGACCACATTGCACCGCTAGTTGGAAGAAATCAAAAGGATGAATAGTAACTACAAAGGATAGACAGAGTTCGATGGAGAATGTGGGTGTGCGGCCTATGCTCCTCCACGAGGGGTAACAGGAGTAAGTATTATCAAGCATTTGGACACGGAACTACGTTTCTTCTCTTCGCCTAAGCTAGATTGATTTGACAACTCGAAAATACATAGTGTCTTTTTATGAACAAATTTTGATTTACAGAATGAAATCTAGACCACCGTTTAAAACCTGGAAATACTGAACGGCCGTTTCACTCTAATATGCGACTCCTCAGTAGTGTGCATCCAAGACCCTACCACGCGGGATTCGAACTCAGGATTTGTCAGTCGCGTGCGGTCGCTTAACAACTAGACCACTGAGCCAGCATCTAACGGTGTTAATGTGTAACTTCTAACTTCCAGGAATTCGCGTCACCACCCACCATGATGGTCTAGCTCCAATTGACTCATGAATTCAACTATTAAACTACTATAATATCCACAGAATCCCTCTCTGATTAAAATCAAGTCTGTCATTTCAATTGGGAGATATCAGTATTAAATATTTTCCCTATAATATGCTTACAGTTTAGTATGTGAGAAAATATAAAGTATAAGATAACAACAATCCTAATTCAATTTAAGAACAGAAATTTTATAATCATAAAATTATAATGATAAAAGCAATCACAACGTGATATACGCAATTTATATTTATAAACTGAATATTCAACAATACAAACAAAAGTGGTGTCTTTTCACACACACACAAAGGAAGAAGAGATACCTAAAAAATGGATTTCCAAAAATAGTTTATTTTAATAAAATAAAAAACAAATTACTTTAATGTATCTGTTAAAACGTCATGATATTTGATCAATATTGTATAATGAAGATGTACATTATGAAAATTTCAATAATTGAGATCATGAGTCAATTGAATCTAGATCACTATGGAAAATCTAGAAGCATTGGATGGTCATTTCCACGTTTTCTATGATAATCTAGCTTCAATTGACTTATGATAGCAATTATTGAAATGATTATAATTCTGGTACAAAATAAATTGTGTTAAATCCAATTTGGTAAAATACAATCAGATCGTTGTTTTACATTAACTTGTAAATTATCACAAAAGTTTGATGTTAATGGTAAACATGTAAAATAATTACAATATCGACAATTAATAATTGGACCCCATATAAACATAAGAATTAAACCAATACATAATATTAACCATAGAATGGAACATAATATAATAATAAAACAACGATGATGACATTTAGAATTTTGTTGTTGTAATTGTAATTGTTGTTGAAGATATTGTGGATGCATAGAGGAATGATGTTGTAATGATGTACAACTTTTACGATTTATATCAGGTAAATTGAAATTAAATAGAATAGATGGTGTTGTTGGTGATGTTATAGGTGTATTATAATAATTATTATCAAATATATTTTGATTAACTGATGTAGCTATGGATGCACTAAGAGATACAGGTGGATAAATGAAACCACGAAATGGTAATAAAATAAATGATAATAAAATACCAGATAGAAAACTACCAGCATTTGCATAATTATCAATCCATGGTAACAAACCAAATGTGAATAATATAAATACCAGTAAAATATTTCTTAGTAATGCATACCATGGATGTGCTAAAAAATTCCAACAATGTATAAAATCAACTAAAGTGACACCAAGTAAAGCGAACTGTGCACCTGTAGGTCCAGTTTCTACCTAAGGAAAAGAAAAATCCCCGTAGTACAAAAAACAAACAGACAAAATGAAATAAACTGACTGGTTTATCAATAATAGTATTAATAATAATGAGTTTTTTAAGCGAAATACATCTCTAGATTGAAAACAAATTGAGTGCATGGATGATTTTGATAGAAGCAAAATACTTCAGAGAAAAGTGGATCGAAAAAATCTGAATAAATAAAATGATGTAGTTTAGTTCGCTACACTTTGGCAACTGTTGATTAGGGAATAAAAATATATTTCTATCAATACAACCCATCAAATGATTCCACGAACAATTAGTGCTCTTCTCTCGCACACGCAACAACAAATGCAGAAGACGACCAGTGTAGCAACAGCCTTAGCAGCAGCAAGTCTCAACACACACAAAGGGAAAAGCAAGATTCTCCGATACAACACAGCATGCGCCAATCGAATCACACTTGACGGAGAAGCTTTGAATGATGTAAAAACCTTTACATATCTGGGCAGCATCATTGATGAACACGATGGATCTGATGCAGATGTGAAGATGCGGATCGGCAAAGCACGAGCAGCATATCTACAATTGGAGAACATCTGCAACTCAAAACAACTGTCTGTCAGCCAACACCAATGTCACAATTTTCAATACAAATGTCAAGACAGTCTTACTGTTTGGGGCGGAAACTTGAAGAACTACGAAAGCCATCATTCAGAAGATACAAGTGTTTATTAACAGTTGTCTAAGCAAAATACTTCGGATCCGTTGCCCAGAAACTATCAGCAACAACCTACTGTGGGAGAGAACAAACCAGATACCAATGGAGGAAGGAATGAGGAAGAAGTGCTGGAAGTGGATAGGACACACATTGAGGAAAGCATGCGACTGCGCCGCAAGGCAAGCCCTCATTTGGAATCCTCATGGCCAAAGGAGAAGAGGAAGACCAAAGAACACATTACGTCGAGAAATGGAAACAGACATGAGAAGAATGAACAAAATTGAATAGAACTGGAGAGGAAGGTCCAGGACAGAGTGGGGTTGGAGAATGCTGGTCGGCGGCCTATGCTCCATTGGGAGTAACAGGCGCAAGTAGGTAAGAACGATTGGTGTTTAATTATGTAGCCATTTAATTTTTTGAATCAATCTCTGTCTAGTTCATAATTCATTATCCGACTACCCTAATTTATTATATACTTACTAACCCTAATTTATTCATTTGTACTAGTAGTTTTGTAATAAATAAAATAATTTGTTTATCTGGGTCATGGTTGCGCACGATGAAACTTCTGTATCTTGTCATATATTTCCATAACCTTGCTGTTTGTAATAACACAATACGTTTCAGTCAGACTAATGATGTATTCTTCATTTGAATATGTTTAATATGTGTTAGATTAGTCATTTTAGGTGGGTGACATTCATATATGTCATTCGTCCATAGGAAGCATAGTGTCACTGTTATATCTTGAAAAAGCTGATTTTTCGATATACCGCGAGTAACTGAGCACTAGAACACCAAAACCCTTCCAAGTCGCAGTAAGAAGACAGAAGACTAACGAAAGGAATATTATTCCAAACAGTGTCAATCATAGTACAAAATTGTCAGGTATTTATAGTTTTTAGTGAGAACGAAATCATCATTACAGTCTTCCAATCCGCATATAGGGGGTTATTAGCATTATCCAATCGGGAAGCTACACATTGGAATTCTAGAACATTCTTCCGAAAGGTGATTGGATGGGACGTCTTCGGCTTCTTCTGTGCCTCTTACAACTTCCTCGAGTTCACCGGTGGTCCGTCGTCACAGTCACATATGTGTAGCCGGGTTAATTTTAAGTTAGCTAATCGAATTCTCATTAAAATTGTAAGTATGAAGTCGATAGGTTTAGTGAACAACTAAATTTTAAAATCATTACTTGAGTAACTGTTGTGATATTTTAGGTTAGAGCAATTAACGTTTAAAACTCGAACCGCACATCTCTCCGTCAATCAATCATACGCTTAGAAGTACGATCCATAGTTCATATGGCAACACAACCTACACCTCATTATACGATATTCTGTACATCTCCAAGTCATATTGTCATTAATTACTTCCATTTTCTAAAGGAATAGAACAACGTAATATCAAGAAATCAATCACCTCGTTAATGTTTACATATTCTAACTCCATTCTGATGAGGTAAAATAAATTTAATCTGGGATGTCAATTCCTTGCCTCATTTTGAACTCATCAAATAATTGGTTTTTTTAAAAAAACTAATAGATAGAATCGGTAGTGGATTTTGTGGATATTATATTAATTTTAATAGTTGAGATCATGTGTCAATTGACCATCATGGAAAACCTGGAAGCACTGGATAGCCGTATACAGGTTTTCCATGGTGGTCTAGCTTCAATTGATCTCAACCATTAAAATAGATAGAACTTTATTTTACAAACGATTACATTTTTAATACAATTAATTAGTCATAATTCTATTCAATAATGTTTATAATTTTAGTCACCTAAAATTATTGAAGAAACTCTTCTGTTGGAACTCCAACACACAAACGTATTTCTCAAGAAAATCCATCCCATGCTATTCGAGACAGATAAGATCAAATAATTAAGGTAAAAGGTACAGCAAATTGTTACCGAATTTGAAAAAAATTCACCTTATTTATTGGGAATAAGCTTTTAATTTAACGTTTAAAACTACATTTTTGTTTGGTCATAAAAGCGAACGGATAGACAGTTAAACTGACCAAATTTCATATCCTTAGAAACTTTATTCTTTCTTTTTTTCTTGTCTGGTTGGTAGATAGCCATCATGATAGAATGATTTAATGTTCATTAAATAATCAGAAAGCTCACTTCTAAGTGAAGGGATTAGTGATATGGTCAATAGGGATAACAGAAGTTTCGGAATTGAACACTACCAAAAGCATCTACTAGAGCAACAAATCCTCTTCAGTGTTTATTTAGATTTAATTATTTTAAACAAATCTAGGTTTACATCCATTTATTAATCAAATCAAATGACTTACTTGATATGGTAAGAATATTCCAGATGTTAAACTTCCAATACAACCGGATAAAATATACACTAAAGTGATACGATGCCAACCAATCATTTTTTCCAAGTCTCGCATAAAAATCATTTGAACACCAAGGGACAAGATTAAATGTAATACACTAGAAAAAAATCGATAGCACATGGATGGAAAAAGTATTCAGGAAGAAACTGACATTTTTTACTTCGGTAAGTCATTACGTGATATAACTGTATGGAACACAGTCCCAAACAATCATTAAATTTCACAGTTCGGACGGTGAATGACCAATGTTTTCAGTTTGGAAGAATCATGATTTTGCTTACCATTGAAAGGTAGATCCTGATGCTATTAAAGCTTACCAAGAGTAAAACTACGGTCTACAATTTTTGCTCAGAGGATTTGGATCATGATGTCACATTAAGATAAGACGGCTGACTCGCTTTTTTTATTACGTTTTCAGTTTGCATGTCTATGCAATTGATTCTTATCAATCCGACTTCATATTTGCACACTATTATGAATAAAGCAAGTTAAAGGAGTCAAATGTAACATCAATCTGTCTATTTTGTCTAGTGAATAAAACTGTGTTGACTGATTTATATTTTTTTATTTAGTCACGAGTTCTTTGGAAATAATAATTGTTAGGTGATAAGAGGCACTCAACAGAAAATCCTAGACAAGGATCTCGTGTTAGCTGGCAATCATAAGCTTTTATGCATCACATCTTATCAATTTGGATGTTGTTCTTCAGCTGATTTGAGATAAACAGCATTTATTATAAAGTATGCAGATGTTTTTTTTCTCAAAGACAAACTCCCCAACAGTGAGTAATCCGACTAGAAAATCGAACCCAAAACTTTCATACATCCAAGGGATCAAGATGCCTTTAAGAACCCAGGTTATTATTCCATTGTTCACATCTATAACTTTAATTAGTTTACGATACAGAGAGAACGCCATCCAGTACCATTGTGGTGTGTGCTACTGATGTCGACAGATATAAGCAGTATGTATGATCGATCGAAAGTGAAATGTCTGGCGGCAGAAGGTCAAGGAGATCAAAGAAAAGAGAATGAAAACAGAGATTTATTGGTGTGGAAAGGAAGGAACAGTAAAGTCTGAGACGACTGACTGACATTTTGCAAATGAAGAATCTATTGCATGGTTCTCTGATTTTGTTAAGAGATTCTGTAATTTTGTGTTCAAATACATTTGGTTGTCCCCACTCGTGTTCGTGTTCGCTACAGCATTTGTGATATGTCTCTTACCTAAGTTGAATGAACCCCAATGGTCACAATTTCTTGCTGGAACATAAAGATAACCGAGAATGTATGACAAAATAGTCGTTTGGAACATTCCAATTTTCAATGATTCCTCAGCTGGATGTCAGTTCTTGATAGAAAGTATTTTCATATCATACATATATAGTTATACGGTTTAAATACAATTCTGTAATTTGAAAGCAAATAATGACGATAAAACCCTACCCAGCATGGAGAAATAATGAAGTGAATATTCGATACATTTGATTTGGGTATTCATTATTTATGAAAGGTGACATACCACAAATTTGATTTAAACAATTCACCTAAAACCAGAGAAACAATCGTAATTAATATTAGTAATAACTAAAGAGATCAGTAAAGAAATTCAACTTATGAGAATATGGGTGTAGATAATTCTTGTATGAACAAAAGAGAAAATAAACCCAGCTACCATGAAAGAAGTGAAGAAAAGTCAGACTAAAAAAGTTAGGGAGACATAGAAGACACTCAACGAATAATGAATTACAACCTCACTGATCAGCTTTTCATTTTTAAATGAAACGGTACGCAAAACTCAGCATTACGCATTTAATAATTTCACTAGATGTAAGGAACATTTGTAGATACTTTTAATCAAATCATTACAACCTACGCGAGTTTTCGCTTTTATCAACCATATCCCACAGCCTTAAAGCAATACGAGTGGAACAGCTTCTTCTTTACGACAAACAGCCGATTATCTCGCCTGTCCCAAAGTGGTGCTATATTCGTAAATAAAAAGCGAGCTTCTTAAATCTCCGTCGAGATACATCACATCAAAAAATAAAATGCTGGGCTAACCTATTCCCAACAGTCAAAATATGCGTTGACATAGATCAGTCCTGAAGTAATATTTTGTATTCAGTGAAGAAACAAATCTCAAACATTCTTACATCGTTGCAATGTATGGGTGAGGGGATAAAACGGAACAATTTTACTTCTCAAAAATAAATTGTCATTATTATCAAGTTGAATTTATTTACTTGTGAACATAGTGCAGCATTTGGATAATAAAATCCTCGAACAAAATCACAATGTTCTTGTGTAGTCATAATGCATTCACCTTTTATGCCTAAACAACATGGATGACCAGTTACTTGACATTCCATATGTGGTGCATAACCACCCATATTTGGTACAGTATCAGGTAATTCACAAATCTAAAATGAACAAAACATTCATAGTACATTCATGAAAACAGTAATATTTACTCGAATTATAATATTCAAAACTGTTTAATACAGAGATATGAATTGACAGTAAACGGCTAATAACTGTTGTTTTTAGTTCTGTAAATAGAATTGTGTAATAAATGTACAGATATTTGTTCGTAAAGGGGCTAGCAATAACTAATGAGAAATAGATAGCCAAATGTGGATCATAGTTCAAACTGATGATCCAATTCATGAACCATGGTCCTTACAGCAAAGTTACAAATGTGTTAGGTAAGATCATAGGGACAGTAGAACTGACTATTTGAATTTAGATGATAAGATACAAAACTGACCTCAGTAGTACACATTCATCTACTCGAATCATTGGGAAGCAAAATAGTTTCATAAACTTAACAGAAAATATTTTCACAGTTAATGACACCATATCGATATTTTCAAGTTTATCATTGCCACCAAAAGCTTCAATGACTAGTTAATTCAATATTTGATGACTCCTATCAAATGGAAAAAACTATCTTTTTTCAGCTCATCTGTTAATTTCCAATGCATTAAAATACAAGACAAGTCTGAATGTGAATAAAATTACTTTCAAGTTAGCATAATCATCAAATAATGACAAGAATATAAATCCAAGTCCTCGTATAAAATTTTCTGTAGTAGACTGAGTAGTTCAAATGCTACTGCTTGGAAAGGGTTCGAAAGCGTTAAGCAATGATTGAATATCAATGTTTCGAACCACTGAGTTTGAACTTCAGACAAAATATACATAACTACATTTTTAAACTTAGCTGACATAATGGATATGGACATTTGACTTTCGATTATTTTGTCCCTGGGTTTAAATCAACTATTCTTCCGCTTACTTTGATTCCAGTAGATGGATAGTATTAATAAAAAGTGGTATTTACTGAGGACTTTAAGCACACTGACATATTTTCTTCAGTCGTTCGAATGTAAACTATTTGGTACCACTTATTGCTTCTAAACATCTGAAACAGAATACAACGTATTGCAGTATGATGCTTTTCAACGAATGGTTGTATCGTATTCATTAGTTGATAGGTAGAGGATTAGTCAGTTTGTCATTGTCTTGTGAATATTGGGTGTCGTACAGAACCTATATTTAAAAGGGATTAACGGGGTATACGGAGTAAAAAAACAGAAATCGACAAAATATGTTTACATTTACAGGCCATTTAGTAACATCTGTCTCGGACCAAGCAAATGCTCCAATAGAACGTGGTCGAGCACAAAAATCTGGATCTAATCCACATACAGGTCCAGCTTGACCAACAAGTCGTGTTGAACGTAGAGAATGTATAATACTTGATATATTATTATTATGACTGTGAGAATTATTTTCAGGATGAGAAGCCTTCAATATATGTACGTGAATTTCACGATCTGCAATATTAGTCGAAAGTAGTTCTTTAGTTTGTGGCTTACTGAAATTAACTGTTTCATAATGAAGCCATGTAGCTAGTGTACGAGAGCATAATTCTCTATGCGTCTGATAACAACCACCACCATCATTACGAATACAACATCCCGAACTATAGAAGAAAAGTGAAGAAAAAAATCAACTCATATATAAACACCTAAGCAAATACACATTATGAAAATTATGGTATTTATATCATATAATCTACTACTTCACGGTTATTTTTATTTCTAACATTCGGGTCAATCGAATTACGCTGAGGAACATGATAAGATTGGATACTAAGGTGCATTGTCAAATGAGTAAACAATGATCGAGAAATTAATATACGGGAGATAACTTTAGTTAAGTGAATAGTATACATGCTCACTATAGCTTACCAAACCTATATATAAGTTCAGTGAAGGGATCTCTTGTCAACGAATTTATTATCAAGCTGTAAAATCGTATAAATTCCATGAGGAAATGTGAACAAGGAACAACCAAGATGATGTAATAGAAAGATTACAATACTAGATTACGTAGTACGAATAATAACAATCGACTTAATAAGTTAGTGTCAAATCACAATCAGTATAATAGGCACTACTCCAAATCATTCTGACCTTTATTGAATGACATTTCTAATTTACAAATAACACAATTTTGAAGTGTATATGTCGCAATAGATGTAGAAGTTCACCATTTTCAACATATAACATTATTAAATCCATTAATGCATGGTGTACTTTGGCCTTTGTAAAATAACAAAATTGTGGACTTATAACTGTAGAACCTGATGATGAAGTTATTGAAAACAATTGTTCGCTCAAATATTCTTAATTTTTGAATATTCTATAGGGATTTTTAACCTAAAAGTTTTACTACTGCATTCACCTACAACTTCCTTTAACATCATAACAAGGCGATTAATAGGGGAATATGATCCTTCTATTACATTTCGTACAGTCAGAGATCAGTTAATATACAACATTTAGGATTTCGCTAAAATGGTTTTTTAAATTACGTTTCATGGGTAGACATTTTTAAAATCTAATGGTTGAATTCATGACTTGATCTAAGCTAGACCACCATAGAAAACCTGGAAGCACTGGACGGCCGTTTCGTCTTAGTATGAGACTGCTGGACAGTGCACACACACGATCCCGCACTCGGGACTCGGACCCAAAACCATACATAATGATTCCATATTTATGGTCTATCAATAACAATTGTGGGTTAAAGTTTAATAAACCAAGTAGAATTATTTTTACCAACCTTGCTGCTTAACTAAATTAAGTTGTAATGCTTATACAGTTTGGAATTTATAGAAATACTTACAAATTGTTCAATTATTATATGAAGAAACTTACGCACGATCAAATTTCTTTTGACGTTTAATCACTGAATCATGTAATACTGGATCGAATCGCATACAAGGCGGAAAACGTGCACCTAATCGGACTAAATCTGTTTGCCTTGGACCTATCCATAAATTTTCATATTCTATCCAACAAACTTGATCAATAGTCAATGTGGGCAGTAACACTTTGCCAACAATACGTGTAGTTATCCCCAAACCAATTGGTGCAAATCCGTAACCGATTGAACCAGCAATAAAAATCAATATATGAATAAATGATATCCAATATGTAAAATATGGTCTACATTTGAATATTGTTTGTTTTCGAATTAAATAAATAAAACAAAATTATTCATAGAATAGTGAAAATATAAGTGAAGATCGAAAACTAAAAAAACGACCTAATTAAGATTATTTTTACAAAAAAAAATTGAGAAAGACTAGTAATAGAGTAGTAGAAATAAATTTAAATAAATAAAAGTTAGGTACTATCTAAAGAAGTGTCTTACACTGAATTACGAAACGTCAGATGTGATACTATTATATCGTTATCTTACTACTGACAATCTACTCAATGTTCAGTATACTTGGAATCATTATGTCTAACCTTGGTAATGATAGCTATAAACTCACCAGGATTTAAGTTATTGAATTGTGTTCTGTATCATCAATATATATATTGTAGTAATTTCAATAGTTGAGATCATGAGTCAATTGAAGCTAGACCACCATGGAAAGCCTGGAAGCACTGGAGGATTAATAACTATCCCTCTTTAACTTGATAATTGATATGGACCCCATCAATGTATTATCTTCAAATTCTGGGAACCATATAGTTTACTCAAGTTACTTATTCTAGAATAGTGGTAAAATGTCAATCTCAGCAAAATTTGTAGAACATACTAATAAAGAGATCCTTCTCGTACACAATGAAATCAGATGAGGTTATTTCGAAGTGGAGCCTAATTCATCATTCATTGTTGAATACACCATTATACTAATAATTAATAATTCAGTTCAGCATAAAATTCAGGGATCTTAACAATTTATATTTAGTGAGAATAAAATCTGAGATTTCAAGGAAAACAAGCTGACCTAAATTATTCAATCAATAATGACAGAAACCATACTCTTACGAATAACAAAATATGCACACAGTCGAGATCAATAAAGACAACTTACCTATACTCTATATATTCAGTTGTTTTATTACGAAAAATATCTTCTGTAAAATTATCTTTATGCGGATAGATAATTGCTGAAGCCCAACGTGTTGGAGTCAATAAGCTTTCAGTTAAACGCCTTGAAAGAGATGGAATTACTACTGGACTAGGACGAAAATTTATCGGTGATACTGTGGTACTTGTTCGTGGGCGATTTTCACCGATTATTTCTCGAGCTAATAAAGAGAAACAAACAAATCAAACCACAGATTTAATGTTTAAAGTGAAGTTATGGGTAGAAAGGTATTCATTAAGTCCCTTGTCAACTTTACCACACTTGACTTTTACATATTGCTAACGTGAACCTTTTTATTTCATAAATATCGTAGCCAAAACTCAAGTTGATAACTTGAAATATATTGAACACTAGGTTGGCTATGTTTGTAATAAAAATGACTTATTTGTGGTAATCCAACTTTCAATATGTCGTAATTTTGTAACAAAGTGTATTAACGCCAACGACCGTTTTTGATCACTTTTTCATCAGGCTCTGTGTTGTAATAAATTCGAAATTTCACAGGTTGAAATCATGAGTCAATTGAAGCTAGACCACCATGGAAAACCTGGAAGGACTGGATGGCCGTTTCGTCCTGGTATGGGACTCCTCAGTAGTGCGCATGCACAACCCCGCACCCCGCGAGACTCGGACCCAGGACCTACTGGTTTTGCGCGCGAGCACTTAACCATTAGACCACTGAGCCGGCATCCAACGGTGTTAATGTCTAACTTCAACCAATCCACGAAGTTCCGCCACCGTACACCATTGTCTTCAGTGAGCTGATATCTCACAACAGACCTGGTTGAACTCCACTGGTAACGGCTTCTCACTAGAACTCCAGGAGTTTTTCTTGAAGCCAGTCACTAGTGAGCAGTTGATTATTATCAGAATGGGTTTTGTGGAGATTTTTAGAAACTTCACAAAAATGAACCTTGGAGTAAAGTATTTTCTCTCATACTTCGCGTCTCCTCCCTGGTGTTCAAGTCGCTGTGTAGTTCTAGCTTGCGGGTTACCAGAATAGCTTAGGAATCGTATATAGCGTTCAATCGACAAGACTTATCAATAGTCAATATCATACGGAATTCCTATGATGGATTAAACTGCAAAATCGTGCATGGAGGACAATTGACAGACTCGTCCGAAGTAAAGACAGGTGTTAATCAAGATTGTTTATTCTCATCCTTTCTCTTTCTCCTAGTGATCGACAGGGTCATGAAGACGTCAACATCTGGGGGGAACCATGGGGTACAGTGGACAGCTAGAATGCAGCTAGACGACGTAGACTTCGCAGATGATCTGGCTCTTCTATCGCACACGCAACAACAAATGCAGAAGACGACCAGTGTAGCAACAGCCTTAGCAGCAGCAAGTCTCAACACACACAAAGGGAAAAGCAAGATTCTCCGATACAACACAGCATGCGCCAATCGAATCACACTTGACGGAGAAGCTTTGAATGATGTAAAAACCTTTACATATCTGGACAGCATCATTGATGAACACGATGGATCTGATGCAGATGTGAAGATGCGGATCGGCAAAGCACGAGCAGCATATCTACAATTGGAGAACATCTGCAACTCAAAACAACTGTCTGTCAGCCAACACCAATGTCACAATTTTCAATACAAATGTCAAGACAGTTCTACTGTTTGGGGCGGAAACTTGAAGAACTACGAAAACCATCATTCAGAAGATACAAGTGTTTATTAACAGTTGTCTAAGCAAAATACTTCGGATCCGTTGCCCAGAAACTATCAGCAACAACCTACTGTGGGAGAGAACAAACCAGATACCAGTGGAGGAAGGAATGAGGAAGAAGTGCTGGAAGTGGATAGGACACACATTGAGGAAAGCATGCGACTGCGCCGCAAGGCAAGCCCTCATTTGGAATCCTCATGGCCAAAGGAGAAGAGGAAGACCAAAGAACACATTACGTCGAGAAATGGAAACAGACATGAGGAGAATGAACAAAATTGAATAGAACTGGAGAGGAAGGTCCAGGACAGAGTGGGGTTGGAGAATGCTGGTCGGCGGCCTATGCTCCATTGGGAGTAACAGCGTAAGTAAATTGTAGTCAGTAGTTCAGCATGAGAAGTAAATTAAGCTTGGGTTAATGGGCACTAAAATAACAACGGTCGTGGGTGCGCACTGTTAAGTCCCATATTAAGACGAAACAGTCATTCCGTTAGGGAACGACGAAGCTATACAATAGATTACTCGAAATGATTCGCTTTTATCTACCACATGACCATTGTCAACTAAGTGTCATAAACTGCCTTAACTGGCTTACTATTTTCAATTATCCATGTCTATTGGAGTAAAGCCTGATGACGATCTAACTGAATGGTTCGCTTATAAATCTTGTTCTAATATACATGGTGGGAATTTTCTATGTATCTTGATGATATTTTTATAAGAAGCTAAAATATTTTATTTTGGTGAGAGAGGGAAAAAATTGATAACAGATATTATCAATCCTGAAAATAAATACACTCACTGGCAGAACTACTGGAATGTTGAAAAAATGAATATGTAGCAGGTAGATCAAATGATGACGGACTACATTGGGAAATAATAACATTATCATTATGACCATCGACAATATCATTTGATTTCTGTTGCTCCATCGAAGCATCATAACTGATTATATCATTATGACTGTTATCATTAACAGTATTAACACTAGTTTCACCACCGACTGGTATTGTTGACGATACAGCTAGAAATGGTGTTTCTTCATTTTTAGCATCTTTAAGAGCTACCCACTTATCATTGTTAAAATGAGTATCTGTTGTATCTAATAAGAATATTCTACCAGTTGGAGCTGAATGAAAGCGTTCAAATCCAGTGTCATTAACCTATAAAGAAGAGAAATAGTTTAGAAGAAAAAAGAAAAATACATTATAAAATACCCTATAACAAAATAAATATGTTTATCCCACTGGAGGACACACTCACTCACAACTCACTTGTTCAACAGTATCCTTAGCTGACATTAGTCTATTCTGTCTATTTATCAAATAAATATTCACAAAATCTCCGATCAAGATGTAACGTTGTGCTTACTAGAGACTTGCTTCTAGGTGAACCTCTCAAGTTCTAGTAACAAGTCATTATTGATGGAGTCTAGTCATGTCAGATGTGTGACAAGTACTGTCGACGGTATCAGATGGTCATCGTGCTATATTGTGAACTAGTTGCAGTTGAAAACATTGACCACTTCATTCCGAATCAGTGGGCTGAACGTTAGGTGGTTTCCATGGGATTTGATGGTTTTAAGTTAGGTTCCGGATGGAACTTCATGCTATGAGAACATGCATAAAGAATGCATATAGGTAATATTTGATTGTAATCAAACTTGCAAAGAAACGATTGGTTACAAGTTCATAAAGAAGCACCTAGCTAACAGCTTATTGACAACGCAATTCTTGATCACTTCTAAGAGAAAACTTAATTCGTACACAAAGCGTTTTTCCAGCAATCCCAATTCGGTTATCCAAAAATGTAAAGTAGATGTTGTTTACAAATCGATCTATCCAGTTGGAACAATGTTATGGAAATAAATAGATATCAAACATTACTGGATTGAGTGACTACTGCCCTTAACAATCCAAAGCCATTATGATATACATATAATGAGCAAAATAAATTCTTGTTTCATGGGCAAATTCACTGAAAATCTTTGTTTAGATGATATAATCATTGATCTGATCTCCAGATGGATTTAGTTTATGCAACAATCAGAAAAAGAGTCAAGTCGAAAATCAAACGAAAAGACCACTTGAACTCAATCAAAGCAGTAATTTATTGACTAATCATGTCACTTACTGAGGAGAGCCGATTAACGTATACATTGAAAGACGGTTGAGCGATATTACGAATCTACTGAAATTAAACATGTAAACCACTGGATGTTTATATAAGAAAATTGTTCGTGAGTTGAAATATGAATTCATTTAATAGACAAAATCTTCAACTCACTTCGATGCCTTCCAACTTTTTACGAGTTCGTAACATTCGACGATTCCACATAGCTGATAGGATAACTTTCATTGCGTGCGGTTTATGAGCAGAAGTTGCAGCAGGTGCAACTGGGAGACTAAAATTCGTGATACTACTCAACTGAAAAGAAATACAAATAAAAAGATTAAGTCAAGACTATACGATCAATTAAGTAAATAAGAGCCTAACAAAATGTGAATCAAACTATCGTTCTTAAAGGATATAGCAGTTATTAAAGCAAAAAAATTGTTTTATTGGTTAGTTATATGATGCAAAGCTACAGCTCAACTGTCGAATTACACGTATAGAGCAATGGTTTATTGATTGTAGAGCTTAGCTCCTAATCAGCAGGCCACAGGTTCGAACCAAGCCTCCATTACTTCGGTTTGGACAGCAAGGTATTATTATCATTGGCCTTTATACAAAGAGTTACACAGAATACTGTTTCTATCTATCCAATGAAAAAACAAAAACAAAACTAGTTTCTAAAAAGTTAATCACCTTTGCTTATTGTCTACAAAATCACATTTATTTTGAACATCTGCCATCATGAAAGTTATGAATTTAATGACAATGACTTACTTCACGTAGATAAACCGGTCTCTGAGATTCAATCGGTGGCACGACAGAAGAATTAGCAAAAGAGACCTAAAACATAAAAAATTGGTATAAGATGATATTCATAGATAAGAGACTTAAATGCAAAAATAGAAATAAACTTAAATTCTTAGATTTTCATTGTGGCATTTTACAAGATACAATAAATATAAAAGTTAAAATAGTTATTCTGATTTTATGAATTGTATAATCGATTCCGAAAGATTTCTTACTATTCTCTTTTAAAGATATTAGACAGTACTCAAGATTAGAGTATTCCAATGAAGTAGTTTCAACGATTTGCAAGTATAGATATCCAAAACTCCGATGTCTCTCCATATGTTTTAACAAACAAATTCGTTTGCATAGTTGGAAGACGTTATCTCAGATTTTGGTAGTTTAAAGTTGAATAGGCGTCGTAGAAAGTCGAGAATCATATCAAAACCCAGTGGTAAAATGGCTTCTGCAAACTTTAGCAACTTTGAATCGGATATAGGTTCACTTCCGACGAAATTTACTCTAGACAATCCACTTTTTTCAATTCTCATTCATTTGCAGTGAGACCCGACAATCAAACAAGGGTATAAGTGAGCATCTTATCCTTAGTCGTAGCGTGATTGCTTCCACGAGCTGTACGTTCCAGCACTTTTTTTATTTTCTTTGTTATTAAGTAAATTAAAAGTGATACTTCAAATTTCTTAAACGGTAAGTGTTTATATTTTAGAGTAGAATTTTTTATTTTTAAATCAATCGTTAAATGGAAACTTACGTCAGTATATTCAATTTAATCAGAGAAATAAAGTCACTAATCCTTCAAAAATAGTAACATTTTAAAATAGTTTAACATTGTCAGAAATGCCAAAAAGTAGTCATGATAGTCTTAAATATAATAATAATAATAATAATAACGTACTTTTCGTCTATTGATAATCTTCATTGGTACAGAATGTGAACTTGAAGCCAGCTGAAATTTTGAAAGGATATGAGACGTAACAAAAAATAAACATGTAATAAAGAATAACTTAGCGACAGTAACTTACACGATGTCTTAACGACGATCTCGATATATCGCATAGAGCTGGAGAGGCAGTCAGCTATAATAAATAATAAAAAAAAAGCAAATAGGACATCAAATCAATACTTTCTTAAAAATTCGAAAACATGAGCACTATTGTGCCGCGTTCGGTTATTAATTTTGACAGAATGACATGTTTAGATAATTTTTAAAAAAAAATTTAACTATAAATTGACTGTGAAATTTGAGACATGGATTAGATTTTCTGTTCTTCAATTCAGTAGGTAAACGTAGATGCGTAACAATAATGGTTAATTAACGTCGACAGAATATTTAATCATTTCCCATTAATATCATGTATCAACGTTTTTAAGCGTAATGAATTTGTTGAAATCGTTACACTATAACATGATACTGATGCATAGAAGAGTAGGGTTTTTCTGCAATACAATGACAAACTTATATACAAAATATTACCACAAAAATTCACACAATAAGAAGTCATAAGCGATTGCAGAAAATCCGTTCGTAGGTCAATCGCTCTCCAATCAATTAAGACCTGAATGTAAGGTTTAATTCTTAGGTAGCGTATCAATGGTACACACGTCAAATGTATTGTAACGTAACACAGCAACAACTAATTAGCAACTAGTAGTTACATCCTTGAAAACAATAGTGATTTCAATAAACTATGATTAACTTACAACTGTTAAACGATCACCTTTTATGCTTCCATAACGTTTTATTAAATACCTCAACCGTCGTTCATTCCAATCCTCAATAGTAGTTTCACGAGAATCAAAGCCAAAAAATGATAAAGAACCATCAATTACTGAATTTATAGGTCTAAAAAATATTGATAGATATCTTAATGCAAAATAGTAATAAAAATTACCTTATCATATTACGACGCGAAACATCCTGGAATAAAAGAATTTGCGTAAAATAAACTATAAACATCAACTACCTTAAAATATTGCGTGTTCCTTCATTTCTACCCAGACTATCAGAATCTCTTCGTGACGTGATCAAAATTAATGTTAATGGTGTAAAACAGCAAACATTGAAATATATGCCAGCTGGTTTGTCTGTGAAGCCAACAAACAACCAATTATATTATACTGAAAGATAATAATAGTTTGAGATTTGAGCAGAAAACACAATATACAAAAATTAGTTGGTAAGATGCTGAAAGCTAAAACGTTTATATTCATAAAGGTGAACAGTGGGAGCAATAAATATAAATCAATTTATCCATACCAAAACATGTGATAAGTCACGTTCTTTATTGGTTTTTAGTCAGAATATTTCAAAGCTATAGCTATATATACAAACGGGCTTCCAAACATATGCACACAACCATGTGTATGTAAATTACTTGATGACAAAAATATTTGCTCTATAACAGAACCAAGTGAATGACAAGGTAATTTTTAAAAGATGACTGGTAAAGCTAAAGTAATCGGATTAATTCTACGAACTCATAAAACCACCTTAATAATGTTTTGCCGCTTTTTGAGTATGAGATGAGAAAGTGAGTAGTTCCTAACAAAAAACAAATGAAACCAAAACATATGGATGTAGCACTGAGATTGAAAGTAGACTAAATACTTTCGTAATAGTTTATGAGCTGTCCAGCTAGACGGTACAGCAAGAACCTACGAAGATGGAGATATAAGCTGATGCTTCTGCATAATTTCATTGGAAGCTTCATGACCTTCGGAAAGTCATGGAGTCAGAAACGATCATTGAGGCAGATGACATTAGACCTGAAGTCGGTAGGCCGAGTCAAGCTGATGAATTAGTCGTGAACAACGTTGAACAAATAAGCGGGTATATTTTCATCCCAACCAACTAAAAAGAAAACGGTGACCTACAGTTATGATCAAATATCACTTAATATTAAGGTGTCAACGTCAAGCTTGATATGAGACAAAGTTCAACCGGAAAATCTACAACAGCAACACAAAGAGACTATATTCACATCAAATATCGTAAAAAAAGCTTGACAGAAAACTGTTGCATCTTTTACAGCACATGCTTGAATTGCGATCATGCTCTAGTGCGAAGACCTGTTTCCCAGCATTTTCATGAGTGAAGAAAAGTCAGATAAGGAAGAATGAAAAACATCAATTAAGAAACAAATGTTAACGATCCATAAACGAAACGATAGAAAAATACTCAGGTGCTTCACAGAAAGTTATGTAAGTGACATCGTGCTATTTGGTGAAAACACTGGCAAAATGCAGAGTATTCCGATGCATGCATGGGACTTGTTTCTCTCCCTCTTTATGTAGAATTTCGTTTCAGAACACCGATCATACGGACTGAGGAATTTCAACACCTATCTAATTTAAAAGTACCATCAGCCTTGAGAGGTTGTTATCTGGAGAAATCTCGTCACTTATTAAGAAACCTTGTTAGGATTTTTTCAACTTGGCCCATTTTTAATATGACAAAGATGTCCGTCTGCCAATCAAATGGCGTGCGTAATACCTATCAGTCCCATCTATATTAATCTGTGTTTGAAATTTTACCTTTGAAACCAGAGCATATGCGTAGGCTGTGAGGTTCTCATAATACTTGACTTCCAAGCATTTCTCAAATTTTGTGAAACAGGTAAGAAATATTGTGGATAGGCATACTATAAAAAGCAAAGATAGCAAATAAATTGTCAAAAATGTAAATCGTCACAAACAGTAAGTTCACTGAACAACATTACCGAATATACAGCAAACAAACTAACTAAATGTGCAAAATTAGAATGCTCACGAAAATATTTACGAAAAAAACATGGCGAAACCCAAGAATTCATTGTCTACTGATCCGAGTTACTTTGGTAGGCGTAGACTACTTGGTCAGGGTCTGCTTGACAACCGCGATCAGTAGCCGAAGACGTTGGGTGGCACAACTCAGGATTGGTCACAGTGGAACAGATACATTCATTTTTTTTATCTCCATCCAAGTCTTGACTACCAGTATTTCTTCACATGTATCTTTTCATCACATTCTGTCGAACTATAATATTAATGTTTGGTCTTTCTTATTACAAATACTAATACATTAACTGCCCTTCTTTGATATTCAATAGTATTTACCTAAATTGATTTTACTGGTATAACTAGTTTAAATACAAAGTCAATTCAAAAGTAAACCACTTCTTAACTTGCAAGTATTTACAAGAAAAGATTGTGTTCAGTGAGTATTTAGTTATTCCGAGTGGGAAAGTGGCTTACTAGTCAAAGCAACCCTCTGTCAATTTGCGGTCTATAGGTTCAAATGCGAATTAGCGTGCTTTGGTTTGGGTATTCAGGTAGCCTCAGTGGTTCCTACAAAATGGAATTCGATCAAGTATATGAAATGCTATTTTTTTTTTACCAAGTTTCACTGGTTAATCATCGATGACAACTACTACAAATCCGTAATAAAGCAACAGCTCTGACTCCAATGATAACTACTCAGACGTTTATCAGGTCACAACACCACTTAAAATAAAGTCAAACTGCTTTAGTTAGTACTTTGAAATGTAAGTGATGGTTAAAGAGGTCACAAGTTCAGTTCTTAGTTTCAAACTTTGTATTTTGCTTATCCTAAATTTGATTGTAATTACACCTCAATTTTACAAAAACTCTAACTCTATGGGTTAGTTAGTTAACTCCATGAGCTAGTTCCATCCACGTGTTCTGACTTGTTCAGCAAGTCATCTACCTTATATTAATTAACCAACGCTCAACATATCTTAGATTTTCTTACAGGCTACCATGAACATAGAGGACTTATTCATGAAACGAAGACCAATAAGTTTGGAATACGTTCAGTTCTTGTAGGATGATTTATAGATACTGATCACACGTAGGTCTGAAAACTCACCAAGTGTATTTTTAGTCCAAGGTTCTGGGTCGGGAGAATTTTGTGGCTATTTTTAAGTAAATTACTTCTGGAACAACTCCAGGACGAAGACTTTCGAGGTGGAGCACAATGTAAAGATATAGTGACCCTTCACATCTCCTATATGGATGTATTCTAATTGTTGGACAAATATTGATAAATCAGACACCATGTGACTATTGAGTCCGTCTTACATTCCTAATAATTCTATATATCTTACAAGTAATCGTGACTTTCTATATACTTATTTTTGTTATCCATGCCCTTGTTGACTATATTTATGTTACTATATGCGCTTTGTTTGTGTGCATGCCTATTCACCAACTACTCTGTTTGTTGTCCACTTACTAGCCTAAATTACTCTGTTTTACCTAAATAAGGTAAGGCACAGAATTAATTAACGAACTGGTATGTCACCAACCCCAAACCTTCGTTTATTTAGTCCACAATCACAGTTTGTCTATGGACAAGCATGTATGAAATATATAGCTTCTACTAAAATCCCGTATTTTTACTTCAGGAGTCTTTATCCGAAAGGACCCACCTTTGGCAGACCGTGTTAAAAGACGGGAAGCCGACAAAGAACTAAAACTTAGGTTAGACGCTGGCGAAAAGGACCTGGAAATTGTAAATTTTCGGGTTGTAAGACTTCGAAAGAGAATGATGCCGAAGCCACTCTGGGTGAAGCACGAAGGCACTTAAACAGGCTTCGGATCTGTTACACCAATGCACGAAGCTTACTTAATAATCGACCGGAACTAGGTGTATAGATTGACTCTACAAAGCCAGACATAATCGCAGTAACAGAAACCTGGCTGACACAGGCTGTAGATAGTTTGGAACTTGATTTCGACGTTAGTAAGGGCCGACAGAACACAAAAGCACAAAGGAGGGGGAGTAGCCCTATTCATTAGGAATGCTATTCCATTTGCCATTATCGACAGTGTCTCTGTTAGGAATAATATATGGTGTTTTCATCACGAACTGACATCAGCTGTAATGCCAGAAATATTTTCGGCGAAATGGATGAAAGGCTTTAGTGCTCAAGTCCGAGATCTGTTATCTTATACCTGACTGGTTCGTCCACAGATTATAGTCTCGCCGTTTTATATGTTATGGCCGCTTAATTATCACGTTTAGTACAAAATTCCTTGGGAACCTATCGTACGTTAGCACTAAGCACAGAAGTTGGCGCCGTAACCTTGAGATCCCTCAGACGCCTCTGACTGTCTCGTCCATATAACATAGTCTCGCCCACAAAATAGTGAACTACGGTTTTCAGTAATGACACAAAGTAATATGGTAATGTAGTTATTCCCACAATTCAAAGTGATGTGATAAATTAATTTCGTCTTAGAAGTATAACTGAGCATTAGTGATTCAATGTGTAATGTCCAATATCATTGTAACGAGCCAGTTCCAGTCAAATTTATAGTTATTTGTTGATTCGTATATCACGCGCTTTGATTATGTGCACCATTGCAGTCGAGGGCTAGAAAAGCACTCACTGGACTAGGATATTAGACATTATACATTGAATCGCAACTGCTTATTGATAATTCTGAGACGAAAATAATTTATCACATCACGTCGAATTGTGGCAGTAACCATAACTCACATTACTTCGTGTCATTAATGCAAACCTTATTTTGTTTACTATTTTGTTTTATGCTAGCAATTCACCAGCTAGTGTGATGGCAAATTTTTGGTTCGGGATACAGTGCTGGAATTGGACATTTTAGTACTGGACAACTTTGTGGGCTTTCAATTCGTGATTCTTTACATTACTAAAATATGTTTTTTTATTTCGATAACGTCTGTATCCTAACAGCCTGAACTCATTTGGAAAGCTCGAGTAATTTACCATAGTAACATCTCACTAGTATATGTAGATTATGAACTTATTTTAATATGTTCCCTATATCTTGATTGCGTGAACCATCATTTGTTTGCTTAGACTGTTGTTATCAGTAGGAAGGTTATCTATTGCGCTTGTTATTCACGATCAATTGCAACTATCGTTCACAAACACTGTTTGTATGCAATTTTACAGAAAATTAGGATGAAATAAAGTATCGTTAAAAAAGCCGAGTATATTTTCGTAGTTCCCTAGTCTTTTACTTTGTTTAGGCTGTCTGTGGTAAGCCTCAGAAATCT